GCTGTTTAGGTGAACGTGTTATCAGGGTGAACCCTAGTAGCATAGAATAATATCTAAATATTTCTTTCTAATCCTTTCAATTATCTCAAGCGACAGATTTTGTTAAGATTTCTCGTAGATTTCATTCGAAGGTATTTNTAAATATTTATGTCCATTGTAGATGAAAATTATATATCCATTATTGATCTACAAATATATATTTATTTCTTAACTCATACAAAATATATCATAGCTCTACTAGACATCTACCAAAGGTTAATCGCATACAATTGCGGTAATGCAATTCTCTCGATATGCATCCTCGTTCTCCCCCTATCGTCACAAAATTCCCATAGAAGAGAGACTACCCAAGTAGAAGAACAATCCCTGGCATCCCATGAAGTGAAATATACGTAAATTATTTGTCGAAATTAGGTCTATAGGTATAGCAAATGTATAGCGTCTATCATCCACCTAGAAAAATTTCTAAAGGATATATATAAATATTTATGTCCATTGTAGATGAAAATTATATATCCATTATTGATCTACAAATATATATTTATTTCTTAACTCATACAAAATATATCATAGCTCTACTAGACATCTACCAAAGGTTAATCGCATACAATTGCGGTAATGCAATTCTCTCGATATGCATCCTCGTTCTCCCCCTATCGTCACAAAATTCCCATAGAAGAGAGACTACCCAAGTAGAAGAACAATCCCTGGCATCCCATGAAGTGAAATATACGTAAATTATTTGTCGAAATTAGGTCTATAGGTATAGCAAATGTATAGCGTCTATCATCCACCTAGAAAAATTTCTAAAGGATATATATAAATATTTATGTCCATTGTAGATGAAAATTATATATCCATTATTGATCTACAAATATATATTTATTTCTTAACTCATACAAAATATATCATAGCTCTACTAGACATCTACCAAAGGTTAATCGCATACAATTGCGGTAATGCAATTCTCTCGATATGCATCCTCGTTCTCCCCCTATCGTCACAAAATTCCCATAGAAGAGAGACTACCCAAGTAGAAGAACAATCCCTGGCATCCCATGAAGTGAAATATACGTAAATTATTTGTCGAAATTAGGTCTATAGGTATAGCAAATGTATAGCGTCTATCATCCACCTAAAGAAAATATCTAAAGGCTATATATAAATATCTATGTCTATTGTAGATGAAAATTATATATCTACTATTGATCTACGAATATCTACGTCTATTGTAGATGAAAATTATATATCCATTATTGATCTACAAATGTCTATTTACTTCTTGACGCATACAAAATATATCATAGCTCTAGTAGACATCTACCAAAGGTTAATCGACATCGTTGAAAATACGTTTAGAATAATAAAAAGACACCTCATGTAACCTGACATTTTTCATACATACTTGATGTTTATATATAAATTCCATCTTGACAAAACTGTTAATTTCGTCCATACTCTGATTTTTTATTCACTTCCTCTTTGGCTGATGGTATACGTCATGATGTTTTACCACTGTGTAAATTATTATGTATTACCAGGCATCGTATGAAAAATAATATACTTATAGTGGACGTGCAAATTAGGACATAAATATAGAAAACTTACATTATCTGTGGTATGCATAATAAACATTGCTTTTCGTACCCATAATTATTGGTCGTATAACGAATTCGAATATTTAACCAATAAAATTTGTGAACATTTTGGAAAATTATACCAATATACATGTTTGAACATCGAACAGTATTCAGAAAACAATGTCTAAGAAATATTAAGTAAATATATGCAATCCACGTGCAAAAACAAATATCTATCGCCTATAGTTATTTCAATATTAGATGAATATTTCATGCATATATTGATAAATATTGAAACGTGTTTAAATTAAAACGTACAACCAACATTATTTCTACTGATCAGTGCTATATTGGTATTTCCATATCGAATTCGTAAATCGTCAATATTTGCTTGAATTTCTCTTCGCACCTTTATCGACACGCCCTCTCTATCGAGAGCTCGTTACAAGCCTGCAGGAATTCCCGAAGTGTCGGTAATTACCCTAAAACCATCTCCAAAAATGTCAAACCAGACCTCAGCCTATAAAAACCCTAAAAATCGTTAATATACCCATTCGCATTAACAATCCAGCGACAACTACTAAGCTTCCACTAATTAATTACACATTTGTCATCTATCGATTCTTAAGATAAAGAGGAGTTCCTCTTCTTTCCCTTCTTTCACCTCCTCAGTCGATAAGGAGAGGGCTCCTGCCTCTCAACGCGGCTGTCGATAACTAGAACGCGCTGTCGGTAAGTTCGAACTTCCCGCGGCAACCCCAGGAGTGAGTCAAACCGAGCGCGTCGGGCGTCACACAGGGCGCGGCGCGTCGACGCGTCGTCGCGTCGAAACCAATCGGAACTGCGTATAACCTCTTGCGTCACTTCCGCCGCCTTCTGATTGGTTTCGACGCGGTGACGCGTCGCCGCGCCGCGCCCAGTGGGACGCTCGACGCGCCCAGTGTGACCCCGGCATTACCCCATGAGAATCGACCGCGGTTTTCGCCGCAGCCTCGGCAGGATGAAAGCGACGAGGCAACAAAGGGGGGAGAAACGCTTTGCCACCGGCGAGCCGCGGATAAAAAGCTCTAAAGCTTCGAGTTTCGAGTGCCGGCCATTTCTCGCGGCTTCGAGAGAAGCAAACTTCGACGGGAGAGCGTTAACGACCACTTCGGACAATTTCCCGCGAACTTTCCACGCAGGCCGACACTCTCCGACAACGGCCGCCATTTGTCCCCCGATAGGGCTGATAAGAGGATTCCACACAGAAACCAGGCAACCCTTGAAGTGGAACATACGTAAATTAATCGTCTAAATTAGGTCTATAGGTATAGAAAATGTATATCGTCTATCATCCGCCTAAAAAAATATCTAAAGGATATATATAAATATCTATGTCTATTGTAGATGGACATTATATATCCACTATTGATCTACAAATGTCTACTTATGTCTTAACGCATGCAAAATATATAATAGCTCTAGGAGACGTCTACCAAAGGTTAATCGACATCGGTGAAAATACGTTTAGAAAAATATAAAGACACCTCGTGTGACCTAACATTTTTTATACATACTTAATGTTTATATCTAAATTCCAACTGGGTAAAACTGTTAATCTCTCCCCATACTCTGATTTTTTATTCACTTCCTCTTTGGCTGGTGGCATACGTCATGATTTTTTACCGCTGTGTAAATTATGATGTATCTTTAAATAATATTCATTAAATTCATATACTTTTACTATATAAGGTTGTAATAAAATTATGAATGTAGTATCTTAAAAGTGAATCGGTATACATTTATTATACACTTTTATATAAAACGATGATTGTATAACATACTGTTACAATTTTTTAAATGACTTAATTTTACAATCACTTACGAGTTTTCTATTAAGAATAAGTTTTCAACAAGATATAATAAGTACCTTTAGCACCGATCGAGAAGTACCGGAGCGGTGTTCATAAATCCGAAAAATAATTATTACTTCATAGGCTTTGGTAGTATTATTGTTAACGTTCCTGCTTCCTCCCCGTGAGTCCCGGGTACAAATCCCGATAATTGCAAAAAAAATTTTCTGTATCAAAAACCACAGGGTTTGTCTGCATAGCTGTACTGAACAAGTTCTCAAACAGACTCTGCTCAAAAAGTGTTATAAATTTCATTTTTTTTTTTACAAATATATATGAATATCTATAGACCATCTATTGTAGATATCTACGATATATATGTTACGTACCATGTCCGGGCATCCAGCCTTTGTGTGTATCTAAAATCTTCATAGATATCTATATATATCTTACATACGTTCAATAAACATTTATATACGATTAATTTACGTATATTCCACGTTCCGCGGTGCCTGGGAATGTACGATCTCCGCCAGATTTTATCAAACAGATTATCAAGACGGCTTATCACTCCTCGGCATAAGTGTAATGTAGGTTAGTTTTAATCTGATAAGTTTGAAAAAGTCGGTCGATAGTGCCACTCAGATAATTTCGGGACATTAACCATATATAAAAGTATTATAGCAAATGTATAGCGTCTATCATCCACCTAAAGAAAATATCTAAAGGATATATATAAATATCTATGTATTCGATGACTAATAAATATGTATTCAATATATTTTTAATATGTATACTATATGTATTTGGTATGTATACTGTATGTCTTTGGTATGTATACTATAACATATTGTAAAAGAAATCAAATCGGAGAGATCGACCTGGGATACCTTCCTTGTTGGAATCGAAAATGAAGAGTTTAAGGACTAATTTTGCAGTTAGCACTTCCAGGACATTCTCGGCGCACTTCCGCCAGCCAACATGAACGGTATTGCTCAAATTCGATATACCAATGGACGCCGAAGCCGGGGATAACTAAGTCGGGACTAAAGTGGCATTCGAGGAATCCCTTGTCTCGAATCGACCGACCGAGTCCTTGCGGTCCTCTGAAGCATCCTGGAGAAGCTAATTGGCCGATCAGCTCTTCGCTTCGAGACCGACTTGGCTCATACAATTGCGGTAATGCAATTCTCTCGATATATCTCCTCGTTCTATCCCTATCGTCACAATATCCACATGAAAGAGAGACTACCCATGTAAAAAAACAATCCCATGCATCCCATGACGTGGAATATACGTAAATTATATGTCTAAATTAGGTCTATAGGTATAGCGTCTATCATCCACCTAAACAAAATATCTAAAGGATATATATAAATATCTATGGCCATTGTAGATGAAANAAAATGGACGCCGATTAAGACTTTCGAGAAATGGCCGCCATACGGAAGTCGTAATTCCGAAGTGACCCTGCCACGCTTATCGGCCTTATCAGGACCCGAAATTAATCGAGTAAAATCGACTCGATCTCGATCCAGACGAGATCCGTCCGAATCGAATTTTCGATCGACATATTTCGACACTCCATTCAACGAGCCGTCAATTCGAAATCCGATCTACGCAATCACATAATCTCGAGTGCGTGATAAAGAGAAAGAGGACTTTCATCACATACACGTATACATTGGATTCGAGTGCGGGTTTTAAAAATGGCGTAAATATATTCTCAGAGAATCGTCGGTTGATCAGATGACGATCCGGATGTTCATCTCTCTACTTCCGGTGTTCAGTCTCGGCGACGCCTTCGACCTCTACAGAGCAAATCGCGTCTTCGTCGAGGACGACCGGACACCGGAAGTGCCTTATCAGGTATGAAAAACCGCCCTTAAGGTGAAGTGAAACACTTCGGAAAATTTCATCGACATCGGTAAATAAGATCCTTGTAAATACCTACGTTACCGACGTTCGTATCTATATCATTCTGCGGCTTCGCGCGTATCAATTCACTTTAACATTTGATGTGATCGACGAAACATCATTAACCAAAGAATTTAACCGCGGCAAACAATTATTTGGTTGTCCCTATAACGACTATATTCTATGGTTGAACCGAAAAAACTTATGTTGATTCAACTAACTATTTTTCTGCGTGCAATGTTTGGTAAAATGATAAGATTGGCAAAAAATTTAGTAACGTCAACCAAATATTTGTTATAATGACCATATTCTATGGTTGGACCAACAAATTTAATATTTCTTCAACCAACTATAATTCTACAATGTCTGGTAAAATGCTAAGATTGACAAAGAATATAATCGCGACAACCAAATATTTGGGATAATGACCATATTCTATGGTTGAACCAACTAAACTTATAATTCTTCAACCAACTATTTTTCTGCACTATCTGGTAAAATGCTAAGATTGACAAAGAATATGATCACGACAACCAAATATTTGGTATAATGACCATATTCTATGGTTGAACCAACAAAACTTATATTTCTTCAACCAACTATTTTCCTGCACTATCTGGTAAAATGCTAATTGACAAAGAATTGACAAAGAATATGATCACGACAACCAAATATTTGGTATAATGACCATATTCTATGGTTGACCTAGCAGATCTTATATTTTTTTAACCAACTTTTTTCCTGAAATGTATGGTAAAATGATAAGATTGACAAGAACGCCCCGAGTGTCATTGTCAGACCGAAGCAGACGAAGAGGAAGTAATTCCTGCTGGGGGATGCACGAAGTTCGGAAGTTCGGGGCTCCTCTTCCGGGAAGTTTTCCTCGCCCGGAAACTCGGGGCGATGTTTAAGGAGGGGGGGCGGATAAATTGCGGGCCGTCATTTCCTGTTTGCCCCCCAAAAGGTGTCGCTGCAGCTGGCGAGGAGGAGCCTGCACTTTTGCGGCGGCGGCGCTCTCGGCGACAAGTGGGTTATCACGGCGGCTCATTGCGTTGACGAGTAAGTGACCGATATCGAGGCCCACTCGAAAAAGTCAATCGATACCTGCCGATATCTTCGACAGACTGCGTTGACGTCGACTAGCGACCGACTTTCGAGGTGGAGGACGGCAGGTGTTATAGGAAAACTTCATATAAATTGAGAAAAACTGAGAAAAATTCATACAATGTGATATAAGTTGATGAAACTTGATAAACTATATCATAAGTTGATGAAATTTGATAAACTATTTCGCAGGTTGATGAAATTTGATAAACTATTTCACAAGTTTATGAAATTTGATAAACTATTTCGTGGGTTGATAAAATTCGATGAACTATTTCATCAGTTGATTGAATTTGTTAAACTATTTCATAAGTGCATAACATTTTATGTTTGATTAGTAGCTTTAATTAAAATCTTGATATAAATTGATAAAAACTGAAATGACGTCGATCAGAGACCGACTTTCGAGGTGGAGGACGGCAGGTTTCGAAGGAAAACTTCGTATAAATTGAGAAAAACTGAGAAAATTTCATACAATGTGATATCAGTTGATGAAATGTGATAAACTATCGCATAGTCTTATAAATGTGATGAACTATTTCATCACTTGATTTAATTTTATGGACTATTTTATAAGTTGATGAAATTTGATAAACTATTTTATAAATTGATAAAATTTTATGTTTGATTTGAAGCTTTAATTAAAAACTTGATATAAATTGATAAAAACCGCGATGACGTCGACTAGAGACCGACTTTTGAGTTGGAGGACGGCAGGTGTCGAAGGAAAACTTCATATAAATTGAAAAAGAAATGAGAAAATTTCATACAACGTGACATGAGTTGATAAAACTTGATAAACTATTTCATAAGTTGATAAAATTTTACCCACTGGGTAAATTACTATGTATTACCAGGCACCGTATGAAGTATAATATAGTTACAATTTTTGAAATGACTTAATTTTACTATCACCTACGAGTTTTTTTTTTTAAGAATAAGTTTACAAGAAGATGCAATAAGTATCTATAGCACCGATCAAGAAGTACCGGAGCGGTCTTCATAAGTCCGAAAAATATTTATTCCTTCATATGCTTTGTTAGCATCATTTTTAGCGTTCCTGCCTCCTTCCCGTAAGTCCCGGATTCAAATCCCGACAGTTGCAAAAAAAGTGTTCTGTGTCGAAAACAGCAGAATTTGTCTGCATAGCTGTACTGGACAAGTTCTCAAACAGACTCTGCTCAAAAAGTGTTATAAATTTAATTTTTCTTACAAATACGTATGAATATCTATAGACCATCTATTGTAGATATATATACAAAATATATACGTAGAATGACACTTAACGAACCTGCAGAGTCGGAAACAATTGCAACGTTCAATGCCCTCTTCAGGAAGATGCAGAATTTCGGGCGTGCGTTTAATTACTCCCGCCAAGAGGAATATATGAAATCCATTTCTCTGGAATCCCAGGAGCTCATTTCCGGTGGATTGGACCGGCGAAAAAGAGGAAGGAAAGGGAAAAAAAGAATCAATCACTGCGCGCGACAGTTTCATGATTGAAGTGGGCCACGCGAAAAGTAAACAGTTGATACCGGACTGAATAATGGATAGACGTGGGACAAGTGGAAAATCAATTTCCCCGGATGTTGAAAAGAATAGTTTCCCGCCTCTACGGCCGAATTGTGAATATCTGGAGAGGAACTCCACCCTGAAAGAAAAGAATCCCTTTCTAGGAGAAATAAATTCTTGGGAAGATGCTCACTGGTTCCTGGATTAAACTAATTTTCCTTTTTTTTTTTACATGTATCTTCGAAGAAAAGTTTTCACGAAAATGTCCAACTTCTGTATATAAAATACTAGAAATTCATTTTCGCTTGTTTTCCTAACCTACTTCAAATATACATTTTACGTTTCCTATTTTAAATTGAAAACAGAGATTTATCCATTTTACAATTGAATTATCCATTTTACAATTGAATTATCCATTTTACAATTGAATTACCCATTTTACAATTGAATTATCCATTTTACAATTGAACCATTTTACAATTGAATTATCCATTTTACAATTGAATTACCCATTTTACAATTGAATTATCCATTTTACAATTGAAATAGATTTCATGACACGATTTTTCATATTTTATTTTAAATTGATTTGGGGAACAATTTTATCAACCTCTGGATACCGGTTGAATTTGAGGTTGAAGTTCGATTAGTCAAAGCTAAACGATCTAATTCGGCTGGTTAATCTAAACGGCGGTTAATTGAAATTAACCCGCCGTTAAGATGTGGAACGTGTAACTCATTGTAACCGAGGATTAGCATTTGACCGAGGTTAGTGGAATCGGACATTACAAAGTCAATTTTACTGGAACCAAGAAATTTCTTTCGAAGGTCGCAAGTAATTCATCTCACTTAGAAAGTAATTTTTGACGCTCAGGGCAAATGGAGGTGTAATTACGGTCATGTGGCGTTAATTGTTGCACATGTTTTCGCCCGACTCGGGTATTCCGGGATTTTCAGTTTCTTTACCAGAAGAATTTCTCTCTCTTTCTCTCCTTCTCGCGGCTAAAAGAAAAGCCTTTGTTATTGCTTTTTATCTTTCGGCCCGCGAATAGGTGGATTTTTTACTCTTGCTTTCAGACTGGTAAATAATGTCACCCTCGTTAAAGTAGTAGCCGACACGAGAGATCTGCGTCTGCCAGGAAGTACGCATTACGTCAAGAGGATCATCATCCACAAGGATTACGACCCGACCGACTCCTGGAGGAACGACATAGCGCTCCTCGAGGTGAGGTTCTCTGATATTCAGAAATCTTTCCAAAAATCCTCCTGCGTGTTGATTTCACAATTCACAAAAATATTAACATTTTTTCATTTTTAAGAATTCTCCGGCAAACAAGTTTATTAATTAATAAAAATGTTAACCGAGAGATGAAGTTTTCTGATATTCCGAGAAAATATTCGGAAATCTTTCCAAAAATCCTCCTACATTTTAATGTCACAGTTCACGAAAATATTAACATTTCTACATTTTTAAAATCTCTCCTGAAAATAAGTTTATTAATTAACGAAAATATTAACCAAGAGATGAGGTTTTCTGATATTCGGGGAAAATATTCGAAAATCTTTCCAAAAATCCTCCTGAACGTTGATTTTAAGGTTCACGAAAATGTTAACATTTCTACATTTTTAAGAACTCTCCTGGAAATAAGTTTAATAACGAACGAAAATATTAATCGAGAGATGAGGTTTTCTGATATTCGGGGAAAATATTCGAAAATCTTTCCAAAAACCCTCCTGACTTTTCATTTCATAGTTCACCAAAATGTTAACATTTCTACATTTTCAACAATTCTCCTGAAAATTAGTTTATTAGTTAGGGAAAAGATTAACGGGTCCAAATTTATAAGAATCTTCCAAAATAGTAGTTTATTTAATAATTAATGGAAATATTAACACGTCTACGGTTTTAAAAATCCTCCGAAAAATTAATTCACTACTTAACAAAGATTATAATACTATTGAACTTCTGAGAATCCTCATAAAAATTCATTTTTGAATAACCGAATTTATTAACACAATTCCTGGCATCAACCTCATTAGAAAAATGACATTAAAAGATAGATCTGTAGGAAACACAATTAATTAATTAAATAAAAAAAGTAATAATTCCACTAATTTCCAGCTGGTGGAAGGATTCAAGGATAAAGGACCCCTGGACTACGCAAAATTGCCAAATCCTGGACAGGAATTGCTCGCCGGCGAATTGGCATTCTCCGTAGGCTGGAGTCGCCCATTTAAAGTGCATATAAAGAGTAAAAAAGGTCCTTGATAATGGAATACAAATCCGACAAAATTTTCAGGAGTCCAATCGTCTCACAAGAATGCAAGGCATCGACGTGGAAATTGTTTCTCGAGAGGATTGCGCAAAATCGTACGCGGTTTTCGGACTCGGGATTTATGACACCCAGATTTGCGCATATACCCCAAATCATAGAAAAGAGTCATGCAATGTAAGTGTAAACTCATGAAATTTCAGTTCTTTTCAAATTTGTTTATAAGTATTTTAAAAGTAGTGTATAAAAAATGAAATTTCGCAAGTTTCAGGACCTACCTTAGGGTCTCCATATTCACGTTTTAAAGTATGAAACGATTTGAGACACCCAGGACGTAGAAATGTTTTATAAACGATTGAGCTTTCGGATGCCGCTTTCACATCCCCTTAAGGTGATATGAAAGTGGCGTCGAAGAGGTTTTGTTTATAAAACTTTTCTCCCACCTCGATTTACCGAATAGTTTGAAACTTTGCAACGTGAATAGGGAGACTATAAAGAAGGTCCTGAAACTCATGAAATTTCAATTCTTCTCAAATTTGTTTATAAGTATTTTAAAAGTAGCGTTTAAAAATGAAATTTCGCGAGTTTCAAGACCTACCTTAGAGACTCCATATTCACGATTTGAAGTATGAAACGATGTGAAACACCCAGTTCGGAGAATAATTTTATGAATGATTGAGCTTTCGGATGCCACTTTCACATCCCTTTAAGATGATATGAAAGTGGCGTCGAAGAGGTTTTGTTTATAAAACTTTTCACCCACCTCGATTTACCGAATAGTTTGAAACTTTACAACGTGAATAGGGAGACTACAAGGAAGGTCCTGAAACTCATGAAATTTCAATTCTTTTCAAATTTGTTTATAAGGATTTTAAAAGTAGCGTATAAAAATGAAATTTCGCGAGTTTCAAGACCTACCTTAGGGTCTCCATATTCACGTTTTAAAGTATGAAACAATTTGAAACACCCAGTTCATGGAAAAGTTTTATGAACGATTGAGCTTTCGGATGCCGCTTTCACATCCCCTTAAAAAAAAAATGTATATTTGTATCGTCACATATGTATATTACGTCCCATGTCCGGACATGTACCCTTTGAGTGTATCTAAAATAAACTTCATAGACATCTATATATATCTTATATACGTTCAATAAACATTTATATACGATTAATTTACGGATATTCCACGTTCAGAAAACTCGAGGAAACGACTCCGACGATTCGGCGAATCCACTTTCGGAATCCATTTTCCCGGGGACAAAAAGCAAAGACGTTCTTCGCCCTCGGGTCCAGATATATCGGCGGTCGACCCAATTAAGAAAAAGGCAGCCGGGGCGCAAAAGAGCCTCCAAGAGCCGCGAAGAAACGAAGAGAATAACGAAAGGGTCGAGCATCCTCCGGGAGTTCCTTCGAGGGCTCTTTCAGAACTCGGTGAATTCATTTCGCGAGAAAAAGAGCTCTCTCTCTCGCTCTCTCTGACAAGGAAGGTACCCCAGGTCGATCTCTCCGATTTCATTTCTTTTATAATATGTTATAGTAGACTAAAAACTAAGCGACACGTATTTCTTTTTATCTGCCATTAAACACTTTAAGGGGTGAAACCACCCTAATAGCATGGAATAATTTCTAAATATTTCGAGAGAAAAAGAGCTCTCTCTCTCTCTCGCTCTCTCTGACAAGGAAGGTATCCCAGAGCAAAAGAAACAACCCCTGTCCGTCGAAGCCGTAGATAAACGCGATCGATTCAATGAAAATGGATTTCCTCTGAAAGACACTCGATTGCCGAATCGTCCTCTTCTTTTCTTTTAGTTAAATCGATCCCTAGTAGCATAGAATAATTTCTAAATATTTCTTTCCAATCTTTGCTAAATATCTCAAGCGACAGAAAAATCGACAAATTGATTAATCGGATAATATAAAAGTTTACGTAAAGTTAGATGAACAAAAAAAATAATAGCGAATGTACAATTTTAAATGAAACTTTGAAACCGGTCATTTGACCGGCCCCGGTACGATTAGTGTTAAAATTGTTTATCACTAAATGCGTATTCCAGGGGGACTCGGGTGGTCCTTTGGTGGCCAACTCGGAGCTGGTGGGCCTCGTCTCCTGGGCATACGGATGTGGCGACAGGAACTTCCCTACGGTCTACACCAGGGTCTCCGAATATCTGACTTGGATTGCGGCCAATGGCTTCCTGAACCACCTTCGTCCTGGAGGAGACTCGATCGATCATAGTCCAGGCGCGACCTACACAGAAGTTCTCGGGGATGCGCCCTCTAGAGAGCTGCACGAATCGACCCGTCCGCCGGAAATTCCCTAAAATTTCCTAAAATTCCCTGATATCCCCTGAAGTTCCATGAAATTCCCTGAAATTTCCTAAAATTCCCTGATATCCCCTGAAATTCCATGAAATTCCCTGAAATCCCTTGAAATCCCCTGAAATTCCCTGAAGTCCCCTGGTCCCCTGAAATTCCCTCAAATCCCCTTAAATTCCCTGAAATTCCCTAAAATCTCCTAAAATTCCCTGATATCCCCTGAAGTTCCATGAAATTCCCTGAAATCCTTTGAAATCCCCTGAAATTCCCTGAAGTCCCCTGGTCCCCTGAAATTCCCTGAAATTCCCTGAAATCCCCTAAAGTCCCCTGAAATTCCCTGAAATCCCCTGAAGTTCCCTGAAATCCCCTGAAATCCCCTAAATTCCCAGAAATTCCCTGAAATTCTCTCGATCCTATCGCCGAACGCAAAGACGCAAATATCTGCACCGAAACGCCCCTGCGGATCGATTGCTAATTATTATTTAAATATTCGTTATTCACTCGGCGAGCGAGAGGGAGGCGCCGCCGATTAGCAATCGATTTGCCCAGAAAAAGGATTCGCAGTCGTAGAAAGAAATTTTACTGGCAGAAACGTGAACAGTTGAAAATGGATCAGGAAAAGTCTTGTTCGAATACATTTTTTGTTATATCGACAACAAAAACATTTTTATTATATTGACAGCGAAGGTATGTTTGTTATATACATTACCATTCATAGTTGTAAAAAGAAATTTTACTGCCAAAAATGTGAACACTTGAAAATGCTCAAGCAAAAGTCTTGTCCGGGTACTTTGTTGTTATATTGACGACAAAAACATTTTTGTTATATCGACAACAAGAATATTTTCATTATATTGACATAAAAATCATTTTTGTTATATAGACAACAAAAATATTTCTGTTATATACAATTTCATTCACAGTCGTAAAAAGAAATGTCACTGCTACAAACATGAACACTTGGAAATGGACAAGCAAAAGTCTTGTCCGGATACATTTTTGTTATATTGACGATCAAAAAATGAATACGTAAAGTGAACGTTTCTCATATACGTAAATTGAACGTAGAGGAAAAACCGTGGGTGGATAAACGTTTGATTTTTACACTAACCACCCATATTCCACTAGATTTATGTGTATAAAACCCGAATTCCGCTTTGTGTTTATTAGGAACAATTGCGTAAAATCTCCATTTGCTCGGAATAAACGCATGAAACAATTAATACGTAAAATCAACGTTTCATATACGTATATTGAACGTAGAGAGAAAACCGTGGGTGAATAAATGTTCGATTTTTACACTAACGATCTATATTCCACTAGATTTACGTGTATAAAACCCGAATTCCGCTTTGTGTTTATTGGGAAGAATTGCGTAAAATCTCCATTTACGTATTTCCTGATAACACGGGATCCCAAGTGCGGGATATCGCCGACATTCATCTAATTTCGTGCTCGAGTCTATGCAAGCGAGCCCTCGTCGCAATTAATCGGAGGCCGGAATAATCTCGGAGGATCTTAATTAAAAATTGTACTACGAGGATCAGCGGGGATTATCGCGCCACCGGGCCGATTCGACCGATCGATACGAGGCCAATCGAGGGAGGGCACAAAATTCCCTCGCTCGATGGTTCGACGATTCATCGGCGTCGCGGTTGATGCGCGATGTCGCAATCCAAACCGATCGGCCAATTCCGGCGACGAAAGTGCACCCGATGCATCTACGCCAAATATACTGAGAAGAATTCCCTTTTTAGAGAAAAAATAAATAAAGGAATTCTTGAGTCGATTTTATTTCAAAACCTTTTAGGAATTCTTGCGTCGATTTTATTTCAAAATCTTTTAGAAATTCTTGCGTCGAGTTGATCATGAACCCCTTTAGACAAGAATAGGAATTCTTGCGTCGCGTTGATCTTTATTGTCAAGAATGTAAAATTGAATGCTCAAATTTATGAAGCTTCACGAAAGTGCGCTTGATGCATCTACGCCAAATATACTGAGAAGAATTCCCTTTTTAGAGAAAAAATAAATCAAGGAATTCTTCCGTCGATTTTATTTCAAAATATTTTAGGAATTCTTGCGTCGATTTTATTTCAAAATCTTTTAGAAATTCTTGCGTCGAGTTGATCATGAACCCCTTTAGACAAAAATAGGAATTCTTGCATCGCGTTGATCTTTATTGTCAAGAATGTAAAATTGAATGCTCAAATTTATGAAGCTTCACGAAAGTGCACCCGATGCATCTACGCCAAATATACTGAGAAGAATTCCCTTTTTAGAGAAAAAATAAAGGAATTCTTGAGTTGATTTCATTTGAAAATATTTTAGAAAAAATAGGAATTCTTGCGTCGAATTGATCTTTACTGTCAAGAATATAAAATTGAATGCTCAAATTTCAGAAGCTTCACGAAAGTGCACTCGATGCATCTGCGCCGAATATCCTGAGAAGAATTCACTTTTTAACGAAAAAATAAATAAAGTAATTCTTGCGTCGATTTTATTTCAAAATCTTTCAGGAATTCTTGTGTCGACTTGATCATAAACCCTTTTATAAAAAAACAGGAATTCTTGCGTCGGGTTGATCGTAAAACCTTTTAGAAAAAAATAGGAATTCTTACGTCGATTTGATTATAAAACCTTTTAGACAAAAATAGGAACTCTTGCGTCGAGTTGATCTTTACTGTCAAGAATGTAAAATTGAATTTATGAAGCTTCAATAAAGTGCACTCGATGCATCTGCGCCAAATGCACTGAGAATTCACCTTTTAGGTTAAAAAAAAAAAAAATAAAGGAATTCTTGAGTCGATTTCATTTGAAAATATTTTAGAAAAAATAGGAATTGTTGCATCGAGTTGATCTTTACTGTCAAGAATGTAAAATTGAATGCTCAAATTTATGAAGCTTCAATGAAGTGCACTCGATGCATCTGCGCCGCGTATCCTAAGAAAAATTCACCTTTCAAGTAAAAAAGAAAATAAAGGAACTCTTGCATCGATTTGATCCTTGTGTCAGGACAATTCTCAGATGATCACGTGTCACGTGACAAAGTTTGGTCGAATACCCTTAAAAAAAGATGTTGTCTTCGAATCGACAGATTTGAGAAGTAGTTTCACTTCACCTTAACCTGCCGTCGTGTGAGTTGCGACACTGACCATCCCAACAAAGTCAATCTCCCCGCGAAGAAACGTCTTTGGCAAGAAGTATTTAGCGTCCCGGGAGTAATTAATCTCGCCTAGAGAGTAAATCTGTCTCTCGGGGCACCTCCACCGATTTCTCGAGACCCCGATTGCCTGGCGGTTCCTCCTCCGTGAATTTTCCCGCCAATTTTTTCTCCCTCGGTCTCTGAGAATGGAAAGTCGCGACCAGTCGCCGGTGTCATCAGTGACAAGACGACTCGACTCATCGGCGGTCCACCCGTTCGCCTATCTAATCCTTATCACGGACAAATTCCTTATCCCGATTGGCCGTTAAATCGTATAAATCATCCCGAGGTGATATCGCTGCAACCAGTTCACGTAGAATTTCCGGGAACATGACATCCTACGGGACCACGATTTGCGTCCTCCTGGCGCTGGCGTCGACCGCGCAGGGTGAGTCATTTCGATGGTTGGGAGGACAATTCGCGAATTTAGAAATTCCGCCTCAAAACGAGGTAGAAGAGCTAGTTGAAACCTAGGATGTACGAATTTAAGGGAAAAATTAATTACCGGGATTTCTCATTCGTGTAAATCTGTGATCGCAATTAACCCTTTTAGTGTCGGCCGAATTTTACGATTTTACTAGGATTTGGAAAAAGGCTAATAAAAACCAAACGAAAAGCAATATTTACATAATTCAAAAAGCAGGGTATTAAGGACAAAATAGGGAATAAAACGGTGACGCTAATTTTTCTATATTCATTGAAAATGACATAAATAACAAAGGTATAAGTGATAAAAAAAAAAAATTGAGTTCTCCGTTTCAAAACGTAATTGCACATAGGAAAAGTCATCTTTTTATCGTAAATTTATATAGACCGTTTATTGCAAAGTACGTACTTTAAATTTCCAATATATCTTTTAACAAAATAAGTAATATTGCACAAGAAACATAAAAAATAACTCCAAGGCACATGGGAGGCGCCGGGCGGAGTATCGCATCCGAAACAAGTAATTGTCATAGGTTATAGGTTGTTATAGGTAGATTATAGATTGTTATAGGTGTTGTTGTATCGTTATTTTAATTCTCTCGCAATGAAATTAGACTATTTATAACGTATTATAAATTTATTTTGAGATAGAGATCTCTCGCAAAGCGAATAGTAAAGCGCTACAAGGCGCGGGCCGATATATGTGCCCATAATTATGAAAGTGGTCTAAGTCATATATTTTTTGTTTCGAAATTACATTGAATTAATTTCGTTTGAAATAATATGGCGTGAAATAACTGATAAACTCATTTTTTTTTTCAATTTTGACTTAGACCACTTTCATAATTATGGGCACATATCGGCTCTGGTACTAAAAGGGTTAAATGTGCGCTATTCTTCTTAACTTACAATAGTTCAGACCAGAACCAAACTGGCGTCGAGCTCTGATATTTCAATCGATATAAAATTATTGAAGGCTCTGATATGAGGAACGAAAGGGTCAGGACAATTGTACGACAATTTGGAACACTCTGGTAATCGAGAAACTTGCATTTGAACGGGATAAATGTTAACAAAAACAACTTAAGGACCGATATCAACGAATTATCGACAAATCGATGAAATCCAGCAGAGATTTAACGATAATCGATAAAATATTACGTGCACATTGATAAGAAAAACTCTGCATAATATCATAATCCGATGCCAAGGACGAGCAAAATTAAGATAAAACATATTTAGGCTAATGTGAAATGAAAACATACTTAGGCTAATGTATATTTAGGCCAAGTAGATACTTTACTTAACAATTTAAATAATTAATGTCATTTCAGCACGAGAGATCGCCCGGGATTACTTCGCCACGAAGATTGTTAATGGACAGGATGTGAAAATCGGCGAAATTCCGTACCAGGTGAGTGACACTTACACAGGTAAAACATAAGGTAAATCCCAGGTATGAAGTGGAATATATGTAAATTAATCGTCTAAATTAGGTCTATAGGTATAGCAAATGTATATCGTCTATCATCCACCTAAAAGAATATCTGTATCTACTGGATGCACCGAATCGATGGAAACTTAATTATGAAGACCCTAAGGAAAAACGTGATGCTTATGAAATTAAATTTTTCGACAAAAAATTGTGTATTTATCTCTGAGAACCAAAAAAAAAAACATTTTTTTCCGAAAAATGAAATTTTACGAANATTATTTTATATAAATGTATGACCCTTTCATATCACAATAATAATTCGAGATTGACAACAATTTTGAATAACTATCAATATACGTTCCATTATGAGAACATAACTGGGAGGGTTGAACAAAAATTCGGCAAATGTAAGATAAAAATTGTTGACAATTTTCAGGTGTCCCTCCAACGCACTGGTAATGCAAATCACTTTTGCGGAGGAGTCATTTTGAACAAGGACTACATCGTCACAGCTGCGCACTGCGTATCCAGGTGAGTCCTTGACCTTCGTAATTGGAAATTCTCTCCATTAATTAGCTCTTCAGAGAGCCCCGAAAGCCATTATCGACCTCTCAAAATCTCGGGCAAACTCGATTTAATTTCTCCCGTGCACTGAGACAAAATTTGCATAGATTTCTACGGACCTCGTGACAGAAATTTCATATAGAAAAACGTAAAATGGAAAAAAAAAAAGTTATACCATGGCGATTTTATTTCCAGCAAAAATGTTGAATGCAAAATTTTGTTATACCATGGCGATTTTATTTCCAGCAGAAATGCTGAATGCAAAATTTTGTTATAACATGGCGATTTTATTTCCAGCAAAAATGCTGAATGCAAAATTTTGTTATACCATGGCGATTTTATTTCCAGCAAAAATGCTCGGGACATAATCGCAGGTGCCGGAATGATCGATTTAAGGACACCTGGCCAGGTGACAAAGATTGAGAAAATCATTGTCCACGAGAAATACAATCCCGGCGATTCCTGGGTCAACGACATCGCTCTTCTGAAAGTAAGGAAACTTACAAGGAAACATTCCCAAGTGTCCTCCGCCGACCTTATTGATTTTCATATATGATGAAGAACGCAAAAATCTAAGAGACACCTGTTTTTCTTTTATCTGCAATGGTCCACATTTAAGGGGGGAAACAACCCCCCAAAGTTTGTCGAAAATTCGATTTTTATATTAACCCTAGTAGCACAAAATATTTGTCCTATATTTTCGATATATTTAACGAATATCGTACATTTTGTAAATATTTACCAGACATTTAAAATATTTGCCAAACGTTTACTTCAGAATATTATCTCCATAATATTTATACAATATTACCTCCACGTGTTTTCATAATATTTTTCTATCAGATATACAAAACAATTTCGTTTCATTTTAATATAAGTATTTCTTAAATATTATCTGCCGAATACATTATAAACGTTTTAAAAATATTTAAAATCAAAATCACACGTTTTGCTCCCATAATGAAATAGCGGAACGAAAATGTTAGAAACATTTCTCGTGTTTTTTTTTATACCAAATGAACCTTAATCAAGAGAATTCGTAAAATTAGAACTGTACAGATAAATTTTAACATACAACCATCCGAGAACTGATTCCTATATTTTTTCAACAGGTAGTGACTCCGTTTAAGAAGAACGAGAACGTATCCTTCGTCTCGCTGACGAAACCGGAAGACGCCATTTTGAGCGCCCAACCAGCAGTAGTTTCTGGATGGGGAAGACTGAGCGTGAGTAATTTTTATTCAACCTTAAAATGATAATGTGTCAAAGTTACGGACAGTTTGGTCTAATACCCTTAAAAAAAGGGTTGTATTCGAATCGACTGATTTGAGGGGGGGTTTCACTTCACCTTAAAAACCACTCGGAAGTACGCGAGGCCCTAAAATTTAATTCCCCTAGAGGCTGAATTCTAACTGAAAATCCCCGACGATGACGATGGTTTCCCTTCCATTTCGCAGATGGGCGGATCCACGACTTACATCCTGAAACGAGCAAACCTCCAAATTGCGGATTCAGCTTACTGCAGCGCTGCATATTCAGAATTCGGCTTGTCGATATATCCGACCCATGTCTGTGCAGACGCAGGACAGGAGGAAAGAGGATCTTGTCACGTTAGTATTCCTATATTAAAATAAAAATTCCTCTAATATTGCTCTCCCCCCCGGAAATATATATTATGAAGATATAAGTCAAAATATTCATGCAAAAAACAATATACACGGAAATAGATAACGTTTGACCGTCCTACAATATATTACTAAAAACATTCTCAGATATACTTCATCTGCAATGGCCGACAGTTGTTTATTTCCGTATTTATTTTCTTTACATGACCAATATATTATGACAGAAGATCATGGATATTTTTATGTAAAAATAATATTTTGTTGACAGATATATTATTCCATATGGGTAACGAGGAATTAATTTGCACATATTGTTTAGACATATATACACTGGGAGACATCAATGCCTTCCCATCCTGCACAGGTGATGCCGTATCTCCAGAGGAGGCATTCATGTCCGCCATTGTATATACGTTTAACAATATTTGCAAATTAATTTCTCGTTACCCATATGAAGATGTATATATGTCTAAACAATATTTGCAAATTAATTTTTCGTTACCCATGTGGAGATGTACACTGGGAGATATCAATGCCCTCCCATCCTGCACAGGCGATGCCGTATCTGCAGGGGAGGCATTCATGCCCGCCAATGTACACTGGGAGACATCAATGCCCTCCCATCCTGCACAGGCGATGCCGTATCTGCAGGGGAGGCATTCATGTCCACCATTGTATATACGTTTAAACAATATTTGCAAATTAATTTCTCGTTACCCATATGAAGATGTACAATGGCGGACATGAATGCCTCCTCTGGAGATACGGCATCGCCTGTGCAGGATGGGAGGGCATTGATGTCTCCCAGTGTACATCTCCATATGGGTAACGAAAAATTAATTTACAAATATTGTTTAGACATATATACATCTCCATTTGGGTAACGAGGAATTAATTTGCAAATATTGTTTAGATATATATATACATCTCCATATGGGTAACGAAAAATTAATTTGCAAATATTGTTTAGACATAATACATCTCCACATGGGTAACGAGGAATTAATTTGCAAATATTGTTTAGACATATATACATTTCCATATGGATAACGAGGAATTAATTTGGAAATATTTTTTAGATACCTATACTATTCCATGTGGATAACGAGGAATTAATTTGCAGGGTGACTCAGGCGGTCCCCTGACGGTGGAGGGAAAGCTCGCAGGATTAGTCTCATGGGCGAAGGAATGTGCCAAGCCGGGATTCCCAACTGTCTACACGCGAGTATCGGAATATCAGGAATGGATAGCCACGCATGCCGTTTAGGGGCATTTCCCTAAATCTAGTTCAGCCCCTGACGGCGATCCCTTGACTTCCGGTGCACGTAGCAGCAGTAAATTCATGACACCTCGCCAGGATGCACGAGTGAAATTCCTCTTTAGAGTTCCTTGGCCAGGCTGAGTCTCATCGCCTTAAAAACAACTCTCCACGACGACGGCGAGTCCTGGAATTTTTATCAAGCAATCCACTCGGCCGGATCCTCCATTATGTACCACATAGCGTGGGAGTTGATCTAAAACGTCGTAAAGTTGACCCCTCCCCCGGGTGCATTTCGCAACATTTTTCAATCTTCCTGAATCCTGCCGAAATCAACTTTATAGCTTGGCTCAATCATGGTTCAATAAAGTGTAAGGTAAAAAATTGAATGAACCTCGATAAGGCGCCACGATAAGAAAAATTATCCCAATATAAACCTCAATAAGCTATCACGTTAAACAAATTATGCCATTATAAACCTCAATAAAGCGTCATAATACAAAAATTACGACAAAATGAACCTCAATAAATTATCACGTTAAAAAAATTACGACAAAATGAACCTCAATAAATTATCACGTTAAAAAAATTACGACAAAATGAACCTCAATAAATTATCACGTTAAAAAAATTACGCCAGTATGAACCTCAGTACAGCGTTACGTTAAAAAAAATTATGATCCTCCATTATGTACTACATAGCGTGGGAGTTGATGTAAAACCTCGTAAAGTTGACCCTTCCCCCGGGTGCATTTCGCAACATTTTTCAATCTCCCTGAATCCTGCCGAAATCAACTTTATAGCTTGGCTCAATCATGGTTCAATAAAGTGTAAGGTAAATAATTGAATGAACCTCGATAAGGCGCCACGATAAGAAAAATTATCTCAATATGAACCTCAATAAACTATCACGCAGCAAGTCAGCTGACTGCTGAGACTCTGACGTCACTTCCATATCCTCTTAAGATGATATGAAAGGCACTGAGAAATTAAATCGAGGTCGATAAATTAAAATCCATATGTACCCTTTTTGTTTGAAATTTTTCCCCAACGATTTGATCTGTCAGATATGTATAGGCTGACTTTCCTATCACCTTAATGCGAATTACTCCGAGCAATTAATTTCCTTTCCCAGTTTCGCTCTAAAACGCGTCGAAATATAGAACCCACTAGAATCCGTTTCAGCGAAACAGTGGAAAATGGATTTGGAAAAGCGGAGGCCAGAGAGGAGCAGCGGCAGCAGGTCAGCTGACTGCTGAGATCAATACGCCATGTTTGCGACGCGATCACGTGTTGCTCTCATTTCCGGTGACACTCGACGGCATTTCGGGATTTTTCCGGGATAATTTGTCCCCCATTAGCCTTTAAATTCTCGGCCTAAGGTGCCCCAGGTCGACAGCCTTCGACGGATCCCAATTTTCTCGAGATTTCCCAGCAGCGCGCTGAGCCCCTGCGACTCCCCTAGGAGAGGATCAGAAATAATTTCCGCAAAAGTCCACTTTAAGCTCCAACGAGACGGAAGGCGATAATCCCGAAAGGAATGGGAGGGAGCTTTCTCGCCCCATTCAGATGGAAAAAAAAAAAAAAGTGAAATGTCAAAAGAGAGGAAAGACAATGGGTCAAGTCTTCCGGCGCGCCATTACCTGTATTTACATTGCTAATGAGAATTCCCGTTTTCAGGTGTCCTGCTCACGAGCTATCCTGCGCAATAAAAACTTATGGGGTGGTATGGGAGGGTGACTACCTCGGAAATTTAACCCTTTATAGGCCCGTGTAACTTTCAGCTCACGTGCTAATATATCAACATTTTGCCAAATAATTTTAAATTTTTCACAAGTTGGCGTGTACGTCTTATATGTGCCCATAATTATGAAAGTGGTCTAAGTCATATATTTTTTGTTTCGAAATTAGATTGAATTAATTTCGTTTGAAATAATATGGCGTGAAATAACTGATAAACTCATTTTTTTTTTAATTTTGACTTAGACCACTTTCATAATTATGGGCACATATGTCTCGGAGATAACCGATAACAATGTTGATGACGATCGGCAGCACTATCAACCTAAAATATCAAAGTAAATGTCTTGCAAGTTGTTTGCAGATAGAAACCCACGGAACCATCTTGTGCAATTGACATTGTTTGTGCTTCTGTCGGTGTTTATTGTTCGGTCTTCCGGCGCGCAATTACCTGTATTTACATTGCTAATGAGAATTCCCGTTTTCAGGTGTCCTGCTCACGAGCTATCCTGCGCAATAAAAACTTATGGGGTGGTATGGGAGGGTAACAACCTCGGAAATTTAACCCTGATTGATATACATAAGACAAAATTTAACATATATTAAATTCAAGGACATAATGGACCTACTACGATATATACCACCGCCATGATTTCTTCAAATTCCTTTCACATACACAAAATGTAAATGATCAGTAAATAGTTTTGTAATTTATGTAGTTAAAAAATGTTCTGAATTGCATAAATACTGTTATTGAAGTGTTGTAAAGATATATAAAATAAATAATGTATTGTTTTTCATCGATTTAAAGCATTTTAAATTACGTCGAATGGACATGGGCTCTTTCAAATTTTATAACGAATCCGGTAGTCAATATTGAAAGTGGCTTAACTCCATTCTTGGTAAGAAAACGCATACTATTCACTTAATAATTGCCATTATTTTAATATGAACTGTAAATTTAACTCCTTTAGATACACTTAAGCAGGATGACTCGTTGGTATCCTGTACGTATATTTTTAATTGCATTTAAATACGAACTTTTAAATATCTCAATTTAAGTATAAATGGACTTAGGCCACTTTGAAAATAAACGGCTCATATATGCGAGGTCTATCTAGACCTATTCATGGTCTAACAAGGAAGGTACCTGAGGTGTCCCCCTCCGATTTTGTTCATTTTTAAATATGTTATAGAGGACTGAAATCTAAGGGACCCGTGTTTTTTTTTATCGGCGGATAAACACTTTTAGAGGGTAAAATCAGGCTTCAAAGTTGGTCGTGCAAGGGGGTGAGTTGGCTGTTTCATATAAAAGCACTCGACCGATTTTCATGAAATAACCGTAAAAATGTAGGGAATGAAGAATTATGAAACATGCATTTGGAATTTTTCGAAAAAATTCATTTTTAAGGGGTGAGCCACCCCTTTGAATACTTCTTTTACCCCTTAAGCGAGCAGTAATTATTCTATCCAATTGAAACTTTTTTTGTAGTGTTCTGGTTTATAAATTAACCAAGTTTCATTTGGATAGAGCAATTACTGCTCGCGTAAGGGGTAAAAGAAGTATTCAAAAGGGTGGCTCACCCCTTAAAAATGAATTGTTCCGAAAAATTCCAAATGCATGTTTCATAATTCTTCATTCCCTACATTTTGACGGTTGTTTCATGAAAATCGGTCGAGTGCTTCTATATGAAACAGACAACTCACCCCCTTGCACGGCCAACCTTGAAGCCTGATTTCACCCCCTAAAAGTGTTTATCCGCCGATAAAAAAAAACACGGGTCCCTTAGATTTTAGTCCTCTATAACATATTTAAAAATGAACAAAATCGGAGGGGGACACCTCAGGTACCTTCCTTGTAAGACCACGTCTCGGAAGTACGATAATCCTATTCTGACCTGTTTGCGCATCGGAGTGGGGCACTCGTCGCGGCTCCTCTCAAATCTCTCGAACTTGAAGCTGTTGCTGCGGTAGAGCTCGTTGTCGCTCTGCTGTCTCCGGCAGAGCCTGCGCGTGAGGGCGCGCGGCCGGCAGGGGGCGCACTCGGCGGCGAGCTCCCAGTGCAGGTGGAGCATGGCGAGCTCGGCGGTGCACCGTGCCATGGCGCAGCCGGCGCGCCTCACGCGGTACTTGACGCGCTTGATGCGCCCCTCGGCGGGCCCGCAGTCGCAGCCGCGACCGCGCGCGCGCCGGCTGTGCCGCGGCGCGGCCGCGTGCGGGCACTCGCACGCGGCCGCCTCGAGCGCCTCGCGCGGCGGACCCACGTGGCCGGGCGCCGACGGGGACGCCGCCGCCGGCCGCGGGCCCCACGTGGCCGTGTGCCGGCACGGTCGCTCCGGGCACTCGCACCTGCAACGCCCAACATCGGATGAGTTACCTCGTCTCCGTAAGGTGATATGAAAGAAGGGAGAGATAATGATCCTATAGGACATTAGGTTAGGTTAGTGATGTCGATTTGATGTGATAGATAGATCGTTTCACCTTACTATGAGTGATCTATTGTGGCGTATAAGTGCTAGAGGTCTCCATAAGGTGATATGAAAGGAGAGAGAGAGAGAATGATCCTATCCACACGCGCGCACACACGCACACATCAAAACGTCAAAATATAACATTTCTCCACACGGGATGAAAAATTAAAATTTGATATTAAAGACCTTAAGGTGATATGAAAGGGTCGTTCTGTATATATCAAAACGTCGAAATAAAACATTTCTACAAACGGGATGAAAAATTAAAATTTGATATTAAAGACCTTAAGGTAATATGAAAGAGTCGTTCTGTATATATCAAAACGTCGAAATAAAACATTTCTCCTTAGGGCCTCCATAATCACGTGCTTAAGTCTCAAATGATTGTATATATATTAAAATGTCACAATATTTATAAACCGTGTCTCCAAACTAGGTGCACCGAATAATTTGAAAAATGAACACGTGATTATGGGGGTCTTAATGATGGTCTTGAAACTCGCAAAGTTTCATTTTTCGAAGAAAAATTGTTTATTCATCCCGAACGAGAACCAGAAAAAAAAGGTTTCTCTCGAGAACTTAAATGTCGCGAGTTTTAAGACCTTCATTAGGATCTCCATAATCACGAGTCAATGTTTCAAATTATTCGGTGCACCCGGTTTGGAGACAAGTTTAATAAATATTTTGACTTTTTAGTATGTATATATGACACGTTTATATGATAGTCCAAGTTGAATACAAATTTTTTTGCTTCAAAAAACACATTTTTTTGTGAAAAATGAAATTTCACGAGCATCGCTTTCTTCCCTAGGGCCCCCATAATCTCGTGATGAACTTTTTCAAACGATTGGGTGCACCCAATTTGGCGAAAACTTTTATAAATATTTTGACTTTATGATATGTATATATGATAGTTTTATATCACCTTGAGGTGGTATGGGATTCGGACATTCTTGAAATTTCAGTGTTTATTTTCTTCTGAACAGTTTGGACATTTCTAGCACCTGAAGGTGATGTAAAAGTGGCGTCCGAGGAGTTCGAACACTCTTGAAATTTCAGTGTTTATTTCCTTACTAACAATTTGAACATTTTTAAGACCTGAAGGTGATGCAAAAGTGTCGTCCGAGGGGTTTTGACACTCGTGAAATTATAAGTCTTCTTTTAATTTGTTCCTAACCCTTTTCTTTTCACTTTTAACAGGTTGAGGTGTCTGTGGAATTCTGATGTCCATGAGATTTGAACTTTGTTTCAACCCTTTTTTCATTTTTAACACATTAAGACAATGTGAAAGTGGAGTCTTAAGAAGTCTTGACATCAATGAGATTTCACATTTATTTTAAAATTATTTCTAACATTTTATTCGCATCAAATTCCGTTTTATTTGCAAGTCAAGAAGTTTAAGGCCCCCAACCTCCATGAAATTTCACTTTGTTTTTAAAAATCTGTTTCTAACATTTTTTAATTTTTGTCACCTTCAAACTGGTAAAAATGTCCTCAAATTCCCATAAGAGCTCCTAATGTCTCTCAACCAATAAGAATTTCCAATAAAGATGCCAATAAAAATTTCCTTGGATTTACTTCAAAACCCACTCAAAATGTCTTCAGAATTTCGTAAAACCTCTTCATGATTTCCACCCTGAATCATGAACAAAACATCCTCAAACTTGAGTGAACTCTTTTAAATCTGGCAACCATGCCGAACATAACCTCTCTTAACAAGGTCCTAACAAGTCGCGCCCTCATAACCCCCACCCTAAATCATCATCAAAACGTCCTCAACATTTAGAGAACCCCTTTAGATCTGGCAACCATGCCGAACATAACCTTTCCTAACAAGGTCCTAACAAGTCGCGCGTTGCGCCCTCATAACTCCCACCCTAAATCATCATCAAAACGTCCTCAACACCTAAAGAACCCCTTTAGATCTGGCAACCATGGCGAGCATAACCTCTCCTAACAAAGTCCTAACAAGTCGCGCGTTGCGCCCTCATTACTTCCCCCCTAATTCATCATCAGAACGTCAACATTTGAGTTAACCCCTTTAGATCTGGCAACCATGCCGAACATAACCTCTCCCAACAAGGTCCTAACAAGACGAGCCCTCATAACCCCCACCCTAAATCATCATCAAAACGTCCTCAACATTTAGAGAATCCCTTTAGATCAGGCAACCATGCCGAACATAACCTCTCCTAACAAGTCGCGCGTTGCGTCTTCATAACATCCACCCTAAATCATCATCCAAACGTCCTCAAAATTTGAGTGAACCCCTTCAGATCTGGCAACCCTGTCGAGCGTGACCTCTCCGGGAGGTCGTAACAGGTCGCGCGTTGCGCACTAGGTCGGGAGGCCGTCGAGTATTCCTAGTCGGGGGGGAGAGGAAGGGAGGGAGAACGGGTTGAAACTTGCACGTACCTGCGGACTCTCCTGGAACAGGAGGCGCGGGGGGCGTGCGGGCAGGGCTGCGCCTCTGGGGGACAGTCGCAGTCGGGGGTCGGCCTTGCGGACCTGCGGACCCTGATGAGCACAGGGTGCACCGGGCAAGGCTGCACCTGGCAGGAGCAGACGATGGTGCGAGGGCCTCGCGACCTGCGCCCGCCGCCACCCCGCTTGGCCCGCTGATCCACGTGCAGCTGACAAGGCTGCGTGGGGCATCCACAGGCGCCGCCGCCGGCCGCACGGCGCCCGGCGCCCTGAACGCGTCTCCACACCCGCTCCATTCGGCCACCGGCGTGCGACTGAGAGCGGCCCTCCCCACTCCGCCACGGCCGCGCGCTCGGGCACCTTCGGCGGCGCTCGGGCGCGCTCGGCCGCCCTCGGCCGGCCGACCACCCCTGCCGCCCCAGTGCACGACGGTCGCAATCAGTCGCGCTCCGTCCTCCTCCCTCGTTCGGCGCGGATGCGGCTGCAGGGTAAGGGTCGATTTATACACGTCCGATCCGGCTCCGATCCGACTCCGGTTTGTACAGGGATGAACATGAATGCCTCTCATAGAGATGTGCTAACGCCTATGTAAAATGTGAATCCACGCATGTCGAAAACTGTACACACTTGGAAAAGATCGTGCCCCACCGAACACACTATATCACAGTGACGTAACACTGGAATAACATGACGTATAACGTATTTTATTCAAAATATACATTAATGTCGTATAACGTCGAGTTATCACCGTTCGGTAACATTGTTACAAACTTGTAAGCATTGCAGTTATATAATATTAACATAACATGTAACATGTTATCCATATGGTATGTATACGTTATGTTACTCGTTTTATAGCAGTGTTTTAGAACTGCGTAGGAAATAGTAATACAAATCTTATTTACTCCCCAACTTAATATTATATGTATGTTATATTACATGTTAGAAATGTTGTGTAACGGTTATATTATTGTTACGTCACCGTGTTTGGTGGGGCATATGTAAATGGATCTTAAGGGTCGATTTACCAACGTCCGATCCGACTTAGGTTTATGCAGGGATGAACATGACAGAGATATGGTACTGCCAATTTAAAAGACGGATGTACGCATGTATGACACTGTACCGACTGAGCCGGATCGGACGTATGTAAATGGACCTGAACCCTTTGAATCGCTCTTTCGACGATATCTTCCGATATCGGAAAAACTAGAGTCTGGACTGACCCTGACCGGACGACACGGAAACGGAAAAGTAGAAACGCTTTCACTGGAAAATATCGAGGGACTGTTCACTCAGGAAATCTTGCATTTTAAGAGGATATGAAAGGCGCTAAGAAATTTAATCAACGTCGATAAAGCAAAATTCATCTATACCCTTTTTGCTGGTAATGCCGTTTTGAATACTCAAGTGGGAACATAAGCTGGCGCGTCCCATTACCGACATTTATATTCATGTCGAAGTTTTTTACAGTCTACGGTGAGAATTATACGAACTGAAGGTTTCTTTATGTCATTTCGGTAAAGTAATGACAAAAAAATCGACGTAAAACTGCCGAAATACCATGAATTCATGACTGTTTCCCAGTGAACACTGTTATATAACTGTTGGGTAAATGTTACGTTTTCGAAACTAACATGTTATGTAACATAAAAGTAACATGGAAGTTAGATGTTAGTTATTATTTCCCACTCAGTAATGTAACATGTTACATTAATGTTATAATTTCAGTTACCTTAAAATAATATTAATTTTTCATCCACAGGCCTTCCGAAATCCACAATATTGACCCGCTCAGCTGATCGTTCGTAAACGCTCTCCTCGCTCTCTCGCCAGTCTCTTTCTATTTTATATATTAGAATTTTAATTAATTTCGGTCTCAGGAATCGTGAGGCTCGAACCCTCGAAGGATGCAGTTTCTCGGTGCATAGACATGGTCAAAACTGCATACAATTACAGTAGAAAACCACGTATATTACATGACGTATTGTACTTACCCATCCCTGGTCATTTGTTATCAAATAGATACCAGAACGCTAACCATGATGCTACCAAAGCCTATGAAGAAATATTTATTATTTTATTAAAATTACTAATATTTAATATTTATTACTACAAATATTTTTCGTACTTATGAAGACCGCTCCGGTACTTCTCGATCGATGCGAAAGATACGATGCGATAGATAACTTATTCTTAAAAGAAAACTCGTAAGTGATTGTAAAATTAAGTCATTTAAAAAGTTGTAACAGTATGTTATAAAACCATCTTCTTATTTAAAAGTATATAATAAATGTATACCGATTCACTTTTAAGATACTAAACTCATAATTTTAGTACAACGTTATATACTAAACGTGTATGAATTTTATGAATATTCTTTAAAAATATTTCATTTAAATGTGTGGAATTTTTTACAGTGTAACTACATGTTTATAAGCTGTGAAAGCTGAATGTAAACTATCAATTTAACGTTTTCGAATAGTTTAGATTTCTATACAGGTTATCTTGACTTCTATGATATATGTACTGAAAATATAGACGTGAAAAAGATTTACATATATATTCACAGGAAATTTTTAATATACATACCATAGATAATATAAGTTTTCTATGCTTATGTCCTAATTTGTCCGTCCACTATAAGTATATTATACTTCATACAGTGTCTGGTAATACATCAAAACTTATCCAGTGGTAAAAAATCATGATGTATTATAACAATAATGTAACATGTTACATAACATGTTACCTTACTGAGTGGGAATAATAACTAACATCTAACTTTCATGTTACTTATATGCTACATAACATGTTAGTTTCGAAAACGTAACATTTACCCAACAGTTATATAACAATGTTCACTGGGTATCTGAAAAGTCAAATCGTTGGGGAAAAGGTATTCCCCAAATTGGCTGTACCGATTCGTTTCAAATTTCACCGCGTGAATATCGAGGCCCTAAAGTAGGTCCTGAAACTCATAAACATTCGTTTTTAATAAAAAATTTATTTATTTATGACGGACTAGAACCAACCCGACGTGGTCCGTGCATGTCGGTGCAGTACCCAATACAATTCGACACAACTGTCAATATAAATATGAACATCGGTAACGGAGATATTTAGAGGAATCTTTTTTACCGATGCCGATCAAATGTCTCTACGTGTTTCACTTCACCTTAATGTAGTTGCGATGGTCCTAGCCTTGTGGTAAAATATTTATTTTAGACGGTGACGCAGCTGTACAAGTGTTTCCACTGTTTATGTTAATTATGTTCTACCTAAGTAATTTTTTCTGTTGCGAGAACTAACCTCACTTTGTTCTAATCTGTATGGACTTAACCCAAAATGTGGGATAGATTCAATTTATAAGATTTCTTAGACCACTTTCATAATTACGAGCACATGTTTACATACATATTTTGTATAATACTTGTATTATTATACAAAGATTAATGTTTGGCATCTTTCACCACCTTAAGGAGGTGGATTCGCATTAATTAGACCTAGTTGTGCTCAGAACGGAGGCTGCGAATATCTGCTGTAGAATTCGCGGAATGTCTCGCAAATCCATGCAGACGAAGGCTCTTCCTGAGGGCATTTTCTTTGTTAACCTAGAAAAAACGTTTAGTAGAGTGTAAACATGGCAAAGAGGGCATTAAGGGGATGTGAAAGTGGCACCTGAAAGCTCAATCGTTCATAAAACTTTTCTCCGAACTGGGTGTCTCAAATCGTTTCATAAATTTCTCGGCGCCCTGCATATCATCTTAAATAATGTATAACAAATGAGCAGGGAAGGGTACCTGGCTGCTTGGTCTCCCAGGGACCCGATGAAAATGGCGTAGGCGTTTACGTCCTTGTTGGATGTCAATATGCTAGAGAATCGCTCTGGACGTATTCCATATCGAGCCAGGTTTGCATCGGACAGAACCACTACGATTGACTCATCGGAATCTTCCTTAGCCAGGCTGGAAATCGCGTATTGTGTCGCTTCCAAGGTGTAGTCCCCGGATATGCAGAACTGGGAGTGGGCGTGCATCGTCTGGAGACATTTGCGTGCATAATGAAAGAGTAATTTGAGAGTTGTGATGAACAAAATTGGTCTTGGTCTTCGCCTTGTAGACGTGGCCAGGTCTAGGTCTAGGTCTTGATGCACAAATCCCACTTTTTGCAAGACCAAGATCACGATCAAGTTTGCCCAACCAGTCGATTTTGCACTGCGATAGCCTTAAAGTGGGCTTGCAAAAATGGCCAAATTTAGATCTCGATCATGGTATTACAAAAATCGCAAGGTCTTATCATAGCCTTAATTTTGATTTTGCAAAAATAGTAAAGTCCAGCCTTAGTCATGGTTTGGGTCTTACAAAAACTGCAAGGTCTAGACTTAGCCTTAATTTTGGACTTACAAAAGTCCCAAGGCCCGTCCTTAGCCTTGGTTTTGATCTTGCAAAAACTGCAAGGTTCAAATGCACTTTTGTAGAGTCCAAAACAATGAGCTATTCTGTTCATCGCCAATCATTAGGCCATGCAATTCACCAACACATTTTCTTAAACTACCTTGACGACCTGCAACCTCCTCTTGTTATCCACAGGAGGCTGCGATTGGTCCACAAAAGGGATGTGATAATCTTCCCCGGAGTGGCCGACGATGTCGTAACGAATCTTCCCCTCGTACCCCTCAAAGGCCTCCATCACCATCACGCAAGCTTCCATCTCGCGATCCAGCCGACCATCGTATCCATTGAACCTGTACATGCTCCCAGAAACGTCGACCACCAGCTTGAGTCGTTTCGGCTTCATCTGAGGAGTCCCCATTTCGGGTTCCTTCTCGGCTCTTCGTCTGTAGATCGTCTTCTCGCCGGTTAACCCTTCTATCAGCTTTGCGTCGTCCAGCTCGCCGGAAGTCTGGTGTCTGCACCATTGACGTTCGCTGCTTTTGGCTTGAAGACTACCTACGGTTCAAGATTAACATTAAAATTTATTGATAAGCCCAAAAACACCGCTAAGTACGACCAAGACCAAAAAGGTGAAAATAGAGCCATTGCCAACTTCAGCAATAATGTTAATGACGGTAAGGCGAACAAAGTAACTATTTCAATTATTAGGCAATTCCATAAGTTTGCAGGTATATATATAATACATATTAAGATTAATTTCTTGTGACAAAACGAACCACCCAATTAATGATGCAATTTTCGGCACTGTTACTTCAGCATGAAATTATCTGCTAAGAAAATTCCCTGTATGTGTGTCCGCAGACTTAAGAGCGATGCAATATCAACATACGAATAAAATGAAACAAGAGGAAACAACGTGCGGTTAGTTTTGAGGAGACTATAAAAGTCTGGTACGGGATGCAAGAAACTGTATAAAAAGGGTCGCTCGGGGAGATCCAAGGTCTTCAGGCCTGAATTTTGAAGACTGAAGACGAATTACTGCCGAAGACGGTCCTGATACTCGCCTAAGATGACTCTCAGAGCTTGCACTTGCTTCTGCACGGCATTGCTGAATTGGATGTACATATTGTGATCGTACTCGCTCATCTGGATGTCCTTCAAGCGCTGCTTGAAAGCTCGCTGGCCCATTTCGCGAGCGGCCTTCTTCACCTCTTCAGGAACGGCATCTTTCTCCTCATCGCTGAGTTGGTGAACGGTGTGGCCAGCATCCAATCTGTATGGACCACCTTTTCCGCCAAGCCCTGCCGTGTCCCTGCCTGAAAAAGCACTCTTTAAAGTGATACGAAAGAGTCAGCCTATGTATATCTGAGAGGTCCAATCGTTGATGAAGGTATTCTTCGAATTGGATGTACCGATTTGTTTGCAATTTTACCACGTGAATTTGAAGGCCCTAATGTAGGCTCTGAAACTCATGAAGGTAGACTAGACTTAGACTTGATTATGGTTTTATAAAAACTGCAAAGTCCAGTCTTAAAATTGATTTTGGTTTGACAAAAACTGTAAAGTCTAGTCTTAGCCATGGTTTTGGTATTATAAAAACTGCAAGGTCTAGACTTAGCCTTGATTTTGGGTTTACAAAAAGTGCAAGGTCCGGTCTTAACCTTGATCATGGTTTTACAAAAATTGCAAGGTTCAGTCTTAGCGTTGATTTTGGTTTGAGAAAGACTGCTGTCTAGTCTTAGCCATGGTTTTGGTCTTATAAAAACTGCAAGGTCTAGACTTAGCCATGATTTTGGTCTTATAAAAACTGCAAGGTCTAGACTTAGCCTTGATTTTGGGTTTACAAAAATTCCAAGGTTCAATCTCAGCCTTAATCATGGTTTTACAAAAATTGCAAGGTCCAGTCTTAGCCTTGATCATGGTTTTACACAAATTGCAAGGTCCAGTCTTAGCCTTGATTTTGGTTTTACAAAAATTGCTGTCTAGTCTTAGCCATGATTTTGGTCTTATAAAAACTGCAAGGTCCATTCTTAGCCTTGATTATGGCTTTACAAAAATGGCAAAGCCCAATCTTAGCCTTGATATTGATTTAAAATTTCGATCGGTCTTTATCAGTGTAGACTTTTGTCTAGATCCATTTTAGAGAACCCACCTCCAGTTCCCCCAGCCCAAGTGTTGCCACCGACATGGGGCTCGTTCTTCTCGTCCACCTTCCCGTGCTTGGGACCGCTGACATCCAGCCCGGAATACCGTTCCTTCGTGATCTGTAAACGTCGCCCGTCCTCGCCGACCATTTTTCTCCACTCCCCCAAAGACTTTTCGATGCTGATCAGCGAAACTTCCCACAAGCGAACACACGCTCCCGCGTCTACGGTCACCAAGCCCTGATTAGATGTTGCTGCTGCGTATGTGGGAAGTTCCTTGGAGTAGAGCCATTGGGCGACTGGAGATAGTTTAACGGGTCTGGAAAGATGCAGGGTCACAAATATTAATTTATAGAAGCTCTAGGAATAGTGGAATACACGTTTTGTACAAGTAAAAGTAAGGANTATGTGGGAAGTTCCTTGGAGTAGAGCCATTGGGCGACTGGAGATAGTTTAACGGGTCTGGAAAGATGCAGGGTCACAAATATTAATTTATAGAAGCTCTAGGAATAGTGGAATACACGTTTTGTACAAGTAAAAGTAAGGAAAATGTAAGGTGGGTGTAAATAACAAACGATGATCTATGTGGGAAGGTCCTTGGGGTAGAGCCATTGGACGAGTGGAGACAATTTAACGGGTCTGGAAAGATGCAGGGCTATAAATATTAATTTATAGAAGCTAACGTTATGTTGTTTGTTAGTTTTAAGTTACGTAATTGTTAGGTGTGGTGTTCAGTGGGATCTTACGCACTTTACAGCAGGAAAACTCACTCTGGAATAGCGATGTACCGCACTTTATGGTTGATTGTGTCAACCACCTCCAAATAAGCCGAAACACCAACATGAGTTTCGTTTTGCGAAGGGATGGCATCAGTCGGAACCTGTCCACGTGGCAAAGTCCTGACAACGGTGCCATGATCGAAGACAATGGGTCGAGTGAGAGTTCTCGTTCTCTCTTTCCTCGGCCAGAAATAAACATCCAAGGTGCTGTCCAAGTCTGGAAACCCAACGACGACGCTGGCGAACGTCGAGTCGCTGGCCATTAATCTGTTAGGTGAGCTGATTTTCTGTTGTAAAACCTCGCTAAGGATCGAATCCTTAAGACCACTTCGACCACAGCTCAGGATCCTCCCTAGGTTCGCCTCTCCTGCATCCCCGGACTCTACGACATGTCTCAATGTATTCGGACACGGACTTTTGCCGGATACCTTCTCCAGGATGTACTTGGTCCTGGCTGCGTCCTGGACCAGCCACTTCTCTGGAGAAGCTAAGAGGACCAAACTGATGTCAAATGGCAAAGCCAGAGAATATGCGGTCATGGTCTTCAAGTCGATCACCTCCATTTTGTTTCCACCAGGTGTGTAGAAGACCAGCTGATCATCCGATGTGGACAGATCTGGCTGCAGCTTCCATGTCGAATCTTTGCTTCCGAAGGCATTAGATAGTCTATCGCTGGCGGATTCCAGGAAGGAGGATAGTTGGAATGGTCTCACTGATTTCTCTTCCAGGTTCACGTACAGAAGCCCGTTCGTCTAAGAATATGGTGTATGAGTATATTGTTACAGTATTGCAATATTACAGAACCGGGTGGTCCACTTAAAATGATATGAAAGGCGCTGAGAAATTTAATCGAGGTCGATAAATTAAAATTCATCTATACACTTTTTGGTAGTAACGTCATTTTGAATACGTAAGTGGTAACGTAAGCTGGCGCGTCACGTTACCGAATTTATATTTATGTTGAAGTCTTTTACAGTCTACGTTGAAAATTATACTTGAAATCCAAGACAGATCTTCAGGTTCGGCTTTAAGTGGACCACCCGACATGTTCCTTTTAGCAAATTTATCCCTCGTGGATAATAAAAAATGTTTACAAGGAAACATTCCCAAGTGTCCGCCGCCGATCTTACTGATTTTCGTACATGTTGAAGAACGAAAAATCTTTTTTTTGTTCTTTGCTTTTTGCCAATAAACATTTATACATCGGTTGAGAATGGATGTAGGTGGTATACAGGTATATCCCGACAATCTTTATTGGGTCATATCGTGACCAATTAATTGTCCATAAATCGTGTAAACGTGCTAATTCCTCAAAATATCCTTGGTTATCATAACGTGCAATTATTTATAAATAAATTAAAAAAAACAGTTTAAGAGGCTGAAATTCTTTCGCAACAGACTCGATGGCGATGTAACCCAATAAAGATAGTCGGGATATACCCATATACCACCTACATCCATTCTTTTCAACCGATATATAAATGTGTATTGGCAAAAAGCAAAAAACACGTATTTCCTAATTTTTCGTGAGCAATCACATGGCGTAAGTGGAACTTAAGTAGAAGTGCTTGTTTAATAGATATTAAAAAAAAATTTCGTCCGAAGGGTAGTTCACCCCCTTGAGGTGGTGCAGCATTCCTGGACAATATTGTGTTTTCACCGTCCTTATACAGAATACGTTTATGCCAAGTTTCGTCGAAATCCCTCCCCAGCTTTTACAAAAATTAATATAAAAATCGAATTTTTGTCAAACTTTGGGGGGTTGTTTCCCCCCTTAAATATGGACCATTGCAGATAAAAAAACACGGGTGTCTTAGATGTTTATGTTCTTCAACATATATGAAAATTAATAAGATCGGCGGCGGACACTTGGGAATGTTTCCTTGTTAGTTAGAAACGTACCGATTCTTCGTGTACCAGAATATTCCCCTTACTATCAGCCGCCAGGGCGTATGAAAGTTTATGACCTGGTACTGGTTGCAGCAGCCCTTCAAACGATATTTGCTGTATCTCTTCGGATTCTGGAGTCATGCTGAAGATGGATAGAGGGTTTGTCGCGAGGACGTGGATGCTGTCGTCCGTTCCGTCACCTTTTACGCCTTTCGTCACCAACAAATCGACCACTGCACTCATTTCTTTAATCGGGATCGTCCAGTAATTCTGAAGCTCCGTGAACATGGAGGATCTTGCTTCCACTCGATCTAGTACATGAGTTCTCGACTTTGAGTGCTTTGGCGACTTCAATTTGATGAATCTCTCCTGAACTGGCACAGTAATTGGACTGTTTGCGATCTTCCAGGTTCCACTTCTCACCGCTGGCAGAGACATTCTGCGGAGGAAATGGGAAATAAATGATATAAGCTCTTAGTGCGTAAGTTTTATTAGCGAAAGATTCATTCGGGGCTTTTACCCTTACAGATAATTTACACGGAATTTGCGTGAAATCGTCTTACTCTTTGCCAAAAGCGACATTGTTCCCACTGGTCCCAACCGGGATGCCGTGTTTGTGGAGAATTGTCACCAAAGTGTCGAACACCTCCTGAGAGTATCGGTCGAAATCGAAGACGTTGTTCATCACGGTGGCCAAAGGCTCGTCTGGGAATTGCTGAAACATTTCCTCGCGTTTAGTCTACAGGTTTAGTTAAGAATATACTAAGGTGAAGTGAAACACGTCGAGAAATTTGATCGACGTCGGTAAACCAGATTCTTCTAAATACCTCCTCCTTGGGGGTAAAGGAGAGATCACATGTGTTAGTCAACGATATCTCACATACGGGAGGAAGAGAGACGCATATAGAAAGACGAGTATTGTGTGTAAGATAAAGAAAGAATGCAATTCGCTATGTATCGCCACGATATCAAGAGAGATGGAGAGATGATTGCAGCGCCGCCATCCGTTGGCTAACATACTATTCATCAAGCATCGAACGTCCATATCCTTCTGGGCTTCTATGGAGACTTCTAAATTCTTTGTCTATGTCAATACTTGTATATCGATCGAAATATGAAAGCACAACGCCATATTCGTTCTAGTCTAGGCTAAGTAAAAGAAATTTGTTTAGTATTGTGTGTAAGATAAAGATAGAATGCAATTCGCTATGTATCGCCACGATATTAAGAGAAATGGAGAAATGATTGCAGCGCCGCCATCCGTTGGCTAACATACTATTCATCAAGCATCGAACGTCCATATCCTTCTGAGCTTCTATGGAGACTTCTGAATTCTTTGTCTATGTCGATACTTGTATATCGATCGAAATATGAAAGCATAACGCCATATTCGTTCTAGTCTAGGCCAAGTAAAAGAAATTTGTATTGAAACTCCAAATTTTAAAAGTGTCAGAACACTTCTTATATGATCCCGAGTCGTGTGCTTAAAATTCAAACAGTTCGGTAGAATACTCTTTACAAAAAAGTGTCGTTTTCAAATCGACTGATTTGAGGCGGGTTTCACTTCGTCTTAATAATTCTGTGTTAATCAATGATCTTGACAAAATAAATGATACCTGTAAGTGTTTAACTATGTTCACGACTTCTCGAGTGGAATAAGGATACGAAACGAGTCCTTGGTCCGCCATGTTTCTGAGCTCTCCAAACGCCTTCACCAATTTCTGTATTATCTTGTCATCGACCGAAGGACCGTACTGTTTTAGCAGCATTATTTCATCCTTTATACTCGGATTGTCAACGGAATGCGTGCTGAACAAATCTCCGAGGGCACCAAAGAAATCGTTCCCCAAAAAAGGGAACCCGGGCCTGTTGGCCAATACTATTATCCTGAAATCTGGATGCATAGGAACGATGCTGGAACCTTTCTTATCACCGGCTGCCGAATGGACTATCCGCCGACCATCGGAGAGAATCATTTCCCCCGACTCCACGAGGGTCTGAAAGAAAAATGGATAATGTTAAGGTGATATGAAAGAGTCAGCCTAAATATATCTGAGAAGTGAAATCGTTGGTGAAGGTATTCTCCGAATTGGGGGTACCGATTCGTTTCAAATTTTCCCACCTGAATATGGAGGCACTAAAGTAGGTCCAGAGACTCATGAAATTTCATTTTTCATTAAAAATTTATTTACTTATCATGGACTAGAACCAACATGGCGTGGTCCGGGCACATTTTCGATGTTTTACGCTTCTTGGAGGGTTATAATCGAAAATAAAGAATTTCAGGACCTAGCTCGAACAATTTAAAATATCCTAAAAATTGAATATTACAGAGTTAGATGGAAAAATATGGAAAATACACTTTCACCAACGATTGCAAGAGAATGCTGGCTCATCTCGGGGCTAACACGTGTTTTTGGAACAGAAATTTAGTTTTAGCTAAACGTCACAGATGGCGACGTTGGTTCGAAATAGTCGTTAGAATAATGAATTCACGGGATTTCGACTATTATACGTCGATCTTTTCATCATTACTTCACCGAAATGACATATGGAACGCTTTAGTTCGTATAATTCTCAAAGTAGACTCTAAAAGACTTCGACATAAATATAATTCCTCTGAATTCATGGTTTCCGATGTCGTAATTAACTGCAGAGTGCCACCCCGCGCCATCTGTGATTTTAGTTTTAACTACATTTTCTCTCCAAGACCTCGTGTTACCTTCGTTTTAGCACAGAAGCGCATAAGGCACTTTTTTTCCCTTTATCCCATTAAAATGCGAATTTCTCGATTACGAGAGTGTTCTAAATTATCGTACAACTGTCCTGCCACTTTCGTTCCTCGTATTAGAGCCTTCAGTAATTGTATATCGATCGAAATATGAGATCTCGACGCCAATTTGATTCCGATCTGGGCTAAGTTAATGAATTTTCTTCGACAATCCGAATTTTGAAAGTGTCAGGATAATTCCTAAGTGCTCACGAGTCACGTGTCGATGTTTCAAACGATTCGGTTCAATACTCTTTAAAAAAAATGGTTTTATTCAGATCGACTAATTTGAAGGGAGTTTCACTCCACCTTAATAACTTAGAAAGCAAGATGCCAGATTGCGAAATGCTTACTTTTAATATACAAGTAACATGCGTAGGGGCCTTATCGGCCTCATCTATCACAAGAACATGTCCCAATTTCACCGCTTGGACCAAAGGAGAGTCCTCATAAACCACAACGCCATCTCTAACCATCGGCTGAATGGTCAAAGTCTGAACAGTCGTATCCCTGTGCAACTGAATGTACTCTCTAGGCCTGTTAAGAAGCTGAAGAAGCCTGTCGACGATTTTATTCTTCCCAACGCCCTGATTACCAACGAGTAGCAAATTACTCCCAAGGCTGAAGTCTTGCAACAAGGTCTCTAGAAGGACCAGGTGCTGTGGCACGTCGTAGAAGAGAATGTCAGGGACTTTCGTTAGGGCTTCAGTCTTGAACCTTTTTAAGGTCGTACTTCCAATGGTCACGGAATCGTCAGTGACCTTACAAGATATATTTAATTCCTTTCCATCAGTTTTTCCCGTGATACCGTGCTGTCGCAGGCAGTCTTCCAGGGACTGTTTTGCTATCGTTGGAAGAAATCTAGCGAGACATGCTCTATGCACCGCTTCGTAGGCGTCGTCTTCAGGAAACTTTTGCATCCTTGCTGCGATCCTTAAAAGTTGCCTTGTGCTTAAAGATCCAGCCAAGGAATGTAACGTGGGGTCGCTGGATGACCTCAAGGTGTGCGCCAGGTTGATGATGTTCAGAAGAGCTGGACTTGGTTCTCCATACTGGAACAGAAAATCGATTAAGGTGATATGAAAGCCGCTGAGAAACTTAGTCAACGTCGATCAACTAAAATTCAACCTGTACTCTTCTTATGACGCGAAATTTTCGTATATTATACCTTAATTATAATTATTTCGTATATTACACCTTAATGTACGAAAGTTTCGCGTCATATAAATCTTTCTTAATCTTCAAAGGAAAACATGGAGTTAGAGAGGGATACAAATTGTAAATGTATTCACCTTGGACCGAATTATGTGGATCTCCTCCGATTTGTCGAGAGGTCTCATCTCGTGGAAAAGGAAGAGACTGAGCAGCTCAGAGTTTAACCATAAACCGGAAGAGCTGTTAAGAATCGGAGGTTCCGATAAGGCTATTAATCTGAAAGAAGGGTGGATTCTCAGGACACCCGATTTCTGCATCTCTTCGTCGGTCTTCTTGCTTTCTGCCTTTTGCTCGTCGTACCGATCCGCTCTTACGAGTCGCTTTCCGTCGTGCAACTGCAATTCTCGGTCTTGAATCAGCCTGCGAATGTTTTAGGACTTTAAGGGGATGTGAAAGTGGCATCGAAGAGGTTTTTGTTTAGAAAACTTTTCTCCCAACTCGATTTACCGAATAGTTTGAAACTTTACAACGGGAATAGGGAGACTGTAAGGAAGGTCCTGAAACTCATGGAATTTCAATTCTTTTCAAATTTGTTTATAGGTATTTTAAAAATAGTTTATAAAAAATGAAGTTTCACACTTTATAACATGACTACGAAGGCTATAAGGAAGGTCTCGACATCATGAAATTTCAATTTCATCAAATTTGTTTATTGTCTTTTTCAAATTTTTCATAAAAACTAATATTTCAAGGGTGCCAGGACCTTTCTTAAAGCCTTCATATTCATATTGTAAAGTTTAAAACGGTTCGGCAGACCCTTTTCAGAAGAATGTTTCACAAACGAACTCTCTTTAATGCCACTTTCATATCACCTTAAGGTGTTATGAATGGGTTATGATATACATATCGACGTCTATAAAGCAAAATTCATCCACACAATACACTTTTCGGTGGCAACTGTAGAGACTCAAGTGGTAACATAGGTTGAAATGTAAATGTCGTTACCGACATTTGTACTCATATTGACGTACAATGGCGGACATGAATGCCTCCCCTGCAGATACGGCATCGCCTGTGCAGGATGGGAGGGCATTGATGTCTCCCAGTGTACGTACGTAGAAACCCAAGATGTAACATAGATTGAAATGTAAATGTCGTTACCGACATTTGTACTAATATTGACGTACAATGGCGGACATGAATGCCTCCCCTGCAGATACGGCATCGCCTGTGCAGGATGGGAGGGCATTGATGTCTCCCAGTGTACGTACGTAGAAACCCAAGATGTAACATAGATTGAAATGTAAATGTCGTTACCGACATTTGTACTCATATTGACGTACAATGGCGGACATGAATGCCTCCCCTGCAGATACGGCATCGCCTGTGCAGGATGAGAGGGCATCGATGTCTCTCAGTGTACAATGGCGGACATGAATGCCTCCCCTGCAGATACGGCATCGCCTGTGCAGGATGGGAGGGCATTGATGTCTCCCGGTGTACGTACGTAGAAACTCAAGCGGTAACATAGGTTGAAATGTAAATGTCGTTACCGACATTTGTACTCATATTGACGTACGTTACACTTAACGTTGACAATTGAAACATTAAAGAATACCTATGGATGACGGCCAGAGTACTTGAATGAATTCTGTGTATTCCATCCAGCACTGCCAATTTCCCATTCAGAGCAGCAGTCACCAGAGGTGAATCTTTCCAAACGGTATCGCCATTAGATGAGGTCGTGCGTTGTTGTATCAGGTCCCTAGAAGTCATATCCTGAGAAAATATGTGAGACAATTCAAGGTATCCACTCAAACAAAGAAAAGATAAAAGTGGACGAACCAGCTGACTAGCGATGAGCAAAATCGGCATTAGACTTGAAAATACCGTCAAGACTTAAGGTGGAGCGAATCACGCCGTGAAATTTCATCGATTTCGGTAAATAGGATTCTTATAAATACCTACGTTACAGACGTTCGTATTTGTATGGACAGCTTTTTCGAATTATGTATTTATATTTCGAATTATCGAAGTATGAATACAATTTATTTTCCGAGCTGGTTCGCCAAGAAATCCAAGTTTTTTACACCTCGACCACTTACTTGGTAAAGCACTATCGGCTCCACTTCGTAGCCCAAAAAGTCGGCCAACTTTTCAACGGTTATCGACTTTCCGCAGCCTCTTGGACCTACGATGCATAAATCTGAAGCCAAATGAGACTGCAACACGTTGGCTAACAAATTATCCTGATAACTCGTCGATATGTAATTAGAGGTCTCTATACTCTTATAGCTTCCAGCACCACAGAAGACCTGATGATCAAAATTAAAATTTGATATTAACAACCTTAAGGTAATATGAAAGGGTCCTTGTGTATATATCAAAACGTCAAAATAAAACATTTCTCCAAAAGGGATGAAAAATTAAAATTTGATATTAACAAGCTTAAGGTGATATGAAAGTGTGATATACACATAAGAAGAAGTGATAATATTTATTAAACTTTTCTCCAAACTGGGTGCACCGAATTATCTGAAACTTTAACACGTGATTATGGAGGTCCTAATGAAAGTCTTGAAACTCGCAAAATTTCATTTTTTAAAAAAGAACTGTGTCCTTGGTTTTGGTCTGAGATAAATAAAATAATTTCTTTCGAAAAATGAGATTTCGCGAGATTTAAAACCATCATCAGGATCTCTATAATCACGTGTTAATGTTTCAAATGACTTGATGCACCTAGTTTGGAGAAAAGTTGTATATTTTGACGATTTAATTTTTTTATATAGAATGACCTTTTGATGACACCTTAAAATATACATATTAAATATATAAATAAAATCGCAAATTCGAGTAATCGCTCACGTCTAAAATTGTCTGATGACCGCTGGAATTAATTTTAACGTTAGCCGTGTCTTTTGTCCTTTCAATATTTTCTATTCTGGTAGACTGATTGCTTTCCGATGAATTAATCCGAACTCCAAAAGTTTTGAGTATATCCTCGACTGCTGTTTTTCCTTCCTTCCCGAGAAACAGCTTGTAAGGATACAGTCTGTAAAAAACGTCGAACGCCTCCATATCTGGAAATTTATCCTGCAATGATATTTCAAGTTAATTTTAATTTTAGTAAAAATTGTATTTATTAATTGCATTCGGTTTTGTCAAATTGAACGTACTAAGATCAGTGCAGCCGAGATGAGACTATCCAAGGGAAAATCTGTAAGTCCCAGGTCCATTGCTTCTCGACTGATAAGAGCATAACAACATGATACGAGTTGAGACAGTTTTCCGGGATCAACATTAGCTGCGACTCGCTTCAACAATTCCAATTGCTCCTGGAAAAGGATAGAAAATCTGAATTTAAATCCTGACATCTCCAACATTACCTAAAAGTTTTGACAAAAATTAAAAAAGAAATAAACGATGGATAATAAAAATTCCCACGAGAGTAAATCATGAGACTGGATCGAGTTTCGAGCAAAGTACATTTTTGGGCATACATTACATACGAAGATTTAAATTTCACTAAAAGACGATTCAATTAAAATCTACTCAAAAAACACCTTAGGTGTGAAGAAAAGAAACTTGACTAAATAGATTTTTGTTTCCTACTTCGATTACAATAATAGCCCAAATCGCATTTTTTCCTGTTAATAAACGGAAATCAATTTTTTTTACCAATTCAATTAACATCTAACGGAATTCCTATTAATTTATAAAAGCATTTCATAGTAAATTATTTTCTATTATTAAAAATTAGTAATCAGTGTCAAAGAAGTTAATGCAGGTCGTCTTCAAGGATGCGCCGCCATCTTTGATCACCTGACTCGATTTTATTCGTCGCAGCATTTCGTTGGTTAATTTCCTTTTTACCACGTAGGGAAATCGCTATTTTTACCATTGAATTAAAATCCAACAGAATTCCTTTCAATTTTTAAATGTTTCATTAATTATTATAATCAATGTTAAGAAAGTTAATGCAGGTCGTCTTCAAGGATGCGCCGCCATCTTTGATCGCCTGGCCCTATTTCATTAGTCGCAGCATTTCGTTAATTGATTCCCATTTTACCACGGGAAATCGCTATTTTTACCATTCAATTAAGATCCAACAGAATTCCCATTAATTTTTTAATATTTTATTCCATATTATAATCAGTGTCAAGAAAGTTAATGCAGGTCGTCTTCAAGAATGCTCCGCCATCTTTGATCACCTGACTCGATTTCATTCGTCGCTGCATTTTGTTAGCAATTTCCCAACGTGGCTGATTAACGAGAAGAGGTTTCTGCCGAGATTGCTGAAATGCTAAAACTAACTACTCTCAGACACGAAATCCTCGAGATTGCCCTTGCGATTATGAAGTTTCGAATCGCAATCGTAGAGTGCAATCTCGAGTTCTCGAGTTCTCGAGGGCCAAGATCGATCGAGTAATCGACGATGCGTGATTGGCTCGCGATAACACGGCACGCCGAAATTATTATCCGGCTTGAATTTCCTGGGATTCGACCTGGCGAAATTGGGAGGTTTCGATTCTTCCATTATTCCCTCCACGCGATGAGTAATGGTATATTGCAGGGAAAGTAATTGAACTCTCCTATAATTTCAAATAACGCATGAACTACTCCCATCAAAATGATTTCAATTATTGACCAAAACATGAAAATTATATTGAAATTTTTAAAAATGATTAAGCCACTTTGCATTATTTACGGAATGTTGTAAATGCATGTCGACGTTTATTAATTGAGCGAAAATTCAGTTTCCAGGCAATATTAATTAAATGAACATTTTAGTTTATAAAAATAAAGAGACAACTCTACTTTTTCACGATTCATATTTTACAGAATAGCGAAAATGTGTAGCCTGAAATCTATTCACTGGGCCAAAATTCATTACCTAGGCGAAATTAATTTAATGAACATTATAGAGTCTAAAAATAAAGAGGCAACTCTCCTTTTTCATAATTCATTTTTTATAGAAAATTGAAAATGTGTAGTCTGACGTCTATTAACTGGGCCAAAATTCATTATCTAGGCGAAATTAATTAGATGAACATTCAAATTTGCAAAAATAACGAGACAACTCCTTTTTCATAATTCATTTTTTATAGAATATCGAAAATGTGCATCATGACGTCTATTCACTGAGCGACAATTCAGTTTCCAGGCGATATTAATTAAATGAACATTGTAATAATAAAGAGGTAAAATAATAAAAATTAAATGAACATTCTAATAATAAAGAGACAACTCTACTTTTTAACGATTCATATTTTACAGAATATCGAGAATGAGTATCCTGACGTTTATTCTGTTCTTAGCTTCGGCCGCGATTAGCTTTTGTTATTCCTTGAAGGAGAGTTTAACAATGTTCATAAAGAGCCATCGGCACTGTCATTTTCAACAAAATTGCTGTTTTCCGTCCTGCAAGGAAGCAGAACTCACCGGAAATCCGCTTTCACGGCGCCTTAACGATTCGCAGAGGTATGTCGGTAATAAAAGAGCGAAACTCGCGCCTCGTTTTCACGGGGAAAATGATCTTCGTGCACGTAATCTCTTCCCGCAATAAGAAATAGCGAGCTCGTTTTCATTTTTTCATTTTACTCCTCCCATTTATTTATCTTTACACAAATACTGAAAGTGGACGGAACCATGAGACCCCTAAAACATCCGATAATTCTTTATCGATCGCTCCTTCGACTAATAGCTTCAATTAAGATATGAATTAGGCGCTGAAGTTAAAAATTAAAATTGTTTAAATTATTCCATTATATCTTTTCAATTCATGAAATGTTCCTGAGAGGATGTCTTTGTTGAAGGATTTAATTGTGAGAGAAAGAAGTGCAATTGAGGTCTCTCCGATAGGGAAATTCTTCAATTTTCCTTCACTTTACATCTCACTAATTATGGTATTGCACTGGAATTGAAATTAAGATTATTGATAATATTGGATTACCCAGAGTTAATCTTAATCGTTCAAAAAGTCTTTGTTGAAGGATTTCACTTTAGCATAAAAATGCGCAGCTTCTTGGTTAGGATTCTGAAGAATTTACCCTCCCTCTAATTGTCCTCCAATTTTCCTTTTCTTCTAATTTTCATTAATACTATTATTAAACTAGAATTTAAATTAAGATTATTTACAGCATCGGATTATCCAGAGTAATGTTAATCATTCAAAGAGTCCTACAAGATACTTTTGTTGAAAGATTTCACCTTAGCATGAAGATGTGCAGCTTCCTGGTCGAATTCTGTAGACTTATCCTTCGTCCTGATTATCCTTTAAATTTCCACCTCTTTTTATTAATTTAATTGAAAATGAATTAGACATCTCTTTGCATTTAATTGAAAATTAAAATTAAAATCAAAATTGAAACAAGCATCTAAGTGTTTCCAATTTTCTCAATCGATCAAGGACTCCTGCGAGGACGTCTTCGCGGAAGGATTCAACTTTGGCATGAAAATGTGGAGCTGAGGTCTCTCAGAAGGATTCCAAACGACTTTTCCTCGTCCTGATTATCCTTCAAATTTCCACCTCTTTTTATTCATTTAATTGAAAATGAATTAGACATCTCTTTGCATTGAATTGAAAAGTAAAATTAAAATTAAAATTGAAACAAACATTTGAGTCTCTCCCATTTTCTCAATCGATCAAGGACTCCTGCAAGGACGTCTTCGCGGAAGGATTCAACTTTGGCATGAAAATGTGGAGCTGAGGTCTCTCAGAAGGATTCCAAACGACTTTTCCTCGTCCTGATTATCCTTAAAATTTCCACCTCTTTTTATTAATTTAATTTAAAATGAATTAGACATCTCTTTGCATTGAATTGAAAAGTAAAATTAAAATTAAAATTGAAACAAACATTTGAGTCTCTCCCATTTTCTCAATCGATCAAGGACTCCTGCAAGGACGTCTTCGCGGAAGGATTCAACTTTGGCATGAAAATGTGGAGCTGAGGTCTCTCAGAAGGATTCCAAACGACTTTTCCTCGTCCTGATTATCCTTAAAATTTCCACCTCTTTTTATTAATTTAATTTAAAATGAATTAGACATCTCTTTGCATTGAATTGAAAAGTAAAATTAAAATTAAAATTGAAACAAACATTTGAGTCTCTCCCATTTTCTCAATCGATCAAGGACTCCTGCGAGGACGTCTTCGCGGAAGGATTCAACTTTGGCATGAAAATGTGGAGCTGAGGTCTCCCAGGAGGGGTCCAAACGACTTTTCCCTCCCTCTGATCATCCCCCAATGTCCCAATCCCCTCGAGAACCTTCAAAGTCTTCTTCCTAGTAAGAAAAGGTCCTATAACGGTGGGTCCTTCCACCGAAGACGAGTCCTGGCCAATTTTGGAGCTCCTCCTCCTGGGCAATCTGCCCCCCACAACCTGATTCTCCATTTTGCAGTCGGTCTGCAAATTATAATTCTGCACAGGCACTCGTTCCTTGGGAAAACTCGCAGGACCCTCTCTTTTAAAAATTTTTTTCTTCAAGTTCCCCCCCTTCCCCTCGCTCGTCCTGGGACCGAATTCATACTCCTCGCCGAATTCCTGCACCTTCCCTGATAAGTCCAGCCACTGCAGGACTCGTTCCGACAAAGGATTTGGATTAACAAGAGTTTCGGAGAACTTGGGGAGTCTAGGGAAGCCGAGGTCCTCTGCGATTCCCCCAGGACGAGGATGCCCCAGGTAGACTGTCTCCTCCTGGACTTGCCGGCAGTTTTGTCCTGGCATTAATTCTGGAAGTCCTTCCAGCAGATTTCCACGTCCTAGGTCCTCGGACAATTTCGAAAGGTTCTCGGGATACAATTCAGAGTCCTTTGGGGGAGCCATCGAGGTCCTTGGGCAAGGAGGCGCTGATCTTCGTCGGGACTTCCTGGGGGAACTTCCGCTCTCCGTTTGCTCCTTTTCCAAGGACACTGGCAATTTCACTAGACAACCGTCCAGACTTCCTGGATTTAATTTCAGCTTACTCGTGGGATTGATTTTGTTCTTTCCGAGGTGGTCGGCACTTCCTGTTCGCCTTCTTCTGGAACTGATCAAAGGATCGTCAGGAGACAGGATCGCGTGGCGAATTCCGTCCACCCAGACTGTCCTTACGGAAATCGGTCGTTCCGATGACGACCAAATCGCAGGCATCCTTCAACAACTCTTTCTCTTCGTTTCGTCTCTTTGCCCGGTGTTTTGTTATTGTTTCCTCTTGTAATTCTTTCAGGATTCCTTGAGGATCAGTGACGAACATGGAAATTATTAAAAATGTTCATCCACTTTGTTCAACTGACGGTGTTTTGTTATTGTTTCCTCTTGTAATTCTTTCAGGATTTCTTGTGGATCAATGACGAACATGGAAATTATTAAAAATGTTCATCCACTTTGTTCCACTGGCGGTGTTTTGTTATTGTTTCAAAACCTCCTCTTGTAATTCTTTCAGGATTTCTTGTGGATCAATGACGAACATGGAAATTATTAAAAATGTTCATCCACTTTGTTCAACTGACGGTGTTTTGTTATTGTTTCCTCTTGTAATTCTTTCAGGATTTCTTGCGGATCAATGACGAACATGGAAATTATTAAAAATGTTCATCCACATTGTTTAACTGACGGTGTTTTATTATTGTTTCTTCTCGTAATTTTTTCAGGATTTCTTGAAGATCAATGACGAACATGAAAATTATTAAAAATGCTCATCCACTTTATTTAATTCATGAGGAAGTCCTCTTCACACATGATTAATTTCTCACAACATGTCGGATTTTATCCACTTTCGAGGTTGACAAAAGTCTTCGAAGAAGATGTTCCCAAATCAACAAAACCGAAGTCAAAGTTGAAGAAGCTCAGGACTATCGACACCTCGAAGGAGATTCTCTTCAAATATGATTAATTTTTCATAACATGTCGGATTTTATCCACTTTTGAGGCTTACAAAAATCCTCGAAGAAGGTGTGTCTCTCTTCAGATTTTCTCGAGTCAGCAAAACCGAAGTCGAAGTTGAAGAAGCTCAGGACTATCGATATTTCGAAAGAGGTCCTCTCTCAACATGATTAATTTCTCATAACATGTCAGATTTTATCCACTTTTGAGGCCGATAAAAATCCTCGAAAAAGGTGTATCTTCCTTGAGATTTTCCCATGTCGGCAAAACCGAAGTCAAAGTTGAAGAAGCTCAGGACTATCGACGTGGTGCGTGCCTCGGAAGATGGGACAAGTACGGTACCGTTTAGGACACGCGATCCAAACTGCGGTGCCTGTGACGGTCGCACAGCCACGGAATCGGTTTATATAGGACGGAAGCGAAACCCGGAGGGGATGTCGGGGTTCCTTTACGACCACCAACCCCCGTTTCCACCCAACAACCCTACAGCGATTCATTCGCATAAATCAACATGACTTTTCCAAGCCATGCGCGCAGTCATTCCATCACGACAATAATCGACGTGAATGACGCGATCAATTATCATCATAAAATTAGGTAGATGTAACACATTATATAGTAAACGTGATTTTCAAAGTAGATAATACGTCATATAGTAAACATGACTTTTCCAAGCCATGCGCGCGCAGTCATTCCGTCACGAAAGAATTGCCATTAATGATGCGATCAATTATCATCAGAAAATTAGGTAGATATAATTCATCATATAGTAAACGTGATTTTCTATAGTAAACGCGACTTTTCCAAGCCATGCGCGCAGTCATTCCGTCACGAAAAGAATTGCCATGAATGACGTGATCAATTATCATCATAGAATTAGGTAGATATAATGCGTCATATAGTAAACGTGACTTTCTACGTAGGTAATACGTCATATGGTAAACATGATTTTCTATAATAAGCGCAACTTTTCCAAGCCACACGCGCAGTCATTCCGTCACAAAAATCGACGTGAATTACGCGATCAATTATCATCAGTGAATTAGGTAAATATAATACGTCATATAGTAAACGCGACTTTTCCAAAACGGAAAAACGAACGGCAACGTAGGTATTTAGAAAAATCTTCTTTATCGACGTCGATCAAGTTCCTCTACGTGTTTCACATCACCTTAGAGAGTTAAAGAGTCGATGGAAGTCTGCAATTCGAAGGACTTGCAATGTCGAGTAATCATGCAGACCCGTGTACATTGTCAGGCATCACCTGTCCATTGTAGGAAGAAATTAGATTCGTGTCCCGGCGTTATTAGCTCACATTTAATTGACCTTCATTACGAGTCTCTTGCGCTCGATGCTCTTACGAGATATAGCGAATTGAATGGGCAACTAATTTAAAAGTTTTAAAACGAAACCGCGGTGCCTAATTTGAAAAGTTGCTTAATGCCCGATAGCAGGATTTCCGGTATCCTGAATTTCCAGCATTACCGCTGTAATACAACTTTAGAGTTTAGAAATTCACCTGAAAAGTTGGTCCCGAGATGTGTCTCGCTTGAAATCTAGATCGAAGTGGAGGGTCCAGGGGATGTCCTGGGTACCTAGGCACAGGTAATCCCAAGGCAATTACTCGGAAGTCTTCACTGACTCTCACCAGTCTCCATGCATCTAAATCTTCTTGAGTATGGTCCTAAAATGTGAATATGGAAAGTAAAATAAAATACAGGGTAAGTCATAACCGGGAATTTAAGGTGATATGAAAGAGTCAGGCTATATATTATATCTTATATATTATATAATATATCTGAGAAGTCAAATCGTTGGGGAAAGTATTCCCTTAATTGGGTGTAACGATTCGTTTTAAATTTTCCCACGTGAATATGGAGACCCTAAAGTAGGTCCTGAAACTCATAAAATTTCATTTTTCCTCCAAAATTTATTTACTTATCATGGACTAGAACCAACGTGGCGTGGTCCGTGCACGTTTTCGATGTTTTACGCTTATTGGAGGGTTAGAATCGAAAATGAAGAGTTTCAGGACCTAGCTCGAACAATTTAGAATACTGTAGAAATGGAATATTACAGAGTCATATGGGAAAATATGGAAAATACTTTCACAAACGATTAAAAGAGAATGCTGGCTCGTTATGTGGGCAACGCTTGTTTTTAGAGAAAAAATTCAGTTGCAGCTAAACGTCATAGATGGCGACGCTCGTCCTAAACAGTCGTTAGAATAATGAATTCACGGGATTTCGGCACATTTACGTCGATCTTTTTATCATTACTTTACCGAAATAACATATGAAACGCTTCAATTCGTATAATTCTCAACGTAGACTGTAAAAGACTTCAACATAAATATAAATGTCGGTAACGCAACGCACCACTTGAGTATTCAAAATGGCGATGCCACCAAAAAAGGTATAAATGAATTTTATTTTATCAACGTCAATTAAATTTCTCAGCGCCTTTCATATCACGTTAATAATTTCACTCATTACACCTAGCGAAGAAGTTACTTTCCAGACGAGATTAATTACTTTTGACAATCTCAATGTTTCGTGCCAAATAAAATTCTTTATTTCAACAGAATTGATTTTGTAGAAACCATTGACACTGTAAATCGAATGATGAAAATTTTGCACCTAGTAGAAATGATTTCACGTAAAAAGCTGGCTTTAAGTATTGAAAATATTCATGGACGTTACATCATCTTTTGGATAAAATGTGGTATTTAAATTAAACAACTTAGTACTTGATACAAGAAATTATTAATGGCAAATAAATGTTCCAAGCTGATGCAAGAATAACATTCTGAGAGGAAATGTCAGATTTCCTAGAAAGTGATTGTTTCCTGTCGATATTAGCAATTAAGAATCTGCTTGTCGGAAGAATTCCTCTTATAAGGAAAATTATTCTGTGGTTCAGAGTTTGGTTAAAACATTCACTGAAAATTTAAACTTGCCTGCAGTAATTTGTCGTAACGAGATGCTGAGACCAAAAATCGGCCATCCTCAAGATGCATTTCGCGGTTCTCTAATAAATTGTTCAAAACGGGTAGTACGTTTCTTTCAGCTTTTTCAACGCCTTCAAGAATGAGAACTCTTCCATTTGCTGCTGCTCTGACAGCGCTTTGATCATGATAAATTGCAGTTCCGTTCTCGATTTCTCTCCGCTGCTTCAGATCCGCTTCTGTGGTGTCTCTCGAAAGTGCAATAAATTCGACCTCCTTTCCCGTTAGTTCCACAAATGCCATAGCAAGATTACGACGCCTAGGACTCGGTCCTCCGGTCAAGAACATATCTTGGCCCAAGATATCTTTCTGCAGCATCCACCGTAAGTGCCGCAACAGCTCCTGACTGGGCTCCTTTGCCACTGTTAAACATGAAATATAATAGTTTAATCACGTAACAATTAAAAATATTCATATATCAGTTTAAACGATGCATTTGGCATGATCAACCAGATATACTTACAATATTTTCTAGGTACATATTCTGGATGCTTCGCAGTTTTGACTTCCTTAGAAACATCCGCTATCTTTACAATTATACTATCTAAACAAAACAAAAAAGAAACGAATTAATACAAAATCTAACAGCTTGAACCCTTAAAAAGTTTAACGCAAATGTGCAACGTGAACATAACTCACCTGACTTATACCGTAGAAACAACAGATTGTGTCTTATTTTTAAACAATCCGGAATTTTCGTGATCCGGCGAATTGTGGGTGAAATTAATAATAACATTATATGCTTGTACCTTGCCCCCTGCAAATTATGTAATAACATGAGTTAACAGAATAAAAAAAGCCATACTTATGATGTAAATCATGATTGTCGTATGTAATACCTTGACAGGTTAGAATTGTGACGTCAAATATTTATATAAGTAGAAAATAAATTAATACAGTATTTTATACTGATCTTCGACACTGTCATTACTGAAAATTAATCTGAAAATGACATTTTCAATACTCTGTCAGATACCACGCTGTATTCTGTCATAGAATAACGTATGAACTTAGAACGTCGAACCATAGTTAGAGTTCTAAATCCAGTAAGTTACGTCAGAAACGAAGAGAAATTCCCGGTAACTTATCGGTAATTTCTCCAAAGCCTTTTTTATCGAGAAATTATGAGAATTTGAATTTTTCAACAGAGCGAACGAGAGGTTTCGATTAGCTATAGAGAAACATCGTAGAGGGGAATTTTCGTTATACGTTCTCCGTAGCCAATCAAAACCTCCCATTCGCTTCGTCGCAGAATGAAATATCAGTTCATTTAAAACAAATCGCATGGAATTTTCCGCCAAGTTGTACATACGTGAATATTTTTAGCTGGAGGTAAATACGACCCTATAATCAATATTTTCTAATAGTAATTATTACTCTTTAGCTTGAACTTTGAAGTTGATTGAAAAAAAAAAAGTTATTTAAACGAAGAAACCTAAAGTATAAATAACAAAATTAACGTTCTCTTAAATTCTCAATGTTCCCGGTAACTTACGGTATGTTTCACAGTTACCTTCTCCAATTTAATGTTACCGAGAATTTTCGAACTCTAGCGCCGCCCTTGGGGGCAAAAAACGGTGAAAGCTAACGTACGAAACCAGAGGGCAGCACACGATGCGATCGCGCAACCCTGCCCGTGAGCAATCTCCTAACTCATCTCTGGTAGTATAAGGAGATCCAATGTTATGTTTCTTATCTCAGTGATAATAAACATTCTTTAACATATTTTAACATCTTTTACCTACAAGTCCAGCAAGTTCTGCGGTGATGATCTGCCCATGACGACATGGGGAAAAAAAATGGATCCTGTTAAGTAATCCACTTAAAACTGGAAAGGGGCAAAAAGGACAGGCGAAATAGAACATTAAGAGAAGATCCAGGAAGTCTGAGATTAGACAGGGAATAAGTTATTAAAGTCAAGAATATTAATGGTACATCTATCTCGTTAAATTTACTAAACTAGCGTTTTTTTATATCACTAAGTATGCAGAAAGCCATTTAAATGCAGACTCAACAGAATATAATCGAAATGATTGTTCGCCGTCTCTTCTCCGTCAGCATTGATATATGCTGTATACTACTTCATGATCAATGCCATACGTCACATGTTCAGAACATTAAAGTGAAGTGAAATCCCTCTTCATTCAGTCGATTCGAATAATTTCTTTTAAGGTGATATGAAAGAGAAAATAATTCCAAGTGGTTATTTCATTTATAGAATTTTATCGAAACATGAAATGGCGAGCTGCAGTTTTCGTGCAATGTCGATCATCGTATCAGTTGGTACGAAATCATCGGAACAATTTTACAGCTAACGAGGACGAGTCGAATATTAGTCTTCTAGAATTAAATTCCTTAAGGTCCTTTCTCATTTCCACGATTGTACAGCAGATAATTGACATCCGGATATTTGCAGAACTCGCAGAAGCCTCGAGGTCCTTGAATCCCTGGAGGTCCTCTCCCACCCGGAATACCTGCGAACGAATGAAGAATTAAAATAAACCATAAAACCTGTTCTTCACTCACTGTTTCATGAATTATATAAGCAGAGCTGGGTAACTATTTCTATTTCTTTATTCAGGACCTTCCGGTATAAATTATACCCTGACCTGGTCTACCAGGCTCTCCTCTCTCGCCTTGTCTCCCTGGAGAACCAATTCCATCGTTTCCAGGGGGTCCTAAAATTCAGAGATTGTTGAAATAAAAGAATTAATATTCATATAATAATTTCAACAAATTCAATGAATAATATTAATATAATTCATTATTCATATAATGCACCGAGGAAAGAAATTCATTGAACCAAGAGATACTCAAATTCATGTTAAATAACAAATACTCTTATGTTAACTTATTTGGCCCCAAATTATTCTGTGAATTAACAAAATATTTCTTAGATACTATTCAATGAAATATTTTCTCAGCGTGGTGTAATGATTACCTAATTTCCTGTAATTTGAAATATAATACCTGGCAAACCTCTGGGACCCATTGGTCCTTCCAGTCCTACTCCTTCAGGACCTTTCTCCCCTTTTTCCCCAGGTTCTCCAGGAGGACCCTGAGGACCAGGATGTCCTTGTGGACCCGGTAGTCCTACGAAACCGCGTTCTCCTTGTAACCCAGGTGAACCCTGATCACCTGTATAAAAGCAATTTTCTGATGATTAATGTTACACTCGCAGAAAAAAAAAACATTTGGTTAAATGAATAGAATTTTTGTTGGTTTAACCATAGAATATGGTTATTATATGCACAACCAAATATTTGGTTTACATGACTTAATTCTTTGACTGATAATGTTTATTTGGCAATATAAAAAATTATGGTAAATCACACCGTAATATTAATGTGATTTGGTAATAACTATTTTAATCTCACGAAAGCGGATACGATGGAAACTGTGTCGACTGAAATATTTTGTAAAATTAATAAAATAATTTTACCAAAACATTTTAGTTGAAACAAACGAGCTTGGTCAAGTGAACTAAAATTCGGTTCACTCAACGAAAAACGTTTTCAAATGCAGTCAAACGATATTGTTAAATAAACTAAATTTTTATTCTACGTTTTTTCCTCGCGAAATAAACAGAATGAATCCAAGGATTATCCAGGTCTGATATGCCGATTTTTTAGGTCGATTTTCAAGATGCCTTTTAAAGAATAACAGATGAAATTCAGAGGAAAAATATATTTTCAAAAGAAAAGACATTTACCTTGACGACCTTGGGGACCTGGGGAACCAGGACGACCCTGACGACCTCTTCCAGGAGGTCCTGGTGGTCCTTGCATAAGCGCGGCCATTTCAGTCATCTGGTCTGTACGAATGAAACATTATGAACTTTTTAGTAAAATTTCGGAATATCATGAAAATTAGGCGAAAATATTCACCTCTGAGAACGCTGGAGCAGATATCTCGAATTTCTGCGTCGCTGATGGTCCTTCCAGGGATGCCAGGAAGTCCTGGCATCCCTGACTGGCCTCTTTGTCCTGGAGGACCTGGAAGTCCTGGAGGTCCTTCCTTTCCGGGGATTCCTGGAGGTCCCATTTGTCCTTCCGGTCCTCTGTCTCCTGCGGCTCCACGATCTCCTGGCTAAAGAAATCATTTATCTCAAAATTATCATCAAAACTATTTTTTAATGATTTTTTGCTTCCTGTGGCTCTACGATCTCCTGGCTAAAGAAATTATTTATCTCGAAATTATCTTCCAGGACTATTTTTTAATGATTTTTTGCGTCCTGAGGTTCTACGACCTCCTGGCTAAAAAAATCATTTATCTCATAATTATCTTTCAGGACTATTTTTTAATGATTTTTTGCTTCCTGTCGCTCCTGAGGTTCTACGATCTCCTGGCTAAAGAACTCATTTATCTCGAAATTATCTATCAGGACTGTTTTTTAATGATTTTTTGCACCATTTTTTCAATTGTTCAAACATTTGTCTCTTTTTCTATAACAGTGGAGAAGTTATGTTTCTAATATAGCGGATCTTGAATGTCTAAATATTATGTAGAGTCTCGCTTGAGTATTACGTGCAAGATGCGTTTCTTGCTGAAAAATGTGTTTGGCTTGAAACTCTACCTAGTTTCTTGACATTCTGGGGAGTAGAGAGTACAATACAGAGAAAAGAAGTTCTGGTTAATCTCAGATTAGGTAGATGTATCTGGTTAAATGATTTCTACTTATCATTAACGGGAAAGTCTGATTAATATGTCTAGAAATCAAGAAACTCGGTAGAGTTTAGAGACAAATACATTGTCGAGCGACGAAGTCGTCACTTTTATCCAGAAAAATATCAGGGATATGTAATTTTACTATCTAATCCAGGTAAAACAACTGGAACTCTGGTTCCTTCTTTTGTTTTCTCCTGAGTCTTGAAAATGGACTCACAATTCCTGGAGCACCAGGAAGACCTCTTGGTCCACTGACTCCAGGACTGCCACTATTATCTAGAAAAACACTATTCGTGCTGAGCATATCCGCTGCCTGGCCTGGAGGTCCTGGAGGACCTGCAGGACCCGGTGATCCTGGTCTTCCTTCGAGGCCAGGAAATCCAGGAGGACCTGCTTGGCCAGGCAAACCGGGCAATCCCTAAAAAAAGGAAAATACATATAGATTGACCCTTTCCATGTCATCTTAAATAATAGTTGAACAGGGTGAATAAATAGTATTATATTTACCATATTTTATTACCATATATTATTTTATTATTACCATATTCCCTGGCAATCCTCTCGGACCGACAGGACCTTGCTCCCCTTGCTGACCAGAATCTCCTTTTTCGCCAGATTTTCCAAGGAGTCCTGGAATGCCTGGCTTCCCGATGAACCCGTCTGGTCCTCTAGGACCTGCTGGTCCTGGAAATCCTGGCGGTCCCTGGATAACAAATAATATTCAATAAGAAGAGGATAACAATGATTTCCTACCACCCTGCAATTACGGACAATTATTACAGGTTCCAGTAATTGTAACAAATTAACAATTGAACACTTTCTTGTACACGTGGTCTATCTTATTATAATCACTCCAATGTTCACTAATGGAAAGTAACAATGACTTTCTACGTTAATGATATTCGGACAATGATTACAGATTCCAGATAATTGTAATCAATTGGTAATTAAACATTGTCCTTGTACCCGAGGTCCGTCAGAACCGGGAAGTCCATCTGATCCTGGAGGTCCTGGAAGTCCTGGAGGTCCATCAGGTCCCTTTTGGCCGAGATCTCCTTTTGCTCCTGGAAGTCCATCTATTCCAGGCTTTCCTGAAGGACCTTCCACTCCTGGAGGTCCTGCAGGACCTGGCTGACCAATTCCAGCTGCCAAACCTGGAAATTATTTAAACATATGAAATGTTTCACATATTTTAAACAATATGTAACATCCAACAAGAATTAAAGAATGAAATATGAAATCCAATTCAGTTTTAGGCACCTGTTAATAGTGTAATTAATTTATGTTATGGTTTAATGAAAGATGAGTATATGATAAAGATCACTGGGATCTTATTTATTATCGTGTTCAGGTTTTCCATTATTTAGGATTTTATTCAATATCACGTTACGACTTTATTTATTACCATCGCGGCCAGGTTCTCCAGGATCCCCTTTTGGGCCAGGAAGTCCTAGTTGTCCTGGAGGTCCTGGTCCCCCTGGTCCTCCAGGAAGACCTGGCAATCCTTGAGATCCTTGGAGTCCTGTAAACCCAATTGTTCCTTTTTGTCCCACGGGACCAGGCGGTCCTTCTTTTCCTTGTTCTCCAGGAGGACCGTTTAGTCCAGGATGTCCTGTCTCTCCACGGTCACCTGAAATATTATTTAAAATTTATTAGAAAGATATAAACATTTTCCACCCTGAAGAGGAATCTCAAGGTTATTTGATAATTCTGAATCATCATTAGGGGATAACTTTCATTTTTACAGACCCTGCGGTCACTTTAAATTTGATTTAATTACTTCAAATATCAGAAACAAAATGTCAACTCGAAAAATATGAACAATTTCGACCTTAAAGAGAAGTCTCAAGGTCAGCTGTTAATTCTGATCCAGCATTAGGAAATAATTGTCTTTTATGTCGAGCGGCGGTCGGCTTGAATTTGATTTAATTACTTAAAAAAAAAAAAACGAAAAAATAACGACTTAAATAATATGTACAGTTTCGACCTTGAAGAGAAATCTCAAGGTCAGCTGTTAATTCTGGTCGGGCGTTGGGGAATAATTGTCTCTTATGTCGAGCGGTGGTCGCCTTGAATTTGATTTAATTACTTAAAAAAAAAAAACGAACAAAATATCGACTTAAAAAATATGAACAATTTCAAGCTTGAAGAGAAATCTCAAGGTCAGTTGTTAATTCTGGTCAAGCGTTGGGGAATAATTGTCTTTTACGATGAAGTCGTTAGGGCGTACTCTCATTGATTGGTGACGACAGAAGGCGGCCGATTTAAATAATGACGCAGTCACAAATTGCAACGAATTGATTTACAATGACCCCGAGTTGACGTATCTAGGCCAATCGCGACCTCATAAAATGCGTTCCTGCGAATTAGCTTAAGAGGGCGACACGCATTTAGCAATATTGACGAAAAGAATTGCAAGGACGAGGAAAACAGTCCAGCCCAGAAGGGACTAGGAGGGTCCTTCGAGATAAGGAAGGTACCTTTTTTTCCGCGTTCTCCAGTTAAACCAGGATCACCCCTGTCACCTTTGTGTCCCCTTTCGCCAGGAAGACCAGGAAGTCCAGGAAATCCCGCAGGACCTGGAGGTCCTGGCGCTGCAGGAGTAGTTTCTTTAGGAGCCACACTACCAGGAACTCCAGGAAGTCCTTCAGGACCCTAAAAAGTGTCCGCAAATGCATAAATGAATACGGTACCATGTTACAAATTGTTAACTAAGTGTTAACAATTGTTTCGGAGACTATTTCCAGTTTTTTTAAAGAGAACCCACGGGAGGTCCTGGAGTTCCTGATGATCCTTTTGCGCCGGGAGATCCTTTTTCTCCTTTCAAGCCAGGTTCGCCAGGATATCCATCTCGACCAGGTTGTCCTGAATGTCCGGGGGGTCCAGGGGGTCCTTCGGGTCCGGGGATTTTTGAAAAAAGAACACTTCCTTTGGCGGGGGCTCCTGGAGGTCCGGGGGGTCCTGTGAGTCCTGGGAAACCCTGAACTCCCTGGAAAGAAATATATGAACCTCGGAGTACTTTAAATCTGCTAGTAAGAATGTTCTTCATCGCATTGTTGGGGAGAAAGGATCAGAAGGTCCTTCAACAAATTTCGAATGATTAGCCGTTTCCTTTCTTCCTTCATTAAGGTCCTTTTCTTTACTAGGATATCTCAACTAACCCGTTCTCCGGCTTCTCCTTTTGGTCCTGCAGGACCCTCTGGTCCTGAGAGTCCTTGGAACCCTTGAGGGCCTGGAGATCCTTTTAATCCTGGAGAACCCTGGAGGGACAGAAAAGAAAACTAGTACAAGAGAACATAGTACCCGAAATCTACATATGGAAACATTTTTATTGTAATATTATAATATTTATGCAATGATTCTTTAATGTACTTGTTTTCCAGGAGGACCTGAAGGACCTTGTTCTCCAGGATATCCTGGAACGCCCGGCTCTCCAATTGGTCCTCGAGGACCAGGCAAACCCTAAAAGGATTGATAATTTATTACAGAGGCCTTTTTATTATTTATTTATCTTATGTATCTGTTATAATAACAGCTTTAATGCATAATACATGTCAATATTTAAATATAATATATACCTGTGACCCGTTAATTCCAGGAGGTCCTTTGGGACAAACGGTATCACAAGATGGCCGTCTTTGAGGCTGCAACGCGGCCATTCGCTATTTAAACAATAATTAAATTGTTATTGTATATATATATACACCAAAATGTCAAAATATTTATAAAACTTTTCTCCAAACTGCGTGCAGCGAACAATTTGAAACATCAACACATGATTATGGAGGCCCTAAGGAAGGTCTCAAAACTCGCGAAATATCAATTTTTGAAAATAAATTTTGCATTTATCCTGGACAAGAAACAAAAGGGGATTTTTTTCGAAAAATGAAATTTCGTGAGTTCTACGTTTTGATGTATGAATGACGCTTTCGTATCACCTTAAGGCAGTAATTATTATATTATTTTGTTAAAACTTACAGGTAACTCGACACAGGTTTCTCTCTCGGGCCTCGTGGAGTCGCAATTTAAAATCATCCACTGCAAGTCGATCTATCAATGTAGGAAAACGATATATCTTGTAATTCGATATTCACGAAATTATTATTAACGAGTAATTTTGTAAAGAGAATACTATCGTAAAGAAGTACTGTAATTAAATAATTCTCTGTCTATTTTTTTTTTTTAATTTATATGTCCATCACTGACTCACCTGTCTCGTGTTGATAGTGTCAAAATGGAGGACGTGCAGTTAGGCTTGTTCAGGAATGTTTTGTTAATATAAATCTGCATCGAGGATTTGTTACCCTGTCCAGCAAAGCAAGTGTTATTAATTGCAGCAAGCAACCGGAGTTTCCTGCGGCTAAATTGTCCATTAAACTCTATGTCAGTCGTAATTAATAAATAATTAGCCCATCGTTACTCGCTAATGTTCCAACGACAATTTTACACCTTGTCTTTAATTGTTTTTATCAAATCGAGGAACAAGCGCACAAGCGTCGACCTATTCGATAACGTTTAATTGTGTTTCTTATGTAGTAAAATGTAATTATCACAGAAATTAATAACTCACGGGGACCGTAATTGTGCTGTTCGCGATCTTAGAGATCGAAATGCTTCCATTGATATTTATCTTCCCTCGTGGGTCTAAATGTTGACTGCCTGCGTAATGGCAGTCGATATGCAAATCGACGCCATCTTTGAATACTCCGATTTGGATTTTATGCCAATTCTTGTCGAATATCTGAAACGTGATTTCGTTTACAACATCAGATCATTCCATTAGATACTGTAATTAATTATGTAAACGTATTTGTGTTTAATTATGTAAATGTATTTGTATTTAATTAAATTAATTTATACAAGATTTGCCGAGCATTGCTCTTGTACCGACGCCATCTTTGAAAATCCCAATTTGAATATTATGACAATTTTTGTCGTAGATCTGAAACGTGATTTCGTTTACAACATCAATTCATTCCATTAGGTACTGTAATTAATTATGTAAACGTATTTGTGTTTAATTATGTAAATGTATTTGTATTTAATTAAATTAATTTACACAAGATTTGCCGAGCAAAGTTCTTGTATCGATGCCATCTTTGAAAATCCCAATTTGAATGTTATGCCAATTCTTGTCAAACATCTGCAACGTAATTTATGTCGCATTAATCCATCCCTTGAGATGGAGATTAATTAATTACATAAGTATATACACAATTTAGTGGTCGATGTCTCTGCATCGACGCCATCTTTGAAAATCCCAATTCGAATATTATGCCAATTCTTGACGTACATCTGCAACGTAATTTTGTTCAGCCTCAACTTAACGCGACTTACAATAATTAATATCAATGACATGAATAGGTATAGGTTTAATGGAAAATTGTCTTATTTTTCGCAATTCTTGCCTGTGCTGCAGCAAATGAGACAGTCTGCGCGTCATCTTTCGGCCCGACAATCGACAGCTCCAAAGTTTGTCGATCCGGATTCATCGTGATCGCAAATTGAGGTCTGGACATTGGATCTTCGATTCTGATCAATTGCCAGGAAGGTCTCATCAGTTTTCTCGTTCGAAACGTACTCACTAAGCTGAACTCATCGGGCAGACCCGAAGGAAAAGCCTGTCTAGAGAAACAAAAAAAAATCTGTAAAAATGTCCTGCAGCCGAAACAGAAAGTTAAGGCAAACATGAAACCTCTCTCAAAACAATTTTTTAACTTAATCCAGATCAGAACCAAAATGGCGTCGAGCTCTCATATTTTAATCGATATACAATTGTTGAAGGCTCTGATATGAGAAACGAAAGGGTCAGGAAAATTTTACGACAATTTAGAACACTCTGGTAATCGAGAAACTCGCGTTTCAACGAGATAAAGGCAAAAAAGTGTCATTATGCGCTGCTATGCTAAAACGATGGTAATACGAGGTCTCGGAGTGAAAATTTAGTTGTCATGGAAATCACAGATGGCGCAGTGGGTCCCTCTGCAGTCAATTAGGGCACCAGAAAGCCATTAATCCAGTGGATTTCTGGAGTTTTACTTCGATTTTTATATAACTATTGTATAAAAACGATATATGGATTATGCAATTTAGTACAATATCCGATATAATTCCACACAGCTGTCGATATAAAAACCAACGTCGGCAACGTAGGTATTTAGATGAATCTTTTTCACCGACGTCGGTCAAGTTCCTCGACGTGTTTCACTTCACCTTAGAAAATGTGTAAAAGCTCTTTTTTATATATTTATTCCCTCGTTTACCTCGTCCGTAACGTGACGTCGGCATCTTTGTCGAATCTAAATGCAGTTTGCAGTCGATTGCTGCCCCTGACTTTGACAATTCCGAGATGACGTGACCCCAGGAAGTCCAATTTGAAGAGTTCGATGATGTCGAACGTTTGCAGGTCATCTTCTCCTGGTTTTGCGTCTGCACAAGGAGTCGTCGTCGGCTGAACAGGAATTTCCTCTCCGGCCACGAAATCTGGATTGATAAAAGAGCAATACCGTGCAATTATTATCAACAGAAAAATAGCAAGAAAGAATTTCCTCGCGAACTTACGGAACAATCCAGTGGAAAAGGACACGAAGCTCTACTTATCGACTTCCTACATTACCTTTTTTTAAATTAATTGAATAATTTATATTATTTTATAATTCATATTAATAATTTATTTAATAATTTATATTAATTAACCCTTCATCTGTAAACGTTTTTTCGGCACCTCCTGTCTGAAAATCTGGGTCTTTCTTACTGGGTGGTGTATCTCACATTTTCACCGCAGTGAAATTTACAGAATCGCAGGTGCTCACTTTTAGAATTTTCCGTAGATTCAAGTTATAGAATCGACCCAATTTTCTCTATACAGTGGCGGCCATTAATGCCTTCTGCGAATATGGAGTCGCTGGTGCACGGTGGGAAGGGATTCGCATCCAAAACTGTACATTCACAATATTGGTAAATCTGCCGCAATAATTAGAATAAATGATATTCGTAACTTACGAACGAGAGCAATCCGCATCAGGACAATGATCCATAACGGGTAGTCCATTCGCCACTTCCGGTGGACCCTGTAAGAAAAAAAGGGAATATAACTCTTAAATGAAAATTGGGTAATTTTTACCCATTATCATTATATCATAAACCTAGACATTGCATATGCAATATTTGTTGAGTTGGACGAAATTTGCGAGTCGCGCGTCACCTCGTCCGTGCCACATAACCTCTTAAAACGGCGCGCTGAACTTATTGTTAGCCTCATAAAATCGGTGGCGTTTAAGAGTTATTGCTTCGCTAGACCGCTTTTAAATATCAAATTAATTACAAATCTTAAATACTTCTTCCGAAATACAAATAAAATGAAATGAAATAAAATGAAATTAAATGAAACGAAATGAAACGAAATGAAACGAAATGAAACGAAATGAAACGAAATGAAACGAAATGAAACGAAATGAAACGAAATGAAACGAAACGAAACGAAACGAAAAGAAACGAAACGAAACGAAAGGAAACGAAACGAAACGAAACGAAACGAAACGAAACGAAACGAAACGAAACTGAATGAAATCATATGAAATGAAATTTCCACGCAGCATAATAATTACACGGTTGTTAAAACTCTTGAAAACAACAAATGTCGGTAGAAACGATTAAATTCTCACAAATTCGCAAGGAATTTAATCATCGGTAATACTCTTGTTCTAGGTTATGTTACCCGGGTAATATAACGAACTAAAAACTCTACGTATGACGCTGTTTAATCAGAAATATTGAGACCTCGTATCGAGTTCTTCCAGTCTAAAGATTTCACATTTTCACCCGGAGAATCGGGTTAGTAAACTCACGTGAAATGGCAGAGCGAAAAGTGAGCACCCTCGCCGAAAATGCAGAATCGGCCCCCTGGTGAACAGAGAGTTGTAAAAGATATTCAAGAATATTTTTGAAGAAACCTTTGCCGATAATAACCTTTATTATCTCATTGTTAACGGACGGAAGTTCCTTACTTATTCAAGGCAAACAATACTACTTTGTACTGTTTATTGTACTTAAACTTTACGATGTGCCCATTTGGCGTCGGGAGATCCCACATGAAATCGTATTGACCAAGTTATTCGGCCTGGAGCGTCGATAGTCCATCCGCGTTAATTATTAGTATAAACTTAATCTTTTGTAATCGCTCGAGTGAAGGCCCACGGAAACTCGAAGTCCTTCCCACGTGTACCGAAGGACCCGAGCCATCCTCGAAAGGTGGGCAATAAAACTTGAGTCCGAGCATTCTCAAAGGGTCTCTTCTCGAGGGCTCTCGCCGAAGGTACGAGACGACATCTGGCGAACAGATTTTTTTACTTTATAAAAATTCCGAAGTCCGCTTCTGGCGACCAGACGTCACTCGAGGTTTTTTTTCCGCGAATCCGCGGCCTACGTGACCGGCCATTTCGCGGGTGTCTTCGAGGGCGGAAACCCTTCGGGAATTTTTCCCTGCCAATGAGAATACTCGACTCAAGGTCCGACTTCCTCCCTCCACCGAGTTGGAGGCAAAACTATGCATTCGGATACTCTTTAAGAATTTTTGCCGAGACAACATCGCATCTCAAAAACGTTGCCAAGTCAACGTCCAAAAAGTCCAGCTGCCGAGCCAACTGAGAACTTGATCATTTCGTTGCCGACGTTCGTTTTTATATTGACAGCTGTGTCGAATTACATTGAATATTGTGCCAAATGGCACACTACACCTGTCGTTTTCGTATAATAAATATCAAGAAATCGAAGTAAAACTCCAGAAACCCTCTGGATTCGTGCTTTCTGGAGACCTAATTGACTGCCGAGGGACCCCCTGCGCCATCTGTGATTTCCAGGTCAATTAAATTTTCACTCCGAGACCTCGTATTCCCATCGTTTTGGCATAGAAGCGCATACAACACTTTTTTTGCCTTTATCCCGTTCAAATGCGAGTTTATCGATTACCAGAGTGTTCTAAATTGTCGTAAAATTGTCTTGACCGTTTCGATTCTCATATCAGAGCCTTCGATAATTGTATATTGATCGAAATATGTGAGCTCGACGCCATTTTGATTCTTCTCTGGGCTGAGTTAAAAAATTTGGTTGAAAAATCCAAACTTTGAATGTGTCAGGACAATTCTTAGATGATCGGGAGTGACGTGTTAAAGTTTCGGACAGTTTGGTCTTTTACCCTTTAAAAAAAGTGTTGACACATAACCTCATAAAACGGCGCGCTAGATTTAGCTTCTTAAAATCGGCGGCGTTCAAGAGTTATTGCCTCGCAGGGCCTCTTGAAGGATCCTGACATAATTCGGCTCGGCGCATTGCGTAACCGCATAGTTTAGCATATGTTTTGTACTTTATGCGGCCAGTTGGTGTCCATAAGGTTGTTCTTTATTCGGGTCGTCGAGATAGAGAATGCGAGCGCCGCCATTAGCCGTCTAGACTAGTGCAACATTTAATTAAGATAGGCTAAAAGTTGCCGCCTCAATGTTTTGTCACCGTGTAAACGTTAATCATGATGGGGCATTAATTCAGCTCATAACCTCAATTAGTCAACGGTTAACATTAACCTTAACATAGAAGACAGAAGAACATTACTTATTCCGGTGGTAAGTTGAAGTGAATCATAAAATAATTATTATCTCTTTGTTGTTTATAAGTCAATGTTGATTCATAATTTAATTAATTGGAGGAAAAAAAAGTTACGATCCTGCCAGGATTCGAACCTGGAATCTTCTGATCCGTAGTCAGACGCGTTATCCGTTGCGCCACAGGACCAATTGCAATTCGTTGCCAATTTCTATGTAATGATCTATTTCATGACTTTAATCGTCGCCATTAATACATAGTTAATAATAACCGGGATGATCTTAAGGTGATATGAAAGGGTCATGCTATACATATAATACGTCAAAATATTTATTAAACTTTTCTCCAAACTGGATGCACTGAATCATTTGAAACTTTAATACGTTATTATGGAGGGTCCTAAAGAAGAACGTGGTGCTCGTGAAATTTCATTTTTACACAAAAAATATGTAGTTTTGGTTCTAGCCTGGGCTAAATAAAAAAATGTTTAATAAAAAATGAAATTTTATGAGTACCATGTTCCTCCTTATGGCCTTCAATTACATCTTGAAGTTCCCTTCGATTCGGTGCATCCAGTTTGGAGAAAAGTTATTTAAATATTTTGACGTTATATACATATAGAATGATCCTTTCAGACAACCATAATTTTCTAATGTTAATAATGTCACCATTATAACGTCTCTATGAAATTATATTAATTAAAATGTTTAAAATAAATTAATTCTGACGAGTTTTACATAAATCATCTATTTATGTCCTAATAGATAATTTGTGATAAACATGAAAATACTCCATTGCAGTAATTAATAACAATAAGTGATAAAATTCCTTTAGAAGAATCTTACCGGTAAACCGGGAGAGGAGGACTAAGATAGTTATTAATAAATTACGAGGTTGCTTAACCTTTAAACCTTTCCGCTTATAATCTTTATTTTCAACGATTTTTGCTGTAAACTTCTGAAAGCCTTCACTCGTAACTAGAAACTATTGCATAGTTTCTATTTTTAGTTTTCTCGTATTTCGACTAAAAACGATGACGTACGTCTACTTCCCTGTCGGTCCAATTCTGGTTTAAGTGTTTTAAGGCATTTTAAGTGAAGCAAACATTGCATTCGGGTCATGGCACTGCTCCTTAAATGCAACAACTCGTAAACTAACGGGGAAAGATGCGAACAAATTGCGGACGTCATCCATAAAGAACCATCAAGCCAGACAATTTTGCGTACTTTTTTTCATTCCATCATTCCACAAGTTTTCCGGATTTTAAAACCATCTTCACGCTTTTCTTCCAACTTTAATACATCATAAATACAAATTATCAATTCTTCCACGGCGGATAATTGTTATTGACGAGGTAGAAGTAACCTAAAAATGGCGCACGACATTCAGCTTTGCATAGTAATTCCCTAATTTTTCGACGACGTCCAGTTGAGGAATTTCATATTTTATCGTTTCTTCTAAGATGTTGCTTAACCGCTAATAAAGTACCCGATCATTTTTATTAGATAATCGAGTCCTTCAGGCCGATCACTATAATGGCACATAATTTAAGTGTTATTTCTATGATGCAATGACTCGCGTAGTCCTTAGCACTGCGTATTCCGATGCAGTGAAAGTTTTGCCTATAACTTTCCTGTCAATGCGTTTTATCGACTATATTTCATGCAGCATAATGAAAGTGTGCAATATGCATTCACTGCAACCGCAGAAATGTTGATATTGCGGTTTCCACCGGGATATTAGTTTACTTCATGACACTTAACCTCCTCCGTTTAATAACTGCTCAGTAGCAAAAAATGTCATTTCCGGGAAGCCTTGTCAACCATTGTACACGTCTAGATTTACAGTAACAATTGAAGATTTATTTTGAAAAATTGGGGACAATAACGTACACACTCTAATGAACTCTTTATTAAATGGTACATTGTATTTACACACTAATTATATAATAATTACGATACATAATTCACAACGATTGATATTTAAATTTCAAGGCTATGTCCTTATATCATAAAAAAGCAACTATTCTACTTTTTACCGTTTAATAACTGCTCAGTTGCAAAAAATGTCATTTCCGGGGAGCCTTGTCAACCATTGTACACGTCTAGATTTACAGTAACAATTGAAGATTTATTTTGAAAAATTGGGGACAATAACGTACACACTCTAATGAACTCTTTATTAAATGGTACATTGTATATACACACTAATTATATCATAATTACGATACATAATTCATAACGATTGATATTTAAATTTCAACGCTATGTCCTTATATCATAAAAAAGCAACTATTCTCCTTCGCACGTTGATTAACATGATAAACAATTTCACTTTTCTTGTTTTTCGAAGATTAGCTCTTCATCCGCCAATGAAACGACTCCTAGAATTTTTCTTCCACAATTGCTTTATTAAATGGTACATTGTATTTACACACTAGTTGTTGATTAATACGATAAACAATTTCACTTTTCCTGTTGTTCGAAGATTAGTTCATCGGCTAATGAGACGACTTCGGGAATTTTTCTTCCACAAGCGGAGGAACCTTTGGAGACGTGTTATAAACAACACTTATAAACAAGTTATAAACAATCACTTTTAACAATGAGGAATAGCACGAATTATCTTAACTGTATATAAAAATTGACTCTCCAAGCCGTTGCTCCTCTTCGATCAAATATTTCCAACAAAATGTGTCTCCCGCTCTTCATGAATTTTCGGACCCAGTTATCTTATCATATCTTTATCAGCCTCGAGTTACCAGAACCCGAAGATAAGGTCCTGCGAACGGAAACGTTAACTGGTTTCTGGCAACTCATCATTTTATACGAAGCAATAAACAATCTTATCTCCCTTGTGTGGTAACCACACGAAAGCAACCACACCACAAATATAGGACACTTTTTACCGCCCCTTAAGAGACTGCTCTCCATTGGTCAGAGATAAGAGAAAAAACATGCTGCTTATCTGCGTCGAGTTAACCGCCATCCGTTTACGCTTTTCCACTTCGAGAAGATTTGTGCACACGTCTCTACGCTTACAATTACTCATCCATGAAGAAGTCCAAGTTGCTTGAAGTTGGTAATGGAATAGACTTACGTACTTAAATTAACATGCCATATAGATACGTGTAGGAGGTGAAATTACCGAGGCGGATCTACTGTTAACGAATCTATATTTTTGTAGATTTACAGAATATTAAGGTGAAGTGAAACCCCCTTCAAATTAGTAGATTCCAATACAACACTATTTTTTAAGGGTATTAGACCAAACTGTCCGAAACTTTGACACGCCATTGAAAATGAATATTTGATTCCCAACATTGAAAATTTGGATTTTTCAACCAAATTTTTTAACTCAACCAAGACCAGAACCAAAATGGCGTCGAGCTCTCATATTTCGATCCATATACAATTATCGAAGGCTCTGATATGAGAATCGAAAGGGTCAGGACAATTTTACGACAATTTAGAACACTCTGGTAATCGATAAACTCGCATTTAAACGGGATAAAGGTAAAAAAAAGTGTTGTATGCGCTTCTATGCTAAAACGATGGGAATACGAGGTCTAGGAGTGAAAATTTAATTGACCAAGTGCCTTGGTGCTTTCAAAATGTGCTCGTAAGGAACCATAACCTCTAAACCCATCCTACCCTGTTCTGATCATCGAAATTTAATCTATTCGTAACAATAAAACTCTGATTTTAAACACTTATTTTATTAGCGAATGGATATAATGTTGCGTTTTACTTCTAATCTCCTTTCAAAATGTGTTCGTAAGGAACCATAACCTCTAAACCCATTCTAACCTATTCTGATAATCGGAATTTAACATATTCGTCACAATAAAACTCTGATTTTATTAGCGAATGGATGTAATGTTATGTTTTCCTTCTAATCTCCTTTCAAAATGCGTTCCTAAGGAACCATAACCTCTAAACCCATTCTAACCTATTCTGATAATCGAAATTTAACATATTCGTCACAATAAAACTCTGATTTTATTAGCGGATGGATGTAATGTTATGTTTTCCTTCTAATCTCTTTTCAAAATGTGTTCGTAAGGAACTCTAACCTCTAAACCCATTCTAATCTATTTTGATAATCGAAATTTAACATATTCGTCACAATAAAACTCTGATTTTATTAGCGAATGGATGTAATGTTATGTTTTCCTTCTAATCTCCTTTCAAAATGTGTTCCTAAGGAACCATAACCTCTAAACCCATTCTAACAATCGAAATTTAATATATTCGTCACAATAAAACTCTGATTTTATTAGCGGATGGATGTAATGTTATGTTTTCCTTCTAATCTCCTTTCAAAATGTGTTCGTAAGGAACTCTAACCTCTAAACCCAGTCTAACCTATTCTGATAATCGAAATTTAATATATTTGGAACCGGTAGTATGCTGTATCCGTTATTTCATTTCTATCCCTTTATACTTCTGCCATTCGAGTTGCCTGTGGCGACCGAGTGACGCCTCTCGAGTGTAAAGGGTTCTTTCATCAGATTGGAAACAGCCGATGACGCATTAAGTGTGTAGACAAAACATAACCTCTCGTGTTGAAATTTAATCGACGACTACGTGCCTGGCCTGAGGTAGATATCACGTGCGAGAGACAATATCCGGACCCCAAGGGTCAACTACCACGAAATAAAGAGTCCGGCTTTTAAAAACAGAATTTACCATTTCCGGGCGTTACGTTACGAGAGTCGATCAGGAAACTCGGTAGAGTTCTGCGCCAAATATGCATTTGCATACTTTGTATAAAATTATACCTGAAATTATCCCGTTTTAGACGTTGACAAACATTTTATTAAACAATATCCGGACCCCAAGGGTCAACTACCCCGAAATAAAGAGTCCGGCTTTTAAAAACAGAATTTACCATTTCCGGGCGTTACGTTACGAGAGTCGATCAGGAAACTCGGTAGAGTTCTGCGCCAAATATGCATTTGCATACTTTGTATAAAATTATACCTGAAATTATCCCGTTTTAGACGTTGACAAACATTTTGTCTGGAATCGCTTTGAGCGTACTGTAAAATTACAGTAATATAAGGTTTTATGAAAATATATATTCCCTAGATAACCTTAAAAAAAGAGCCTTAATTTCTATCGGCATCCTAACTTTAAATACCTAGAACGGTATGAATGCATACTTAACCCTACATAACCTTAAAACAAAGACACAAAGTATAGAATCTTATTTCGGTCCCCAAACTTGCGTGGGAACATTAACAATGTTGCGAGAGCCTTATGTCTGTAATAATCCTCTACAGCTATTCGATCGCAGTTAGTCCTTTTATCTCCCCCATCGACTAGAACGAAGTCCCCGTGTGCGAAAGAGAGAACAATCTTATCTCCCATCCCCGGGGTCCGTAGATAAGGGAGATAACAGAGCCTCCGCACAGTGGTTCTAAGAGGGTCTAAAAATGTTCCATATCCTTAGTGAATTTATATTTAAAGTTTATTCTATTCGTATATATTAGAATTTGCCACCCGAGTACATACAAACACACATATGTATATATATGTATATACAGAGTATCCTGTACTCTACAAAACGGAACGTACTTTCATTATGCCAAACATGGACCCATGATAAATTCTCTGAATAGAGAAATAAATATATATATTGAACTAAAGTATCGAACTTTGGCGTTAAGTATTCGGTCCCGTTTGCGCATGATTTTTAATGTATTTGCCGCGAAACTCCACCGAGTTTCCTAATAATATTGATTTACGTTAATTATACTTACCGGGACTTTTAATTTACTTATACAAGATACTTGATAATTTTTAATTGCAAAATTTCATCGATGAAGCCGTAGGTTGGACAAAAATCTGAAGATCTTGGACCTCTAAAGTGGGGACGACTTCAATACGTAGCGTTGTATCTCCTTATGCTACTTCGTGGTGTGACATACACGTAGAAAACCATGTATATATGTGACGTATTATACTTACACAACCCTGGTGTCGGTTTACGAGGCGACCCGCCGCCTCTGAGCGCGCACTCACTGCGCGGTCGCTTATATACGCCGGTTGCGTCAGCCGAGCGCTGTTGCGAGATTGGCCGCTTCCTAAGGCGCTGTTGCCTAATTGGCCGCGGCCGTTGGCGCCGCCGTGCGATTGCCCGCAGCCGTCGGCCGGCTCGGCGGCGCGGGTCTAGCGGAAATGCGCGGGAGTCTAGACTCATATCGACCAATGGGGGCGCTGGGCGCGAGACTGCGGCGCGGAGGGAGGGGGCGAGCGCGAGGGAGTCAGTGCGCCGCCATTGGCCCGAGAGAGAGGGCGCGAGTCGGCGAGGTCGCCAGACTCCTCCGAGCTTCGGTTGTATCCAGTTGTATTCAGGACAACGGAGGCTAGCTATAGCTCTTTCTGTCGTCCACCCTCGCTGCGCACCTCTTTGGTCGAAGAGCCTTCGAGAGCTCGATTCTTCGAGCTATCTCGTGTGGTACGTATCTCGCGGCGACATAACCTCGCATCTCGCCGGCGACGTGCATAGGGATACTTAGATATTCTTAACCGTGAACTCGGCTGACGCCTGTTCTTGCAGGTTAGTTTTTCCCCAAGGTTCGTGGATACTTAGGATAGCGTTGTACCATTAACGTTCGTATGTCCTTTGTCCTCGGCCATTTTAAATTTCTCGGTATTTGTTTATTTGCCAACGGCTTTTATTAACGCGTAGTTTTTTGTTTTTCTTCCGCGAGGATGACTGATCGGCCGGTTTGAATTTATCTACGTTTTTGTTTTTTTGCCAACGGCTTTTATTAACGCCTCGTTTTTTGTTTTTCTTCCGCGAGGATGACTGGTCGGCCGGTTTGAATTTATCTCCGTTTTTGTTTTTTTTTTTGCCAACGGCTTTTATTAACGCCTAGTTTTTTGTTTTTCTTCCGCGAGGATGACTGGTCGGCCGGTTTGAATTTATCTCCGTTTTTGTTTTTTTTTTTGCCAACGGCTTTTATTAACGCCTAGTTTTTTGTTTTTCTTTCGCGAGGATGACTGATCGGCCGGTTTGAATTTATCTACGTTTTTGTTTTTTTGCCAACGGCTTTTATTAACGCCTCGTTTTTTGTTTTTCTTCCGCGAGGATGACTGGTCGGCCATTTTGAATTTATATCTACGTTTTTGTTTTGCTAACGACTTTCATTAACGCGTAGTCTTTTTTTTTTTCTTTCGGGAGAATGACAGATCAGCAAAATCGCGCGGCTCGAGTCTCCGAAAAAAGATACTGAGGTTAAAAGTAGTCGAACTCGCAGTACGATATTTCTTTTGTGCAGTTTTTTTTTTATCTCTTTTCTTATTACTTTGACACATTTCGCGTCGTATCCCGCCACCTACGAAACTGATTTAACTTATGGCGATTTTTGATAAAAGTTTAATTTCAACTTGGAGGAAAATTGTAATTTCTAATCAAGATGGACGCTTTATCTCGATTTAAAGTAAACGTTCAGTTTCGATTTGAAAGGACATTTAAATTCAAGTTGGATTAAAACTTTGAGCAAAACTGATACACCTGGAAAGGTTCTCCATAATAAGACAAACATAAATTTGGAGACGACTTTTACGTGCTACGTCTTACGAAGACGCAGTTTTTACGGCATTGGCTGAAAATCCGTTGCCTTAACACTTTGAAGACGGAGCCATTGCGACATATGGGCGAAATTTGTCTGACCGTGCAGGCGATATTGGACCAAATGTCGGACGCCTTTAGGCGCTCTTAGTAGCCAAACGGTTAAGATATTGACGAACTAAGACCGAAAAGGAAGGTCTTTACGACTGAGTTACTGACTTCAATGGCGATACTTTGGAATTACTGGTGTGGATATTCCACGAGTGGGCAAATCGTCAACCAAGAGAGGGACACTTCACAAATGGTCGAATATCCTATGAGTCGAATTTATAAACTCAAGATAGAGAGAAAAAAAATGCATCACTCAAGATCGGAGATATGTTTACATCGTACAAGGGCCAATTTCCTTCTTGGGTATATTTTCTCTCTGGTCTTAACACTTAGCCAACCGAACGGGTTGTGAAGTGTTAAGTTTATCGAAGAATGTGATTTTTAACCTACAAATGCGTTAACCTAAAAATTAATTGTCCTAAAAGTTCGTTAACGTATAAATTCTACGTGAAAATTCGTTAACGCGTAGATTTACCATGACAATTCGTTGACATAAAAATTCATTAACGTAAAAATTCTTACGTGAAAATTGATTAGCCTAAAAATCAAGAAACTCGGTAGAGTTTCGAGCCAAATACATTTTTGAGCGAGAAACTCGTAGCGCTGAGTTTATTATCCTAAAAATTCGTTAACGCGAAAATTGGTAAGCCTAGAAATTCATTATCCTAAATCTTTTTACGTGAAAATTCCTTATCATAGAAATGTATTATCCTAAAAATTGTGTTAATCGAGAAACTCGGTAACCTCGGAATTCGCTTGATATTTTATGTACGATCTTTACGTATTACAAACGATACTATATTTTATGACGAGCTTTTAGTTCGTTAACCTTAAAAATTCGTTATCCTACAAATTTGGAAGGAGCCATTCGCCGCATTGTTCTCGGACGACAGGAGGTCGTCAGGCGGAAAATCTAGCAACATTATGTGCAAACTGCCGCCAGTATTGGCGGCGGTTTTTCTATGGTAGGACGAGGAGATGGTAGGATTAAATCGATCCTGCAAACCCTGGACATTAAAAGACCCTTTTACGCTCTAGAGGCGAGAGAGACTACTCTCCTTCAAGACACTTTTGCGCTTCTTGACACGCACCGTTGACTCATCATATGCATTTAATATGAGACTTTTTTGTTCTTATATGTAATATCCGACGGTGAAGTGACCTACGCACATACATCGCAATTTTCACACGAAACGTGCTACCAACACGCTTTTTTACACAACACTAGCCTTTAAGGTCGGCTGACATCCTATATATATATATACTTTTTATATAATAATTTCTGTACGAATACTCGTTTGAAATTCTATCACGTGAATACGAGGCCCTAAGGAAGGTTCTGGCACTCATGAAATTCATTTTTTATTTTACTTTGTTTAAAAACATTTTAATTTGTAATAAATAATGAATCTCATGGGTGTCGCGACCTTCTCTAGGGTCGTCATTTTCACGCGGTGAAATTTCAAACGATTTGGTACGCCAAGCTCGGAGAAAAGTATCATAAACGATTGGACTCTCAGATGCCACTTTCACATCGCCTTAAGGTTGACAGTGAGGTTATGTCGGACAGTTATAGTCTAATGTGTAAATCCAGGTGGTCAAAAGACGTCCTATTGACACTATTGACCAAACAAAGAATATCCTAGACTTCGCGATGTCGATTGAGGTTAACGTCGCTTTCGTCGTGGGTGAAGCGTTGACTGTGAGGTTATGTCGGACTGTTTTAGCCCAGAATGCAAATCCAGGTCGCTAAAGGCGATTTATTAACACATTCCGTGCCATGTGGGTCGCCAACGACGGTTTATGACAGCGAACTCATTAGTTTCGGCCGTGTATCTGTTAAGACCCTTATCACTCCAAGGATGTTAGAAAAATATTAGAAATTGGCAGCATTACTGCCGGTTGGAGTGATAAGGGTCAACGCATTGGCAGAACGACCAGACCAAGTGTGTCCTAGAGGTTGCCGTTGAATTGCCCTCCTTGCGCAGTGTTTGCGACCCAGGAGGCGACTTTTAAACTGCCCGGTTCTGTTCCCAGAGTTGAGCACACCAAAATGGTGTCCAAAGGTTTCCACGAAAAGTGGATCTCCAGGGAGTCGACCGGATACCTGCTGAGGCGGCTCTGTAAGGCGCAGGCCCTAGCCGAAGACACAGTGCCGATAGAAGCCACCAACATCCGGAACAAGTCGGACTTCCTCCGGTCGATGGGCCTGGAGGTGAAGCAAACCCGGCTGGTGAAGAAGCTCCAGAGGGTGGGCGTGATCAGCAACGGGGACTTCGGCCTGATAATCCGGGACCACGGATCCCAGCCCAGAAGACGAGGGAGACCCGCCAAGAGAACGAAACACCAGGGCGTGGACGTTATCAAGAACGGTGACTTCGGCCTGATAATCCGGGACCACGGATCCCAACTCAGGAGACGAGGAAGACCCGCCAAGACGACGAGACACCAGGAACAGGTCCCCCGAAGAGGGATCGAACTTCCCCTGAAGGACTGCCGGGTGGTCATCTTCGGGGAGAAGTGCAAGGTCTGCGGGAGGAACTTCAAATGCAAGACCGACGTGGCGGAGCACATGAACAGCAGACACTCCACCAGGAGGCTAGCCAGGATAAGAGTGGTTTTTAAGATAGGCGAGGAGGTGGTGTCCAACGTCTTGCTCAAGAAGAAACACATCAAGAAGACGTCCAGAATCCTGCGGGTCGGGGAAGGCCCAGACCCCGAGGGAGCAAACCTCGACATGGGACCTTCCAGTCTCCAGGAACCCAACATTGGGCTGGAGGCAGATGAAGTCCTGCAGAAGGACCTTGATGACGAGGACGCGCGGAGCGACATCTCCAAGGCGTCCACGATTCTGCTGGACGAGAGATATCGAAACTGCGGAACTCGTGCAGGAGTTGATGATCATGATGACGATGATGTTCTGGTCTGGAAACGGGAGACTCTGAATTACGGGGAGGAGTTTGATAAGGCGGGTCTTGAAGGGCTCTGCCTGAAATCCGAGGAACCTGGATCCGGGTATCATGCCTTCAGGGCCAAACTGAAGTATGACGAGCCTTATGACGAGGTCATCATGATCTCCGATGACGATAGCGATGACTGCAGCGTTTTTAGGTGTGGGTCGGTCGACGGGATGATCGCTGGCGACCTGGAGGATGCGAATTTCACCGACGAGGACGAGGGCATCATCGAGGTGATCTACGTTAGAAGAGGGTCCTCCAACGTGAAGACTGAGGTCAATTCGTCTTCTGATTTGGACCTGACCCAGGACAACCTGGATAAAGACAGGCTGGAGATGCCGAGGGTGGTGAAGGACGAGGTGAAGACGGATATCAATGTCAAGGACCTGAAGAGGGACCTTGAGGGTGAAGGGAAGATTAATTGCAAGGTGGAGGCGACTCCTGTCGAGGATCTTGAAGTCCTCGAGCTGGAGACACCTGTCGTCCGGAGGCGTGATGTTAAATCGGAGGACAAGGTGTTGGGGGTTAAGGGACCAGCTATGTCGGTTTGTAGCTCGGGCCCGGAGGAGTTGGATGACGAGGTAATGGAGGTGCTGAGGATCACCAGGGAGAGGCTGAAGAGTGACGACCTGGACATCAACCACGAGTCCCCCAACAGGCATGAAAGGGAGATGCTGATCGAGGCTGACTGTAGGAAGATGAGCACCAACGAGGCGGTGGAGAAGGTCGACAGGAATGTCCAGTCGAGGAACATGAAGACGTGGACCTTGAAGGAGGAGGTCGAAGAGATAATGCTGGACGAGGACGATTCCGACGCGGAGACGCTGATCAAGGAGGAACAGAGCTATCAGTTTGACGTGAAGGTTCAACAGGACCTGCAGGATGATGTCGACGTCGTAGATGTGGATGTTGAAGAGCCGGGGAACGATCGGAGTTCCCCAGTTTTCCACAGTTTTCTCGATAGAAGGGGTAGGACTCCTGGGTACTCCGAAAGTGTGGACCAGTACTTGGACAGGACTGAGAGCTCTTGGTCGACGACTACTCAGGACACCCTGCAGGAGTTCAACAACAACAACGTTGGAGAATTAAGGCCTAGTCTGTTAAATAAGGAAGTGGGAAGGGCAAACGAGTGCCGGAAGTGCACCTGCAGGGCTGACGGATGTCATGGGAAGGAGAGGACCGGGAAGAGACCGGTTAATTTCGTCTTTCATCGCAGCATCTTTAATAGGAGAGAGACTTTGCCGTTGAGGGTTCCTGATAGCACATAGGGAAACGGGGGAAGGAAGTTCCCAATAGCTTAAGGGGATATGAATGTCCCGTCCGAGGAGTTTCTCACTTTTCTTCGATCCGGGTGGATCGAATCGCTTGAAACAATACCACGGTAGTGAGGAGGCCTTAATGGAGGTCCCGACATTCGAGATTTCACTTTTGCTCAACAGTTTCTATAATATCTTGTAAATAAATTAGTAAGCTTCGTAGGAGCCGAACCTTCGTTAGGGCCGCCAGTTTCACGTGGGGATGTTTTAAGGGATTCGGTGCACCCAGAACGGAGAAGAATGTCGTAACCTCAAAGACGACACTTTCATATCGCCTTAAGGGTCCAACCAGATCGGCCATGTTGAATTTTTCTGTCAGAGGAGAGGAAATCTGCGCCATATGAAGCGAATAACGTTTGCCGGCGAAGACCACGACAAAAAGAAGATAGATATTCAAGAAACGAATCAGTTTATTAAAGTTTGTGTACCACGAGACGAGGTTAGGATCCCAGGGTGATAATATTCGACAATGAACATAATGTTAACGCAAGATGAGACAGTTTACACATCCACGTTTCGACGATAACGTGAAAAATTGAGGGAAATTGTGGTGGGGAATTTTCTCGCCTTTCACCGGGAAATTCAAGATGGCCGACTTGGCTTGGCTGGAATGTTTACATTAAGACTCGCAACATTCCACGGATTGTTGCTCAAGAGATGCACTTTATGGCGTTAGAACTTGAAGAGGACCCTGAAGTGACCCTCGAAGAGCCGAAAAACGCAGCTTTTAACTTCAGAAATGGACCAAACTCAAGAACCATTTAATGGCTTTATTAAAAGTGAGTCGAACTCAAGGCTGGGGAATTCTTCAAGAGCCGCCTTGAGATATTCCTGTGCAAGACATAATGTTTATTTATCTAAACCGTCAAGAGCCAATCAAACTCTCGTCGACGAGTGCCCTTGTCGACGGAATGAAACGAGACTGTGAAATTAATATTTAAGGTTGTGAAATACATTTTTAAGCTCTAGTTAGATTAAGGTGATGTCAAAGTGGCGTCTAAAAAACTTTTATCCAAACTGGCTGTACCGAATCGTGTCAAACTTTACAACGTTAATGTGGAGGATATAAGGAAGGTCCTGACACTCATGAAATTTCATTTTTTATAAAAAAATGTTGCACATATCAATAAACAAATTTTAAAAAATTGAAGTTTCATGAGTTTTAGGACCTTCTTTATAGCCTTCGTATTTACATTGTCAAGTTTAAAACGATTTGGTACACCGAGTTTGGTGAAAAGTTTCATAGACTTCTTTGAAGTCACTTTCATATCGCCTTAAGCACGGTACCTAAGGTGTCCTTTCGGAAGCACTATTTTTTTAACGACGATTTTTATACTCGTTTAATAGTTTATCAGAGAGTCAGTGAATGGGCGATCGAATGTTTTCTTTCCTTTCAACTTGTCGATAATTTATCATAATAATACATATATGGATTAGATGTGTAGATCTGTGCAATAAATAGTGTGTGACAAACTGCGTCAGTATGCTTATTAAGGTGATATGAAAGGCCCATTCTACATATACCGAGAAGTAAAATTATTTATAAAACTTTTTTCCAAATCGGGTGCACCGAATAATTTCAAACTTTGTCACGCGATTGTGGAGGTCCTAATGAAAGTCTCCAAACTCAGGAAATTTCATTTTTTTTTATTCTAAAAAAGAAATGTTATTTTTGGTTCGTGTGCAGGTTAAACAATTTTTTTTTTGGTCAGATAATGAAATTTCGCGAATTTCAAGACCTTCATTAGGGCCTTCATAATCACGTATTAAAATTTCAATTTATTCGGTGCATTTAGATTGGAAAAATGTTTTACTTTCATGTACATATATATATTTCATATATGGCAATTTCATAATACCATAAGTACACGTTTACCGCACTTTCATAAATTTTACTCGAGTCTGGCACTTCTTGGTTTTTAGTGAAGTACTAATAGAGTATACTATAGATACTAGATAAGCACTAATGGTAAATGAATTACCGTGTTTTAGTTATTTTTATTAAGTTTACTTGCATTTACTGAGAATCGATTGTACGCGGGACTCAGATTTGTCTAACTACTGTGATCGCAATTTAGATAAGCCCAATAAAAGTATCTTCTTGTTTTTTTTCTTTTATAAACGGACATTTTCCTTCCTCCCCTTTCCTAATTATTTTCCGAAACCGGAGGTCGAGGTCTGTATATCACTTTGCGTACCTTAATTGCAAAATTAAAAGCATTTTAGGTCATTTACGTCGGTAGGAAATGGGTGCATTCAGAGGAGACAACTGTTGAGTGATCGGTTAGCGCTCATCTGCCGAATGGGTACGTTCACTCAACGTGTTTACTGATCAGACGCCATTTTATGTATCACAAATTTTCTACGCTACCTACGCTCAACGTGTTGGGTAGATCAAATTCAAATTCAACCGTGTAGATTCAAGTTAAAGAAGCAAGGATGGCAAATGAAATTATGACAATTATTACAGTGAAATGTATGAAGTAAACGGTCTTCGGTACGATGTAGTAGAGAGTGCAGAAGTGCATAAAATGTTACAAAACGGTACGTTATTTCGAAATGCATACTTAACCTTAATCTAATGTATTCCATCTTCCTAATATAGACTAAAAAACTAATAATAAATAAATAATTAAGTCAGTATGAACATGTGAGTGTTTTTTTTTTGTTCAGACGTTACATTCTGTTACGAATATTTTTCTAAAAATATATCATCTATAGAAGTTGTTGGTGTATGTAACGAAAAGGTGCAAAATCCTTCAGGTAAAGCTAAAATAATACACGACGTACATGTATTGTAAGCAGTGACTGCTAATATAATTAATATAATTATATTGACACTGGATGCCGCCATATTATGATCACTGAACAGTCCATTCGGCAGAATATCGCAACATGTTCCCAACTCATCGGTAACCGCTTTTCTCCTCCGAATGAACCCGATGTTTCGGTCACGTAAGATTGGAGTTCCCTCATTTTCCGCAAGTGGCGCTAGTATCGTTACCATCAGCGAACATCTGAGATCCTGGGTCCAGATTTTGGGGTTACTTTTTGCGGAACCGACCACGTACGTGTCTCCTTATACTATACTTCATGGGTTCAACGCTACGTGGGTAACTATACATCTAAGGGAATAGCAAACATATCTGAAGAAGTGAATTTCTGTACGTGACATACCAATGCGATAGAATGCGGAGCTGTCGGGCAGGATGCGCGCGCACCGCCGTTCGCCGCAGCGCGCTGCAAAGCACTGCGCGTCGCGGCAGCGTGCTGCACGGCAGCGGAGAGAGGCGAGTGGCTGCGGTCGCGTTAGAATCGCGTAACCCGGCTGGCGCGACAGCTCGTGGCCAACTGATAAGCCCGGCGACACGCGATCACGGCGAGGCAACCCCGACCACTCGTTACTTCCCCACGAGTCACGGAACCGAGAGCCCGCGATTACCCCGAGCGCCGCCATATTGAATTATGATTTACCTATTACTAAGGGACCCTGTAGAGCTCTGCACTAAATACGTATGATATATATGAAAAAAATGTATCATTGAATTCTGCCATATTCAGTTACTTATGATTTACCTATTATTAAGGAACTCGGTAGAGTTTTGCACCAAATGCATATTGTATATATGACAAAAACGTATCATCGAATTCTGCCATATTCAGTTACTTATGATTTACTTATTATTAAGGAACTTGGTAGAGTTTTGCACCAAATGCATGTTGTATATATGACAAAAACGTATCATTGAATTCTGCCATATTCAGTTACGTATGATTTACCTATTACTAAGGAACTCGGTAGAGTTTTGCACCAATTGCATATGGTATGTATGATAAGAACGTATCATTGAATTCTATCTTATTCATTTACTTATGATTTACCTATTACTAAGAAACTTGGTAGAGTTTTGCACCAAATGCATGTGGTACATATGACAAAAACGTATCATTGAATTCTGCCACATTCAGTTACGTATGATTTACCTATTACTAAGGGACTCTGTAGAGTTCCGCACCAAATGCATGGGATAAATATGCCAAAAACGTACCATCGAATTCCGCCATATTCAGTCACTCATGATTTACCTAATACTAAGGGGCCCTGTAGAGTTCCGCACCAAGTACCTCCGGTACATATGAGAAAAACGTAAGCACTTTAACAGCAATGCAGCAATGAAAAATGTACTTTCAGACAATCCCTGAGGGACACATCCCTTGAACGGCTCTTCACAAAAGTAAATATACACTCCTTAAAACGAGACAATCAACGAATGATATAATATACGCGGGGGTCTTATCGAGAGGGGAGGAAAAGGAAAGATCCATATCACAATATCATTTCCTTTTTAACCCTGTATCTGCTGTTTTCGAGTTCCTCGAAACGCGTTAGACATTCAACGAGAGACCCGTACACGTCATCCTCGCATTTCTCTAGGGTCAACTCCAACAATACGCAAAGACTTTCCAGCTGCTGGCAGATGCACCCTTCGGTCAACTGCACGGCTTTTTGCAGCAGCATGTGCAGCTGCTCCTCATTCAGCTTTTCGGAGCTTCCAGTCGGCTTCAACGTCGAACATCCGTTCATCAACTTCTGCCTCTTCGTCGCGACTCCTTCCCCCGACGCGCTGTGTTCCCTTTTGATGTTCAGCCCTGAAAAACCGATATTAGAGGGGAAAGAAAATGCGCAGCGTGCTGAAAGGTCCTGCATGAAGTAATTGCAAGGTGTTTAACGAGTCAGCAAGATCCTTAACTGGATTTCGACGTCGTCGAGTGGCAAGAGAGAACGGAGCTGATCTTCGTTCTTCCTCGGCCTTCCGTCTTCACTTTTCGCATGGCCAGCACCTCCACTGCTTCCGCTGCTTTTTCGAAAATTGTTATATATTGATATATATTTTTTTTTTATATATTTATAAACTTGTCTACGAATTAGGGGTACCGAATCGTGGCAAACTTGACAATGTGAACATGGAGCCTATAAAGAAGGTCTTGACATTCATGAAATTTCATTATAAAAAATTTGAAAATATCTATTAATAAATTTTGGAAAATTGAAATTTTATGAGTGTCTTGACAACGTGAACATGGAGTCTATAAGGAAGGTCCTGACATTCATGAAATTTCAATAAAAAAAAATTTGATAATATCTATTAATAAATTTTTGGAAAATTGAAATTTTATGAGTGTCTTGACAACGTGAACATGGAGCCTATAAGGAAGGTCTTGACATTCATGAAATGTCATTTTAAAAAAATTTGAAAATATCTATAAATACATTTTTGGAAAATTGAAATTTAATGGGTGTCGAAACCTTCCTTATAGCTTCCATATTCACATTGTCAAGATTAAAAGGATTCGGAATACCCATTTCGGAGAAAAGTTTCATAAACGAGACCTCTTTGACACTTTCACGTCACCTTAAGCTGATTCAATTGTTCATGAAACTTTTCCAATAATTGGGGGTACTGAATCGTTTTAACTTGACAATATGAATATGGAAACTATAAAGAAGGTCCTGACACCCATAAAATTTGAATTCTTAAAAAATTTCTTAATAGAGGTTTTCAACATTATGAATAATGAAATTTTGCGAGTTTCAGAACCTACCCTAGGCTCTCTATACTCACATTGTAGGGTTCGAAACGATTCTCGGTACACCTAGTTCAGAGAAAAGTTTCATAAACGAGTCTCCTCTTACACTTTCACATCACCTTAAGGTGATTGAATTGTTCATGTAACTTTTCCACTAATTGGGTGTACCGAATCGTGTCAAACTTGACAACGTGACCACGGCATCTATAAGGAAGGTCCTGACACTTATGAAATTTCATTTTTTTAGAAAAAAAAAAGTGAAAATATGTATATGTTTATAGACATTTTCGGAGTAAAGTTTCACGAACGACTGAGCTTTCGGATGACGCTTTGACATCCCCTTAAGTCATGCATCTTCTTCCCTCCATGCGCAATTTCTCCGTCCTTTTTTAATTTCCTTTTTGTTTATTCCTTTCTTTTTTTATGGATCCGAGGAAATGAAACACCCTTACGTGACTCTAGTTGCACCGTGGACTCGACGGTCTGTGAATTGTTGCACTTCAGCTTCCTGGCGTTGCTCTCGACCTTCATCTTCTTCGGGCTTACGACTTGCGAGACGTCAGCTGATCCGCGTAAGCAACGATGTCATTTCGATCAATACCGCGGCGCGGGAAGAGAGGATGAAAAAAAAGCATTATTCATTAATTCATTCCCCTCCCTGTGCAGTACGAACCGTAAGACGACCTGTTCGAGACGTCGTCCGAGGAGGAGTTCGCCCTGAGGAAGATCTGCTTGAAGAAGGCCTGACGCTCTGGGAGTCCTGGAGGTCGCACTTCGTATACTTCTCCTTGATACTCGTCGAAAAGTGAAGAGATCTGCAAAAGAATACATTTTTTTAGGGACCACTGTAAACCATTTCATTGCAGGATAAAGAAACTTCAATAGTTCGGGTTTAGTGCTTAAGGTGATGTCAAAGTGGCGTCAAAGACTCGTTTATTAAACTTTTCTCCGAGATGGGTGTTCCGAATCGTTTCAATCTTGACTATACCAATGTGGAGGCTTTAAAAAACATCTTGACAGTCATGAAATTTCATTTTTTATAAAAAATATTGTGAATATCTATGAACAAATTTGAAAAGAATTGAAATTTCATGGGTGTCAGGATCTTTCTTAAAGCCTCCATATTCACATGATAAAGTTTAAAGCGATTTGGTAAATCTATTTCGTAGAAAAGTTTCATAATTGTGACCTTTTCATCGTCACCTTAAGGTGATGTCAAAGTGGCGTTAAAGAGTCGTTTATGAAACTTTTCTCCGAAACAGATTTACCAAATCGCTTTAAACTTTATAATGTGAATGTGGAGGCTTTAAGAAAGATCCTGACACCCATGAAATTTCATTTTTTATAAACAATGTTATGAATTTATAATAATTTTGTTCAACAATACATGTAAAGAAGGATGTACCTCTTCCGGTAAACTAGCTAAACTGCATTTCGCTTGATAATTTTGTTTAACAAATATATGTAAAAAAGGATGTACCTCTTCCGGCAAACTAGCTAAACTGCATTTCGCTTGATAATTTTGTTTAACAAATATATGTAAAAAAGGATGTACCTCTTCCGGTAAACCAGTTAAACTGCATTTCGCTTCATAATTTTGTTCAACAATATATGTAAAGAAGAATGTACCTCTTCCGGTAAACCAGCTAAACTGCATTTCGCTTGATAATTTTGTTGAACAATACATGTAATGAAGAATGTACCTCTTCCGGCAAACTAGGTAAACTAGTTCATTTGATAATTTTGTTCAACAATGTATGTAAAGAAGGATGTACCTCTTCCGGTAAACCAGTTAAACTGCATTTCGCTTGATAATTTTGTTCAACAGTATATATAAAGAAGAATATACCTCTTCCGGCAAACTAGCTAAACTGCATTTCGCTTGATAATTTTGTATAACAAATATATGTAAAGAAGGATGTACCTCTTCCGGTAAACCGGCCAAACTGCAGTTCGCGGTGGTTAGAACCAGCATATGAACTGTCCGGTCGAGGCCGCGCAATAGAGATGCAAAAACGACCCTGGCTGCTTCGTCTACTAGATCCCACCAGGCCAACAAGTCAGGGACATAGAGAAGCGATGGAAGAGTGTGTCGAGCAGCCTTCACCTTCTGCACCGAGAATTCACGGGTCAAACCCTAATTGTTAAACGACGCCATTGGTTGGTCGTCCAATGTGTCTTCATCTTCCAGCGGGAATCCCTGACTTAGAAATCGCGCCTCTTTATATAGATTTATGTATTATATATGTATATAATATAAATGAATATAGTTACACATATATATTTGGCGCGAAACTCTACCAGGTCTCTTAATCCCTCTGAACGTTAGGGTTAAGGCGATGTGAAAGTGGCAAAGTCTCGTTTATGAAACTTTTCTCCGAAATGGGTGTTCCAAATCGTTTCAAACTTTACAATGTAAATACACAGGCTATAAGGAAGGTTTTGACATCCATAAAACTTCAATTTTTCAAAAATTTATGTATAGATATTTGCAACATTTTTTTCTAAAAAAATGAAATTTCATGAGTGACCTTCCTTACAGCCACCATGTTCAGGTTGTCAAGTTTGAAACGATTTGGAACACCCAGTTCGTAGAAAAGTTTCATGAATGATGAACCTTTCGGGTTTCACTTTCACATCCCCTTAAAGCGATGTGAAAGTGGCAAAGTTTTGTTTATGAAGCTTTTCTCCGAAATGGGTGTTCCGAATCGTTTCAAACTTGACAATGTAAATATATAGGCTATAAGGAAAGTTTTGACATCCATAAAATTTCAATTTTGTAAAAATTTATTTATAGATATTTGCAACATTTTTTATGAAAAATGAAATATCATGAGTGTCCAGACCTTTCTTATAGCCACAATGTCCACATTGTCAAGTTTGAAACGATTTGGAACACCCAGTTCGTAGAAAAGTTTCATAAATGATCTTTCGGGTTCCACTTTCACATCCCCTTAATCCTTTGGCTACTAAGAGCGCCTAAAGGCGCCCGACGTTTGGTCCAATATCGCCTGCACGGTCAGACAAATTTCGCCCATATGTCGATACGACTCCGAGTTCAAAGGGTTAAAAAATCCTGGAACCTGAATTATCGCCTCTTCAGCTGCACGTCCAGTTTCTTCGAACAATGTCGTGACGTCCAGAATGTGACAAGGAAGGTGTTCCAGAGTGTGAAGCAGAGCTGGACCCAAATGTCGGGTGTGACAGTCGTCTAAACCGCAGAGCAAAATTCTTGGACATCCGGAAGACCTTGAGCATGCACTTCCGGTGCTGAAATCATTTTTTGAGTATAGAAATTATTCGCTGCGGTTCCTTATTATAATCAGGTGCAACGCAGGTGCACATGCACAGGACAAGAGAGGCTTTAAAAGGACCTCTAGATATAAATAAAAAAAAAGGAAGAAAATAGTTGTACTGTACCCTTTAAACATTTTTAAATTAAAATTAAGTATCTCGCGATGAAACTGAAAAACTAGCGAAATTGTTGTACTATACTGTTAAAAAATATGAAAATTAAATTTCAAGATCTCGAAATATAATTAATCATTTTTAAATTAAAATTAAGTATCTCGCGATGAAACTGAAAAACTAGCGAAATTGTTGTACTATACTGTTCAAAAATATGAAAATTAAATTTCAAGATCCCGAAATATAATTAAACATTTTTAAATTAAAATTAAGTATCTCGCGATGAAACTGAAAAACTAGCGAAATTGTTGTACTAAACTGTTAAAAAATATGAAAATTAAATTTCCAGATCCCGAAATGTAACTAAACAGAATAGTGAAATAGTTGTTCTATATTATTTAAAAATTTCAAAATTGATGCCAAGGACCTTGAAATATAACTGAGAAAAAAAATAATATCGGAATAGCTGTAGTACACTATTTCAAAATTAAATAATTTAAATTAGGGATCTTATGATGTAAAGTACTGTAAAAAGAAAAGCGACGTTGCGTTATTGTGCACCTGTGTGCAAAGTATTTTCACGGAAGTATGTTCAAAATTGGTAGAATTTTGAAAAAGATTACTAACATGTTGTCCGATGTCAACATTCCTGTTGGGCAGAGCATTTCCAGCCTCGAGACAATTATTGCCAGACTTTCTTGAAGCATGGGTTGCATTTTGTTTGATAAACATTTTACTGGGGCTATGGTGACTCTATGGGAGGCTGGCACAATATTTTGACGTGCTTTTAAAAAATCCTGCTTTTCCACCTGGAAGAAAAAGAAGTTTGAATTTGAATCGCAAAGGTTGATTTCAAAGTACAAAATATTGAAATTTATACCAAGTACCAGCTGTTAAGATTATGAAAAAAATTATAAAATATAGATAAGATGAACTGCAAAATTAAGATAATGAAAGTGCAGGTATATAACTACATGTTTGCAAATCAATTTTGTCCTTTGCAAATCATGAAAACAGAAGAATTTGATTCGCTAAAGTTCGAATTCGAATCGCCAAAGGTTGATTTTAAAGTACAAAATTAGTACCGAGTACAGTTGTTAAGATTATGAAGAAAAATTATAAAATTAAGATAATGAAAATACAGGTTTATAATTAAACGTATGCAAATTAAATTCGCTCTTTCGCAAATCATGGAAATAGAAGAATTTGATTAGCAAAAGGTTGATTTCGAGGTGTAAAATTCGTACCGAGTACATCCTGAGATTATGAAGAAAAATTATGAAATAAAAATAAGGTAAATTTGAAAATTAAGATAATGACAAAGTTACTTTAAGGCTCCTCTCGTTGATGTGGTGTTTCGACTTCGAAGAGTAAATTTGAGGATAATTTCTGCGAACACAGCACATTACAGCTTCGACACACAATGCTTGAAGATCGCTTCCGCAATATCCTACAGTTTTCGAGGCCAAATAAGCCAGGAATTTTTGAGGGGGCTTCTGCTTCCAGCTTTTCACGTGAATCTAATAATACATTGTTTTTATTAATTTTTATTTTCGATAAAAATCACCAAAGCTCCTGCATTTCCAAATCGGCAAAAATTAAAGCGCACTGTATGAATAGAATTAAAATGTACAGAAAATTAATTTCTGTTCCATAAATTAGGGAGAATTCAGGTATTAAATAGAAAATGAAAATCGTCACTTTAACGTTAAAATTTTGAAATTTAACCATGAACAAATATATTCCTCTTACGGAATTCGATGTAAATTAGAGTACATTACATAAATGACATAGAATAAAAAATTACAAAAAATGTATAATAATATGTTATAGTAGACTAAAAACTAAGCGATACGTATTTTTTTTCATTCACCTGGAAAGGTTTTGTCATAACGAGAAATGAAAAATATAATTTTCACAATTAAAAAAAAAAATGAAGGGGTGAGCCTTACTTTGGATGGTGGTTTCACCCCCTTAAAGTGTTTAATGGCAGATAAAAAAAAATACATGGCGCTTAGTTTTTAGTCTACTATAACATATTATAAAAGAAATGAAATCGGAGAGATCGACCTGGGATAACTTCCTTGTAAGAATGAACAAATTCTTATTACTATTTTTATTTATAATAATCGAGCAAAGAGAGTTGTACCGAAAGGATGTCCTTTCTCGCCGCGTAACAGGGCAGAGGGAAATAAAGTTCTCTGTCGAATCTTCCAGGTCTCCTTAAAGCAGGATCTATCGCATCGAGTCTGTTTGTCGCTCCGATAACGATAACTTCGGAATTGTTATCCAATCCGTCCATAAGAGCTAATAAAGTGGAGACGACACTTGCATGGACGAAATCTTGACGGTTCGACCTGATGGGTGCCAAGCCGTCCACCTCGTCGAAGAAAATGATGCACGGTTTCGTCTGCTGAGCCTGAAAAGAGGAGAAATAACTTTTAAGGTGGAGTGAAAATGATCACCGAAGAAAATGATGCACGGTTTCGTCTGCTGAGCCTGAAAAGAGGAGAAATAACTTTTAAGGTGGAGTGAAAATGATCACCGAAGAAAATGATGCTCGGTTTCGTCTGCTGAGCCTGAAAAGCGGAGAAATAACTTTTAAGGTGGAGTGAAACACGTTGAGGAACTTGATCGACGTCGATAAAGATTTTTCTAAATACCTACGTTGCGGACGTTCATTTTTATATTAAGAGCTGGGTCGAATTATATTGGGTATTGTACCAAATGGCATACTCCACCTGTCGTTTTCGTAGAATAATTATACAAAAATCGAAGTAAAACTCCAGAAATCATCTGGATTAATGTAAACCCTTCAAATCAGTCGATTTTAATACAACACTGTTTTTTAAGGGTATTAGACCAAACTGTCGGAAACTTTGACACATCACTCCCGATCATCTAAGAATTGTTCTGACACATTCAAGATTTGGATTTTTCAAAAAAATTTTTTTACTCAGCCCGGACCAGAAGCAAAATGGCGTCGAGCTCTCATATTTCGATCGATATACAATTATCGAAGGCTCTGATATGAGAATCGAAAGGGTCAGGACAATTTTACGACAATTTAGAACACTCTGGTAATCGATAAACTCGCATTTGAACGGGATAAAGGCAAAAAAAGTGTTGTATGCGCTTCTATGCCAAAACGATGGGAATACAAGGTCTTGGAGTGAAAATTTAATTGACCTGGAAATCACAGATGGCGCAGGGGGTCCCTCTGCAGTCAATTAGGGCCCCAGAAAGCACGAATCCAGAGGATTTCTGGAGTTTTACTTCGATTTCTTGATATTTATTGTACGAAAACGACAGGTGGAGTATGCCATTGGTACAATACCCAATATAATTCGACCCAGCTGTCAATATAAAAACCAACGTCGGCGACGTAGGCATTTAGAAAAATCTTCTTCATCGACGTCGATCAAGTTCCTCGACGTGTTTCACTTCACCTTAAGAGTACTATTAAATCTTAAAACTTTCTGGAATTTATTCTAACCCGGGTGAAGACTTTCTGCAACTTCTTCTCGCTCTCGCCGACCCATTTGCTGAGACAATCCGATCCTTTTCGGGCGATGAAGGAGACCTTCCTCTCTGAATTGCTGCACTCGCCGGCTAATGCACTTGCTACCAATGTTTTCCCAGTTCCTGAAAAAGAAAAAAAAAATGCGAAGTATATAAACATGCTCCTTAAAAGTGATATGAAAGTGTGATATATATATGTTACAATGAAACACCGAAATCTGGAGAATGTCGACTTACGCCGGTAAATGTTGACATTCACCGGTGTGTGATTGTCGACACACACTGGAGAGCCAACTCCAATTCACCTTAAAAATAGGGAAAATTACTCGCTCAGTAGTGATTAATTGTCTCACCAGGTGGCCCGTAAAATAGTAATCCTCTGGGAGGCCTCAGGTTGAATTTCGCGTACACGTCCCCATACATCAGGGGAAAAAGAACCATATCCTTGACAATTTTCACCTGCTTTTCCAGGCCGCCCACGCAGGAGAAGTCCTTCACGGCCGCCATATTTCTTCCCCGGATTTTCCGCCGAACTTTTTTTCTCCTACATAAAAAGGGAAATTTAACCCAACTGTTTTATTATATATAACATTTATTATTCGCTCTTTCGCAAATCATGGAAATAGAAGAATTTGATTAGCAAAAGGTTGATTTCGAGGTGTAAAATTCGTACCGAGTACATCCTGAGATTANATAATTAAAATATGTTCATGTAAGATAACATGCAATTGATATTACTTCTGTTACATAAACTTGGGTTAAATTAATTATTGAGTTTTACTTTTTGTAGATATCAGAAAGAGATGTACTCCAAGGCAGACTATTCGACGCACAGCTAGGTATGACGAATAATAATTAAAAATGAATTTATAAATCAAATTATGTTAAGTAAACATGAAGAACAAGTCGATATCAATTACATTACCTAAAGTTAGTTTAAACTAACTGCTGCACTCTATTTCTTTTTTGCAGATATTAGGAAGAGACGCACGCCAAGATATCTAATAATTACTGGGTATGATGTACAATAATTAAGAATGAATTTATAATTCAAATAGTAATAATTAAAAACGAAAAACAAGTTGATATCAATTATATTACGTAAAGTGAGGTTAAATTGACTGTTGAGTAATATTGTTTGTAGATATCAAAAAGAGGTTCACGCCAAGCGGTATATCTATATGCCCTGCTGTGTATGTCTAATAATTAAAAATATATTAATTGAAAATTAAGAACAAATTATGTGTATATATATATTGATGTTAATTACGGAAACGGTTGATAATTAAAAGATGACTGAGAACGAGTCCTAAAAATCCTCTTCTTGGTCGTCGACCAAAGGCAAGGTCAGAGGATCCGTCATGCCGGGTTCTGTAAGCTCTGAATAAATTTTCCAAAATTCCTGATAACTATCAGTCGTTCACGGGCATATTTAGAAATGCGAGGGAGATACTTCCCACTGGAATTTGTGCCGGTTGCTTCCACGAGAGGATTTCACATTTCACATATCTGACGTCTCGCCAACTGACCACGCTAGAAACAGCTGAGAGACTCTCGCGTAATTTTCTTTTAATATTATACCCAGCTGGAAAAGAGGTCGGGACTCAAAATTGAAAAATTGTGCAAACCCCTGCCTAGATTTAGAACACTCTGGCAATCGATAAACTCGCGTTTTAACGGGATAAAGGCAAAAACAGTGTCTTATGCGCTTCTGTGCTAAAACGATGGGAATACGAGGTCTCGGAGGGAAAATTTAATTGACCTGGAAATCACAGATGGCGCAGGGGGTCCCTCTGCAGTCAATTAGGGCCCCAGAAAGCATTAATCCAGAGGATTTCTGGAGTTTTACTTCGATTTCTGTATAATTATTGTACGAAAACGACAGATGGAGTATGCCATTTGGTACAATGGCGGACATGTATGCCTCCCCTGCAGATACGGCATCGCCTGTGCAGGATTGGAGGGCATTGATGTCTCCCAGTATACAATACCCAATATAATTCGACCCAGCTCTTAATATAAAAATGAACGTCGGCAACGTAGGTATTTAGAAAAATCTTTATCGACGTCGATCAAGTTTCTCGACGTGTTTCACTTTACCTTAATGTTTAAAACATTAAACACAGGTGGAAAAAAAATCGCGACCTAAAATTAAAAAACGCGCAACCACGGAACATATTTTTCATCGAACATATATTTTATTAAGACAACAAATTCAATTTTTATTAGAACAATACATGGAACGACCAAAATATCACCATGGTATCCCATCATTGGTTACAAGACATGCACAGTTATGATTTTTAATATTGCAATTTTCATGAGCAGCATATTACATGTTTCTGCATTTAACATATTGCCTTTTAAAAATTGCAAATATAAAATAAAGATAATCACCTTTTGAAATCGACGAAAATGGGGAAAAGGGGTGCAAGAAGAAAGGCAGGATAATCGCGTATATTACGAAATTTTATTTCACATTAGCTACCGCGTATGACAATGAAGTATACTTATTTGTTAAAATAAATAAGGCAGTGTATGCTCTCTTTCTCCCTTGTCCTCCTTACTCTTTCTCTCTTCTCTCCTTCTCCGCCCGGCAATTAACTATTTCGACAAACTACCCGAAGAAAGTCGGCTAACTTCACCCCGAAAGTTTCCCCTTTAAATAGGAGGAACTTCCCCCAGGTTTTGTTCCTTTTCTTTTCTTTTTTTTATTCCTGTGAAAAGTAAGTGGACAGCCTTCCGAGGGCGTGTTAAAAGACATTCTCCTTATTGTAAATATTCCCATAAGTATTTGCTCGCGTCGCAGTTTTCGCCGAGACTCTTCATATTTCGTTCTTCAAATACCTCTTTACTTGCTGTGTGCAGCAAAATGCTCTGTTTAACTGAAAATACCTGGACATTGTGTTATTGTAGTATTGAATATGCACTTGCAGCTTCCAAAACGCGGATTTCGCAATTTATGCGGTTTTTTTCTCGATTCTATAAGTTCCCATCGAATATGCGCTAATAAACATGGAAATGTACATTTTTTGCCGAACATATAGTTTAATGCATTATTAAATTATTATTATTTTATTTCAGTAATGAATATGCACTTGCAGCTTCCAAAACGCGGATTTCGTAATTTATGTGGTTTTTTTCTCGATTCTATAAGACCCCATCGAATATATGCAAATAAACATGGAAATGTACATTTTTTGCCAACAATATAATGTAACGTTGCCCAACGTGTATTATTATATTAGCTGTTATTTATTTTTTTCATCATATTTATAGCAAAATATGGAATTGGATAAATTCGGTGGTTAGTTTAAAAATGGAATCTTATAAAATCATGTAAATAGAGAACGAACATGTAAATTGTGAAATTTTATGAATAAGTACGTAAATGATTATATCTTAAAGACAAACATGTAAGTTCTGAAATTCAAACGATAAACATTCAAATAAATAAACATGACAGAACTACCGTTAGAAACTGCGAATTTCCATTTCCACAAAAACACAACGGACGTCTATTTTCAACGAACAACAGCATTTTTCTGCATGTAATAACAAAGCAGAGCAGCGAGTGAAAAGGTAATAATCTCGTGTCGCATAGGACGCGGTGCGAAACTGGCAGCGAAACTCCTGCGCGCTCGACGCGCCACTCGAGGCGAACTACACGGAACTGTGCGCTCTTATAGGACCGCAGAAGGTTGGAAAAAAGAGGAAAAACGTTGCCGACACAATTACTGACGACCATGATTGCCTTTTCTGCAGACACAACGCCGATAGTGTACGATAGGAAGATATTTATGCCGTTAATTAAGGTGATGTGAAAGCGGCGCGCAAGAGATCTCGTTACATGAGACTTTCCTCCGAGCAGGGTGTACCGAATTGTCCCAAACATAACAATGTTAATCTAGAGACTCTAAGGAAAGTCCCGTCACCCATAAAATCTCAATTTTTCATAAATTTCTTTATACGTGTTTAAGAAAAATCTGGCAAAAATTGAAATTTCACGAGTCTCAGGACCTTCCTGATAGCTTCCACATTCGCGTAGTCAAGTTTGAAACGATTCGGTACACTCGATTCGAAGAAAAGCTTCACGAACGGTTGACACACCAGATGCCGCTTCCGCACCGCCTTAACGAGAAAGCATTAATGTCTACCACTGTACCAACATCTTTGCAGAATACCTAACGCACACATTGGCTCCCGAAAGTCGTTCATAGATTTAATTCCTATTTTCAATAACCAGGTCTTGATAGCAGTTTCCAAATGAGACAAGACAAAAAAAGAACAAAAAAAGAACAATGACGAACAGCGGATCGATTTAAAAGCCAGAGATATGAAATTCAACAATAGTCGAGAAATCCACTCGAACGCGAGGGCGTTTATTTCCCTCATTTTGTCAACCCTTAACGTGGCCGTTAATTTTTATAAATAATTCGTAAAACAGACAATCCCTTAAAACTGGAGTCGAGAATGAAAGATTTCATTTCATTATTTAAAAAAAAAAAAGAAAGAAAAAAAACGCATCCAGGATATTATTAATTAATATTTAATTTAGAGATCTAGAAGCTACCGCGGGCGAACGACCATAGGAAACCTTCGGTGTCTTATCCTCAGTCTTTATCGTAATCGATACACTGAGAAAGAAACTAATCTTCGAAAGAAAATTATTTCTATGAATTTCTTTCAAATTAATCGTAGCATAAAATCGGAGCGACCTCGCATAAAAATGCCGAATGTTTAACCACAATGCATCGCATCGATCGAATGCTTCCTATCTTAATATAATAAATTAAGAAATCGAGATTACAAGTTTCATTTCTCTAAACTCCATTCAAAGAAGTCATTTTTTTTTTAGATAGATCGAATAAAAAATATTCCGAGTTATTTGTTGCAATTAAATACGTGAGCTTTAAAGAAATCCGGGGAATATTATCATTTCTTTGAATGGATAATGGATTTTCCTTCAGGCAGTTACATGTTCTTTCTGTCGAAACTCATATTTCGAATTATTAAACAATACTCTGAACGAGCATTGTTAAAGATAAAGAAAAGAATAATTTTCTTTTAATCGGAGAAGTTTCTTTTCCCTCAGTGTATGTACAATGGCGGACATGAAAGCCTCCCCTGCAGATACGACATCGCCTGTGCAGGATGGGAGGGCATTGATGTCTCCCAGTGTACATTGTGGACATGAATGCCTGCCCTGCAGGTACGACATCGCCTGTGCAGGATGGGAGGGCATTGATGTCTCCCAGTGTACTTAGTCGGTAGATGTCGCACATCGCGTCTCGATTCCTGAAAATGTAATTCGTAAACCCTCGAATGGCCGCGCTAATTGTTTCCTAATTAGCAACGTCGCTTTAAGGTGTAATGAAAGGGTCATGATATATAAATCGACGTCGATTAAGTGAAATTCATCTGTACACTTTATGGTGATAACGCCATTTTGGATATTCAAGTGATAACGTAATCTGACGCGCCACGTTACCAAGATTTACATTTATGTAGATGTTCGTTGCACTCTACATGAAGAATTATGCAAAATGGCCCTTCACATGTCATTTAAATAAAACGATTATAAAGAGAATGTAGTAAAACTGTCGAAATCCCGAGGATTTATGATTTTTAATACTCTAACGGACCCACGGCGCCATCTGCGACGTTTAGCGGGAACTAAAGTTTCGGTTTGAAAACGCCTTACCCGCGTTCCAAGACAGCCTTCTCTTTCAATCGTCCCTTTAAGTATTTCCCATATCTTCCCACCTGACTCCGTAACATTGCATGTCTATAATATTCTAAATTGTTCGAGCCAGGTCCAGGAACTCTTAATTTTCGATTCTAAGTCCTGAAAAGGCGTAAAACATCATAAACGTGCGCAGACCACGCCACGTTGACGACGGACGACGCCATGTTGGTTCTAGTCCATGATAGATAAACGAATTTCGCTACAAACACTGAAATTTCCCGCGAAAGCCGAATTAGAATACTTTAACGAACTATTTGACCTCTCGATATATATAGGCAGACCCTTTCATAACACCTTAAACCTAAAAAATTCGCCTAAGGCGCGCATTTCGAACGCGGGCCTGAAGTTGTGACGCAACGACGCGACGATTCGCAAGCCGCTGCTTGAATTACGAGCCTAATGTCTTTCTTAATTTCCTTTTCTTTTTTAATGAGGATTCCTAAGCGACTACAATCTTCTCCCTAAGCGATTACCAATGATCGGGACGTTTCTTTCACGAGAAAAGAATTTAAAAAGGATGAGAAAGGTTGTTCTCGCACGCTACGGAGAGATCAATACTTCTTCGCCTTCCTCGGATTACGAAGATAGAAATGGCGGAGAAAAAACGGAAAAGAAAGAAGAAAATTCGGACAGGGGGGAGAAACGCCGCCGACAAGCTTTCTCGCCCTAGAAAATAAACTAACGGACTTTTCCTATTTTCAACGTGTGGTAACTTATCCCTCGCCAGTGAGACGTCCCTCGGGATCGTCCTCGCTTCGCCGTGGAGGAACGCGGAAATATTTCGCGTCCTGATAATGACTTAAGGCGATATGAAAGTGATATCTGAGGAATTAATCATTTATGTAACTTTTTTTTTTAATTGGGTGTACCGAATTCATTGAGATTTCATCATGTGAACATGGGAGCGCTGATGAAGGTCTCGACACTGGAGATTTCAAGATTTGTTCAAATGTTTATAAATAAATGAGATGGAATAATGAAATTTTATGAGTGTCGGGACCTCCCTTAGGGCCTTCGCAACGATGTGTTGAAATTTTAAATGTTTCTGGAAATTCAGTTCGAAGAAAAAGTGAATGATACCTCTCAGACGCTACTTTTATATCCCCTTAAGGCGATATAAAAGTGATATCTGAGGAATCCTTTATGTAATTATTCTTTGAATAGGGTGTATCGAATTATTTAAAATTTCACCACGTCAATAAGGAAGCCCTGATAAAGGTTTCGACACTGGGAATTTCAATTTAATTCAAGTGTTTCAAAAAAATTAGTATAAATAAACGAGAAAGAAAATTGAAATTGCATGGCCGCCCGAACCTTCCTTCGGGCCTTCATATCCACGTAGCAAAATTTTTAACGAATCAGCACACCCAGTTAAGAGAAAAGTTATAAACAAGATCCCTCAGACGGCACTTTTATACCACCTTAAATGCCCAGTAAAAGCGAATCGGCCATATTGAATTTTAACGCCAGAGGCCAGGAAATCGGGTGAAATTGCTAGTGCGTATTCTGCGCAATTTACATTCACGCCACCTTTAGACTCCGACATAACAATTCGATAGTAAACACAATATATTGTAAATGCAGTCTGACTGGCAGATTTTACACTACAACTGAACATTGTGACACTTTTACATCAACCGAAATATAAAAAATGTGGCTAAATGCCCGTTGTCAATTTTTTAGGCGTCGGATGACGCAATCCAAGATGGCCGACTCGCTTAATCAGGTCCTTAAATCGAGGCCTCTCTCGGACATAACCTCGCGAGCAGGAAAGATTCAACCAGAGGGACTCCCAATTAGCGCGCTTTCCCTAGATTACAAAGCTACTCGTTATTACACTAACTTATCCCAGTTTTACAGAGGTATTTCATTCACAATCGCGTCCGACCGCCCCATCTCCATGTCCCTAGGCCCGAGGCTCAACGTGAGCTCTATTTCTCTCTTTCTCCTTCTAATTAAGCTTTGGTTAATGAAATAAATTAGTCATTCGTGTTCCGTCTTCCAGGCGGCGCTGGGTGTACTCCGTAGCAGGTACTCATAACCCCACTTTTATCCAGTTCACCGCAGGATTTAGCGAAATGCAGTTCTGCTTCGACGCATACGCAGTTAACTAGTTATAACATTAAAAAACGTCTTTACTAGGTAAATTATAAACAGTAAAAAGACGTCATTTAATTTTACGCGAGTCACTAGGTGGACCTAAAGAAACGGAGATATCAATTACCGCAACTTTGTCGTCCCTGAACTTGGAAGTAAAGTAACCAGGTGGCGCTGGCATGTATGCACGCTTTTTAGAGGTTAGCCAATTGACGGCGGCACTGTAACCATGTTTCTTAATCCTTTGACTGCAAAGAGCGCCTAAATGTTACTTGTTTATTAACATTATGTTGCTCGATTGGCGTATTCTTTTTTTTTTCAGCCCTCCGCAGTTAAAAGGGTTAATTTTTTGGCGATATGTAGCAAATTGCATGTGTTCTTTGCCTTACCCATGGTACCCGTTTATATAGGTTTATACACGTTTATATACGTCTATACACGTCTACACGCGTGCATAAACGTATCTACACGCCTCTTCCTACCATACGTAAATCTCTATTTTACTCCACTCCGGGTTTGTCAAGATGTACAAAAATTGAGGTTAGGTTAACCAATTAATCGTGGCTTACCCACTTATTGGAAGTTTAAAAAGCTAAGATCATGAGTAATGCAATTATAATTTGCACTCGGCATAATAACCCCTCACAGTTGAAATGATTGAAAATAACATAAATGTTATTAAAAAAAAGAAAAAAAAGAAAAAGATTCAATTCTCATAAATTCCCAGAGAATGTAATCATCGGTTATATGGTTCGGGCAATACAACGCACTAAGGACTCTACCAATAACACACAGGAGTACCAACGCCATGCTGGCGAGACGGAACATCAGCGCCGCCAGCGGACCACGAAGGAACGAAACGGACGAAAGGGAAGAGAGAGTCGTGTTAAGACGTTAGTTCCTTCTGTTAGGGAAAATCGTAACGTAAAAAGGGAACCCCTTCACCGGCGGTTTGTAAATAAAATGTTTTTCTAGAAAAAAAAAATAAGAATAAAAATAAACGACAAGGACGAACGGGAAAAACGAAACAACAAAAAAAAAGGGGGGGAATAGAAACTCGGAATAAAAGGAAATAAAATCGAGTAAAATCGAGCTAGACCGCTGCGTATAAATAGAACGAATGTACACTCTCCGCCTAGGTGGGGCCTTCGGTCCCGGCTTTTCTTTTTAGAGGTTCCCGTTAACTCTCTCGCCGAAATCGATCGCCAGTCGATCATTAACTAGCGCTAATTTACACCTAAGGGATCGGCAGTTTCGCGAACGGTTATTATCTAAGGAGAGGGCGGTTATCGCGAGCTCCGAGTTGCGGAAAACGGTGACCCGGGACTCTCCACTCTCGTCGCATTGAGTATACAAAAGAAGGTCCTCCTTGCGACCGTGATCCTAGGGAGAACGCCTAGGGAAACGTGTCTATGGAACGTCCGTTTGGTCGGCGGCGTGCTGCGACGTCCTCTCGCACGACGTCACCTTGTACTGTTCAAACCTCTGTAGTTCCTTGAGCAAATCCTGGAAAGAAGAAATGCATATTTAGTCCTGAGGTATTGGAGTATCTCTTCAAAGAGATATGAGCGGGGAGATGTTTCACGCCATTGTTTGAAAGAGGGGCACGGCCCCCTGGCGCCCTCTACGACGTTTACACCTCTGGGGAAATTGGAACTACTTTCAAGGGGGGGAATCTGGTCGGTAAAACAGGGTATACGTGGGTGCCACGTAGTAATCTTAATTATCCACGCATAACAACTTCACTTGGTATTCGTAGTCTTCTTTCCCAACCTACGTTGAGCCTGATACTAAAAACGAGAAGGCGATAACTTCCTTCTATTGATTCTGGCCTGGATTTAAAATCTGCCAACTTTTTTTTTTATTTTTTTGTTTTTAAGTTTATTTTTAAGTTAAAGGCGTAAAACATCATAAACGTGCGCAGACCACGCCACGTTGACGACGGACGACGCCATGTTGGTTCTAGTCCATGATAGATAAACGAATTTCNCGTTGCGTTTTTATAATAAAAGTCTTTGATAAAAACGCTACGAACTTATTCCCCAACCTAATATATACGAACGTCGGCAACGTAGGTATCCAGAAGAATCTCTTTTACCGACGTCGATGAAATATCGCTTCACCCTAAGCATACTCAACATAGCAGTAAAGCTCCGTTGTTATTTTCAGAGAACCTTCCACCAAGAGACTCTCACCTTTGGCAGTGACGTTCTGTCGTAGAGGCGGGCGTACCTGCCGATGCACCTGCTGAGTTGAACATAGATGTCGCAGAGCACCTCGATAGGAACATCGGCGGTTTCCTCGACAGTCCTATACAAAGCAGCCTCGAGTTCAAGCCTGTCGACGAGGACTTTGTCGCCATCCTCGCAGGCATGGGGTCCAGAATCGCTCTCGATAGCAAAGGACAGTAGTTCGTCGAGGCTCTCCCTCCTGGAGGAAGCATTAGAGGACCCAACAACCTCCATGGGGGTCTGCTCCTCAGGGTCGTTCCTGTCGCCCCTCTCGCTCCTCTCCTCGTCGACCAGCCTATCTCCAGGATGATTGGCGTCCTGAACGGGCGGATGGCTCTCCTTGGAGTTCTCGTTCTGGGAGTCGACGTCGGAGTCCGTGTTGTCGAAGAGGGTGACATGCCCATTCAAGACGCTGTGGGCCTCCGTCTCGAACTCCTGGAACATCTCCAGGTCGATGCCACCCGAGGCCTCGTTTCCCAGGCAGGGTTTCCCGTTGACCTCGGACACGGTGTCCTCCGGGGCGATTTTCTTCTTCTTCTGGATCTTCTTGACGTAGCCCCTCGCCCAGGCTGGTATTCTTCGCTTCCTGGAGCTGCTGAACCGCTTCCCGTTCACCGTCGTCGAGGTCCCACTCGGACTCGCCAGCTCCTTCTTCTCCACCCTCTCGGCACCGGGTGCTGGCTCGCTCTTCGAGGTCTTCGTCGGGGTCCTGGAGCCCTCGGCTACCTTCCGATTCTTCGAGATCTCTCGGCACTTGTCCTCGAAGTCGGAGTCCAGCTCGGCCTTTATCAGGGCGTAGGCGTTGTCTCTCAGCGAACACGCGCGGTGTCTTATCAGCTTGTCTGCTGGGTCCCTGAAGAGCAAATACCGGGTTATCATTTTGTAGAGGTTTTATCAGGCTTGCGAGGATGGGGTTCACAGGTGAGCGGGGCATTTCAGAGCACCGACTTTCGGGCTGGTTGAATCGACTGACCTCGACCTCGATTTTGACTTAAATCAACGTCTTCGGGGTCTGCTTTGATACACTGAGCGAAATAAAATTAGAAAAAAAAAAAGAAATGAATCCTTGTAACCAATGATGTTTGCTGAATATTGTCATGAAGTTAAGGTGGTATGAAAGTCGCGTCAAATTAATCTCGTTTACAAAACTTTTCTCCCAGTCAATGTTGATTCCGTTGATTTAAATCACGAGGCGAGTCGCACATAACTCTGCTGAAAATTCAAAAGCGAGTGGGACTACTGTTAGTGGTCTTCAATAGTGCATGGGAGGCTATTGGGCGTTTAAAACGTTCAATGAGACATTATGGAACGCGACGATGGTTCGACATTCTCCGATCAGAATGATTAAGGTGATGCGAAAGCATTGTGCCATCTCTTAACAAAAAAATTAAAAAAAAAATGGCCCTTTTCTTTCCCCAAAAAAAGGAGGGAATATTTAAGGCGATATCAAAACGGCCCTTGAGACATAAATTTCTTTATAAAACTTCTCTCCGAAGGGAATTTTCACCCACTTTAAGGTGCCACAAAAGTGGCCTCCGAAGCTTCAGATTATTTACAAAATTCCCCCGTCCTCGTCACAGAGTTCTGAAACAGGAAACGCGCGTTAACGAATTTCATTCGTAATAGTAACAAGGAAAAATAAATAAATCGTACACATATTAGCGAGTTAGCGTTCACTCCTCGCCTTTTTCGGCCTTAGAGACCGTGAACTCCAATTAGTTCGCTCCTGGCGGCGCTGCAGTAGCGCAAGAGACCTGAAGTTAGCTTCGCATCATCTTAATGTCGATCTCGACAAGTTTCTCATTGTTAGGATAATTTGTCAAGACATCAACCGATGTGCCGCGTCCTAGGGGAATTATCTTTTAGGATTGTTGGCATACTTGTTAAGGAGAGAGAACTGTTAATTGAAAACCACTCTATCTAAGGAGCGACAACAGCAATGGAAAAAAACAGGAAAGACTGAACTACCTCTTCAATATTCCAAGGGATGGCCTATCGCGCAAGCTGACATGGAAACACACAACATGAACATCAGTATGAATTCATGAGTCGACATGTTTTGGCCGCTTTCCAGACACCGCGCCCGGAAAAAGCCGTGAATTGTGAATTGGAGTTCTCTAGATTCGATCGCAATTAATGCACCCCTTAAGGCGATATCAAAGTGGCGTCAAAGATTTATCCATGAAACATTTCTCCAAAAAGTTTTCGCCGAATCGATTCAAACCGTACAATATAAATACGGAGGGTATAAGGAAGCTCCTGAAACTCATGAAATTTCAATTTTCTTTCCCTCAAATTTGTTGTAAAAAATGAAATTTCATGAGCGTCAGAACCTTCCTTACAGCCTCCATATTGACGCTGTAAAGTATGAAACAAATCCGCTCATCCAGTTCGGAGAAAAGTTTCATGAACTCTCGGATGTCACTTTCGCATCCCCTTAAGGTGACATGAAAATAACGTCGGACAGGTCTCGATTATGAAACTTTCCTCCGAAACGAGCGCACCGAATCGTTTGAAATTTCACCACGTGAATATGAAGGCTCCATGAAAGGTTTCCACATTGATGAAATTTCATTTTGGAATCTTTTTCTATATAAAGATTTTTTATTTTTCTAAAAGCACGCGATTTTACGAGCATCAAGGCCATCTTCAGGGCCTGCACATTAACGTGGTAAATTCTCAAACAGTAATACGCCTAATTTGTAGGAAAGTTTCATAAACGATTAATCCCTCAGATGCCATTTTCATATCATCTTAACCTTAGATAATTATCCGTGAATAATAATCTAAATGTTTCGTACTTTCATTTTTTACGAGCAGTTACTTATAGTTATCTAGGGTTAACGAAGCTTCCCAATGGATACTGTCTACCTAAACACGAGACAATAAATCGCAGCGTTAAATCTGTGCAAACCTATTAACTGATAACAGGACACCATAGAGCTCGATTTAATCCCACGGTTAACAAATCGCTACGATTTATCGTTACGTGTGTAGTCATCTTTAGGAAAGCTGCGTCAACATTCCTTGGACACATTAAGGTGAAGTGAAACACGTCGAGAGACTTGACCGACGTCGGTAAAAGAGATTCATCTAAATACCTACGTTGCCGACGTTCGTTTTTATATTGTTAGCTATGTCGAATTATATTGGGTATTGTACCAAATGGCATATTCTAGCTTTCGTTTTCGTACAATAATTATAAAGAAATCGAAGTAAAGCTCCAGAAATCCTCTGTATTCATGCTTTCTGAGGCCCTGATTGACTGGCGAGGGACCCCCTGCGCCATCTGTGATTTCCAGGTCAATTAAATTTCCACTCCGAGACCTCGTATTACCGTCGTTTTGGCATCCAAGCGCACACAACACTTTTTTTAGCCTTTATCCCGTTCAAATGCGAGTTTATCGATTACCAGAATGTTCTAAATTGTCATAAAATTGTCCTGACCCTTTCGATTCTCATATTAGAGCCTTCGATAATTGTATATCGATCGAAATATGAGAGCTCGAACCCATTTTGATTCCGGTCTGGGGTAAGTTAAACAATTTTTATCAAAAATCCGACTTTTGAAAATGTCAGGATAATTCCTAGGTGCTCACAAATCGTGTGTCAAAGTTTCAGATGGTTCCATCCAACACCCTTAAAAAAATTTGTCTTATTCGAATCGATTGATTTCGGGGGGGGGGGGGTTTCACTTCACCTTAATTTCTATTTGCTTAAAATTCTCATAGCTAGTTGAATTAATTTTATGGATTTCCAGCTTCATTCTAAGCGAACGACATCGTTGATAAAGTGATAAGTTGAATCCAGTGGGAAACTTCGCTTCGATCGAGCAAATCAAGAATCTCATCAAAGAGCGGAAGGACGCCCTAAGATATAGTTCCCGATGTTAATTGTCTTCTCTCGAATGATTTGTATGATCACTTAATTGTCATCTAGCAAAGAACTAATCACTTCGACGATGTACCGACCTGTCCGGATTGTACTCCAAAGCATTTCGACAGATCAGGTCAATGTCATCGAGGAAGTCTCGGGCGCAAAGATAACAATGCATGTCGATTTTGGTCATCATTGTCTCCAGATCCATGGGCTGTTTGATGATCATATTGTAGTCCGGCACCTCCTCTGTATCGACGGGCTTCGTGAACATAAAGAACCTGTGAAAGAAGTGGACGTGCTTAAATAAACAAATAAAGAATAAAAATAAAAAAGAAAACAGATAAGAAAGAAAGCGCCATCACCTAAGAATGATCATCGATACCACCAATCATTTGAACACGCGTACTAAAGGCGTGGTTTCATGAAACTCTCAGTGTAAACAATGGTGTATCACCTCGGTACACCATTGTTAACACTTACAGTGTGTTAAAACCACGGCTTTAATCCGAGTCCATGCAATCGGTGTAAACTAAGCCATAATCAGTTTTTTAAAGACTATTTGTTGTGGTATCGATAAACGTTAACCCTTTAACAACGGCAGAGTCGAACGTGGAGGTGTACCACCTGTACGGATAGCTCGACCGCGTAGCGTTAATATTTTATATTAATACGACATTCATTTGTCGCTTCGAACCACTGATCTATATACTAACTGGCTCGCTGATACCTATTTCTTCTATACGGAGAGGACTTCGACGAATTCGAGGCACACTAGCGCCAACTACAGATGGCCAGCGATACTAAGGAGCTAACGTGTGCGCATGTGCAAAGGTTTCGACGTATGCAATATTAGTTAACGTGCACATAACTAGGTGGCTTCGAAAGGGCACGCCATTTTGTAGGACATCATCTATCCAGTTAGTATATAAATCCTGGTTTGAATACATAGTAATGAAGCACTTTCGTCGCGTTTGGTAATTAAAGGGTTAAAATTCGGTGTGACCAATTTAACAATAGGTGCCGAAGACATGGACGTACTGCCTGTTCCTGGCGAGTTTGGCACAAATTTCCCGTAGGAAGATTCTCAGCTCCCTCAGAGACACTTCCTCCTTCTCATAGAGTAGCTTCCTCTCTTGGTCCGTCAGTTTCTTTGGTATCGGGTCCGGAGCGAGAGGCAGCTGTTCAAGGACCTCTTCTCTGGTGTCCTTAATCTGGGGCGGCTTCAAGCTCTGTACCATGAAGATGGGCTTGTAGAACTTAGCCCGCTGCTCCTCCGACGGGTTCCTGGCCGTGTAAACCTCGTTGCGGAATTCGCTGAAGAGACTCTTCAGCTGCGCCGGCAGATTCTCGTACGTAGTGTCGCTCGTGGCCAGAGTTAAGATCGGCAGAGGAGGATCTAGAGACCGGATGCAGCACAAGAAGACGGCCTTCACGGTTTCCGGAACGAGTGGCCACCATTGGTCGATAGAGGGGATGTAAATAATGGACGGTATATTCCTGCTGGCCTCGTTGAAGACCTGTGGAATAAGTTCCTTCCAATTAGTTTCAGAATCATCCGCGGCGGCGCCACAAGAGCGACCAACGGAAAGATACTCTATTCCCTTGCTCTACAAGCGATCACCGGTAGCCGATTAATTCGTAATGTTCGAACTACCACTTGTAATAAGATTTTACCTGCACGCAAGTCTCTTCCGGAGATCTTGCGCTTTCGGCGAAGAGTGTGCTGACGTCGAGGGTTTGTACAGGGAGATGTTCCATACGGTACAACAAAGCTTGGGCTAAACGGGGACCCTGACCTTGCGCCATGTTGCCTCCAGAGATGAGTAACCTCGGCCGGTAAATGCCCTTCGCAGTTTTAATCCTAGAATGATAGAAAAATAAGAGTTTGCAGGAATTAAGATGACATGAAAGGCGCTGAGAAATTTAATCGACCTCGATTAAATAAAATTCATCTATACCCTTTTTGATGGTAATACCGATTTGAATACTAAAGTGGTAAAATAAGCTGGCGCATCACGTAACCGACATTTATATTTATGTTCAAGTCTTTTACAGTCTACGTTGAGAATTATACGAACTGAAGTGTTCCATATGTCATTTCGGTAAAGTAATGATAAAGAGATCGGCGTGATACTGTCGAAATCCTGTGAATTCATGACTTTCTATATTCTAACGGACCAGCGGCGCCATCTGTGACGTTTAGCTGCAACTAAATGTTTGCTCTAAGAACATGCGTTAGCCACGAGACTAGCCAATATTCTCTTGCAATCGTTGGTGAAAGTATTCTCCATATTTTCCCATCTGACTCTGTAATATCCCATTTCTACGGCATTCTAAATTGTTCGAGCTAGATCCTGAAACTCTTCATTTTCGATTCTAACCCTCCTATAAGCGTAAAACATCGAAAACGTGAACGGACCACGCCAGGCTGGTTCTAGTCCATGACAAGTGAATAAATTTTTTATGAAAAATGAAATTTCATGAGTTTCAGGACCTACTTTAGCGCCTCCACATCCCCGTGGGAAAATCTGAAACGAATCGGTACACCCAATTTGGGGAATACTTCCCCTAACGATTTGACCTCTCAGATATATACAGGCTGACTCTTTCATATTACTTTAAACGCGAGTTTGAAGAAGTAGCCTCTAAGAATAGGTTCCTAGCTCAGAATAACAATGCGTAAAGATAACCGGAACGGCGACAATCCATCTAAATAAACAATGAGCATTACTTCGCCATGGCAGGATTAACGCCTTGGGGGAAGGTTCCCTTAACGGTGCCGATTAATTCCTCCAAAGCGGGTCCTAGAAGAGGTTCCATGAACGGTTGCAGTTTCCTACCGACGTAAGTCTTCACTCTATGTGCGGACGGTACAAGAATGGAGGTCGCTTGCATGAAGTCTCGTTTCTTCACCTGTTGACAATGCGTTCCGTGGCGTGAGAAATGAAATGGGAATCCTTCCAGGACTGATTAAGACTTTCAACAAGGTGGATCTTTACCTCAACGCGCGCAGGGTCCAGCAGTAACCTATTACTCGTCGTATAAATCTGTGGATAGGTTCTCCTAAGTCCCTGTAATACTGCCTCGGTGCACAAAGCCCGCAAATCCGATCCACAGTATCCGGTAGCCTTTTCCGCCAGCAATTCCAACAGCTGATCGGTCGGCGGGGTTTTCCACTTGCTGACGTGGATCTTCAGGATCTCCAGTCTCTCCTTCATGGCTGGCAAAGGGAAAAATAGTTCTCTGTCGAAGCGACCAGGCCTCCTCAAAGCTGGATCGATTGCGTCTATTCTATTAGTCGCCCCAATCACGATTACCTGGTTTTTTTAGAAAAAGAGAAAACACCCTCGTCGGTTATTTCCATCTTGGAATTACCTTCCACTAGACATTGGATTGTTCCATAAGTTAATAGACCAATTTCGCATTCTAAATGGAATTATCTATGGCGATGATATCGCATTAGGTTCCGAAAATCTCAGAGTACATTCGTTTCCAGGGAATTTCTCATTTAAGGTGAAGTGAAACACGTCGAGGAACTTGGTCGACGTCGATAAAGAAGATTTTTCTAAATGCATACGTTGCCGACGTTCGTTTTTATATTAACAGCTGTGTCGAATTATATTGGGTATTGTATCGAATGGCATACTCCACCTGTCGTTTTCGTACAGTAATCATAAAGAAATCGAAGTAAAACTCAAGAAATCCTCCGTATTCATGCTTTCTGGGACCCTAATTGACTGCAGAGGGACCCCCTGCGCCATCTGTGATTTCCAGGCCAATTAAATCTTCACTCCGAGACTTCGTATTACCATCGTTTCGGCATACAAGCGAATACAACACTTTTTTAGCCTTTATCCCGTTCAAATGCGAGTTTATTGATTACCAGAGTGTTCTAAATTGTCGTAAAATTGTCCTGACCTTATCGGTTCTCATATCAGAGCCTTCAATAATTGTACATTGATCGAAATATGAGAGCTCGACGCCATTTTGGTTCTTCTCTGGGCTGAGTTAAAAAATTGTTTTGAAAAATCCAAATTTTGAACGTGTCAGGACAATTCTTAGATGATCAGGAGTGATGTGTCAAAGTTTCGGACAGTTTGGTCTGATACCCTTAAAAAAAAGTGTTGTATTCGAATCGACTGATCTGAAGGGTGTTTCACTTCACCTTAAGATGCTTAAATAAATCCGCTACAAAGGTGGCAAATAATCAACAGTGTCGATGAATGGATTATTAACACGAAGTTTCTTCCCTAGCGAAAGATAAACTTTCAGATCTTAACAAATTCATTGTTTTCTTTCAGTAAGCAAATGACTATTGGGTCTCGAACACTCGCGGGTAACACTTTTTCTTTTGCAGCGAATTTTCTTTCCAAATGTTTTAATAATTTCCCGATAGAGGCGCCAAGTGTTCAACGGCGTTGGCGAGTACGTTGATAGGCGGTTAGTTTCGTAGGGAGAAATAAAGTAAGTAGTATAGGAACCACTATGGGTAGACTAAACAAATGACGTCACCGGCGCCGAGTCAGCCTGTGACGTCACGTTACGTCTCTCGCATTCGCGACTCGCGCTCTAGCGTACCCCCACCACTCTTGGCACTATGGTAAATGAGAGGAGTGGGGGCACGTGACGTAACGTGACGTCACAGGCTGACTCGGCGCCGGTGACGTCATTTGTTTAGTCTACCTATAGTGGTTCCTATACTACTAAAGTATGTCAATTTTTCACCCATCAGAAATTCGAGTCAACTCGTGGAACAACTCGATAGTACTTTTAACTACCTCTCCTCTGTCACTTAGGCCATCCATGAGAGCCAAAAGCGTGGAAACGATGCTGGCGTGAATCTGGTCCTGTTTGGTGCTTCTAACAGGAGCCAAGCCGTCGATCTCGTCGAAGAATATGATGGACGGCTTCATCTGCTGAGCCTGTTCGAAAAGCAGTCTCAATTGTCTCTCCGATTCGCCGACCCACTTCGAAAGGCAATCAGCGCCCTTCCGCATGAAGAAACAAACTTTCCTGGACCCTTGGCTGCACTCATTCGCCAGGGCCCGAGCAATCAGTGTCTTCCCAGTGCCTAGATTAGAAATTCTAGATTAACATCTCCTCTAACGTGTACAATTAATATGATATGAAAGGAGCTGAGAGATATAACGTCGGTAAAATAAAATTCATCTATACCCTTATTGGCGGTAACGCCATTTTGGATACTCAAGTGGTAAAATAAGCTGGCGCGTCCCGTTACCGAGATTTATCTTTACGTTGAAGTCTTTTACAGTCTACGTTGAGAATTATACGAACTGAAGTGTTTCATATGTCATTTCGGTAAAGTAATGATAAAAAGATCGGCGTAATACTGTCGAAATCCTGTGAATTCATGATTTCTTATATTCTAACGGACGAGCGGCGCCATCTGTGACGTTTAGCTGCAACTAAATGTTTGCTCTAAGAACATGCGTTAGCCACGAGACTAGCCAATATTCTTTTGCAATCGTTGGTGAAAGTATTCTCCACATTTTCCCATCTGACTCTGTAATATTCCATTTCTACGGCATTCTAAATTGTTCGAGCTAGGTCCTGAAACTCTTCACTTTCGATTCTAAGCCTCCAAGAAGCGTAAAACATCGAAAACGTGCACGGACCACGCCAGGCTGGTTCTAGTCCATGACAAGTGAATACATTTTTGATGAAAAATGAAATTTCATGAGTTTCAGGACCTACTTTAGCGCCTCCACATCCCCGTGGGAAAATTTGAAACGAATCGGTACACCCATTTCGGGGAATTCTTTCATCAACGATTTGACCTCTCAGACATATATAGGCTGACTCTTTCATATCACCTTAAGGTGAAGTGAAACACCCTGAAAAATTTGATTGACGTCGCTAAAAGTAAATCTTTTAAATACCTACGTTACCGACGTTCGTATATATATATTAACAGGTGTGTCGAATTATATTGGATGTTGTACTAAATGGCATACTCCACCTGTCGTTTCCGTACAATAATTGTAAAGAAATCGAAGTAAAACTCCAGAAATCCTCTGGATTCATGCTTTCTGAGGCCCTAATTGATTGCGCAGTGACACCCTGCACCATCTGTGATTTTAGTGTCAACTAAATTTTCTCTCCAAGACCTCGTGTTACCATCGTTTTAGCACAGAAGCGCATAAGCCACTTTTTTTCCTTTATCCCGTTCAAATGCGAGTTTCTCGATTACCAGAGTGTTCTAAATTGTCGTACAATTGTCCTGAGACCTTTGTTTCTCATATCAGAGCCTTCGATACTTGTATATCGATCGACAATTCTTAGATTATCACGAGCCACGTATCAAAGTTTCGGACAGTACGATCCAATGCCCTTAAAAAAAATTGTTTTATTCGAGTCGACTGACTTGAGAGGGGGTTTCACTTCACCTTAACTCGAGTGACTCGAGTTGATTGGACTCGAACATTGTTAAGAATATATGTCAGGATAATAGAATAACATGTACCTGGAGGACCGTGGAATAAAACACCTTTCGGTGGAGTGATATGGAAACGATCAAACACATCGGGATACATCATGGGGAAAACAACCATCTCTTTGAGACAATGTATATGAGACTCAAGGCCGCCGACGTCGTTGAATCTGATACTGGTGTCTAATGTAACTGGGTTTATATCTGCCTTGCGATCGGGAGGGCCACCTTGAGGTATGGCGGATTGTCTGGAAATGAAGTCAAGGCATTCACAAACAAAGATTCACTTTTTAAGAATTAATATAGAAGTATGAAGTATCGACTGGGATGTCCCATAAGTTCGTGCCGATCTTTCTTGTACTTAAAGAAACTCGTTTGAAGAATTAAAATTTAACACTATCCCTGAATATATTCTCCTCCGATGTAGACTTCTTCCTACTATTTAGGCTATTTTCTATCCTTCGTTTAAGAGAAAGTAATGTGACTTTAAATATTTCAATGCGATGGAATTTTCAATATTTTAATGCGATGAGGTTTGGATTATTTTGACGTGATGAAATTTTGAAGATTTCAACTCATGGGCCAACCCGATAGAATACCACAGTTGGCAGTGATCTATGACCCTTACCTTCCCTTTTTGCCCTTCTTCTTATCATAACGTTGGGGTTCGGAGTCACTGGAGTCGGAAGAACTTGTACTTTTACTCCTATGCTTACGTCTCCTCATAGAATTACTAAGAACGCTCCTAAGGGCTCTAATGGATCGCCTAACAGGTTCCACGTTTGCTTGGAATCTGTCAACGGCTGGTTTCTTTTGACGCAAACTATACTTCCTGGGACCAGGAGAGTCCGAAGACTCGCTCAGATCGCTATCTACAACTATAAAACAAAAGTCCACGTTAGCAGATATCCATTAAACTTAATTAAAATTCCCCATCGATTAATTTTACTCACCTGTTAATTTTTTACCCCTCGGCAGCTGACGTTGAGTAGCTCTCCGAGTGCGTTTAATTCTGGTGTACATATCTTCGTACCCCTGCGGAGAACATTCAATCATCACATGTCTCACTAACTAACATTTTGCAGTTAAATCGTTACCAACATCTTCGTTATCAGAATTGTCGTTATTCCCAGGCTTTTCGCTCTCTTGAGAACTCTCTTCGTCCGCCTCATCTTGCTCGACCTTTGGTTTTTCGTCCTTCCCCAGGGTACTGCCGCAGAGCCTAGTCACCGGACCTTCCCTTAACCTCGAAGGACTGTCGCTCTTTCGTCTACTACAAGGAACTTTAATTGTAGACGGAACATTTAGTCTAGGTTTACTTATGCCCGGTTCCACCAACCTCGGTCAAAAAGCTAATCCTCGGTTACGAGTTGCCCGTTCCCGCACATTCAACTTACTTCGAATGGTGTACACAATTAGTTAATCCCACTCTAAATAAATGTGGGGGAACATTTACGTTTTTAACCCATGATTAAGTTAGATGTTAACTTTAACCTACGGTTAGGTAATCAATGATTTAACCGAGGTTGGTGGAATCGGGCATTAGACTGTTTCGACTTCTACGTACTCCGATTTCAGGTCCTTATCTTCGTTGGGAATCCTAACCTCTGCCTTGGGCCGAGTTTCGCTCTTATCTTTAAGATTCCTCTCTGCTCTGTCGCGATCTTGTCGCTCTTTAATCTCTTTAATATCCCTATCCTGTTCGGTTCTGTCTCTGAGGTCTCGTTCTGGTCTGTCTCTGAGCTCACGACTAGTCTGTCGGACATGGTCACCTCGGTCTCTGATATGTCGAGGGCTAGTTTTGTTCGGTGGGTGATTTTCTCGAGATCTCAGAGGCATTCTATCTCTAAGGTCGCGTTTTCTCTCAGGAACCTCATCCACCATTTCCTTGTCGGACGAAGACCCATGTTGCTGGAACATCGGGTAACCCTTTAAGGTTTGAGTGCCTGAAATTGAGAACGCAATTTAATACTTCAATGTTAATAGTATGTTCCATAAAATTCTGTAAAATATAATCAATCTTTACATGCAATGTGGATTAGCCTTTTTGTTTTTTACCTAAAATCCAACTAGTGTTGAGGTTATCGTAGGTCTGCATTCTGTTTCTCGTACTCCTCCTGACGCTCAAATTATTCCTAGTAATGTGATTGCTCGGAGTAACATGTGAACGCAGGGTTCGCAGGTTCTTAACCCGCCTTGAAGTCATGGCGAGGCCACGATTGCGAGGGCTGAAAATATCTTCCTCCGTATCCATTGAATCCAAGGAGAGATCATCGTCTGACATTATCTGTAACAAAATTTATTCAGCCAATAAGTTGTCAATAAATAATAAATGTTTCTGTTACATACCGTCAAATGTGCGAACAAGAACGATAAATTACAGTAAAATTATCGAAGCATTTTGTATTTGACGTATTGATATAACTTAATTTCTAGTAATGGATTAAAGTCTGTATAATTGAATTTTCAACCCACACTGTCGCATGAATTAATGACTGCTTGACAGAAATGCAGGGGATAAAAACAATAAATAAAGCATTATATAAACGGTTGACTATTGTTGGATGTTATTAAAGATCACCGTACTCAGAGATTTCATCTAACGAGGATTTGATAATGCTTTGATGGTTACCTTCATTTAACCAGGCCATTCCGTCACTCATGAAAATAAGAACAATTAACTATAGCAAAGCATTCATAGAATACCATTTCTAGAAATGTATCAAGGCCAATATAATTAAATTCCCAATCCGTACTGTCATATGAATTAATGATACAAACACTTGATACAATTTTTCGAGGGATAAAAATAATAAACAAGGTGCCGTCAAAGCCATTCATGCAACTGATGTCGTAGTTTGTTTCTATTGAGATTTCAGTCGAGGGTTCGACAACACCTTGACAATTGTTTCTATTTAATCAGGCCATTTTATTGTACAAGCACACTATAACAAAATACAGCAAAATATTCAAAGCATTTCACCATATTTTTCTTAAGTTATTAATAAAGAATGTCATTTTTCAAACGATATCAAAGCCAGTCAAATTCAATTTGCCACACATTTGAATTAATAATCTGAATTATTGACAGGATCTCTCAGGTGATAAAAACAATAAACAAAGTATCGTCAAAGCCATTGTATGACCTGTTGAGATTTTGGTCAAGGGTTCGACAATACTGCGACAGTTATTTTTGTGTAACCAGATCATTCCATCGCACATATAAAAAAGAACAAATTACAACAAAGCATTCAAAGCATTTCAACATATTTTCTTAAGTTATTAATAAAGAATGTCCTTTTTAAAATGATATCAAAACCAATACAATTCAATTCGCAACCTATACTGTCAATTAAATGGATATCTCAGGTGATAAAAACAATAAACAAAGCGCCGTCAAATGAGACGTAAGAGTTGATTCCCATGTAGATTTTGGTTAACGATAATTTGCCAACAGTTATTAATCAGGTCATTCCATCGCACACGCAAACTAAAACAAAATACAGCAAAGCATTGAAAGCATTTCGTCATATTTTGAATTAGGCACAGAATGTCTAAGAACGAAACATAGGAATTTTTGACAGGATCTCTCAGGTGATAAAAACAATAAACAAAGCGCCGTCAAAGGAGACGTAGGAGTTGATTCCCGTGGAGATTTTGGTTAATAATAATTCGCCAATACTCGGACGGTTACCTTCATTTGGCCAGGCCGTCTTTATAGAACGGAAGAATTGGCAAAGGGTGCTGTTACGTCCGTCATATGCTCGGAGGAATGGAGGCCGCCGCTGCCCTGGGCCGCGGCCCGTCTGCGCTCTGCGACTCTCACTTGGGATCGATCGCCGAGGAATTCGAAAGACAGCCACCAGCCATGATCCGAGCGGTGACCGTCAGGCTCGGCCTCGAGAAAAATCCTCTCCAATCTCGCCTCCACTTTCTGGAAAACTCGCCGACCCTGCCCCGAAACTAGCCCCCGTAACGCAGACCACCCAGTATCTAACCCTAACCTACGGCTCTGTTCGAGATCATCTCTGGCCCGCATCTACAATATCCATATTATCTCGACATAGAGCCGTCATGCGACGGCAATTTCCAAGATGGCGGACTCCGAGTCGGCCGTATTTCGGGCTCGATTTAACGCTGCTTGCGAAGCAATGCGTCGTTTCCTCGGCACTGTACGGCGCTCGTTGACAGCTTCGTCGATGCTTCTGCAAAATGATGCCCTGGGTCGTGTCCGTTTGACGTTTCCGCAGGATTTATGCAATGTTTGTTATCGAGCGGCTGGTCGGGAGGTGCGTTCGGAGGTGCGGCTTAGTAGCCCGGTTGGGCGCGACGTTTCATTGGCTGATGCAACTGGGCCGGTCCAGCGGAAAGGCAGCTTCTCGTTGGGACTTTCCGTTGGATCGCTCCATGTACGTGAAATCAGGGGGTCTATTACGTACGGCAAATTGAGCGAAAATGTGAAAAGTGAGGAGCTCACGGTATTGCGGAACGTTTCTGGTGGTGAAAATGTGGGGCCAATCATATGAACTGGCTAGGCAGGGATTTTTAAGCGAAATGGTGAAGCATACAAGAAAAGATAGAAAAATAAACGTGAACGCCATCTTCCACGGATTGTGACTCCGAAATTCAAAATGGAAAACATCCTGGGTGTTTTGACTTTTGGCAACAATCGTATTCGGGGATGTAATAATAACCTTATTAGAAGAAGAAGGGAATTACATGGTGCCTCAGACCCATTTTCGTCAGAAGAAAGATAATTTACTATGATTTTGTCCTTGGCTAATTTGGAGTTATATCGATGTTAACCTCGTTTTAATCGTCTTAGCTCGCCTTAGAAATTGCATGCGGCGCCATCTTAACTCCGAACGCGGTACTATGTATTGTGCGCGAAATTCAAAAATAGATCTCGCACTTTATCAGATATTCATTTAAAATGATTTGCGTTTTTGGAGGGGAATGTTCAGCGAAATGTTTGCAATTACTGAATGGAATTCAAGTAGATATAGCATAAATTATTACGCTTCGAAAGTTCCACTTTAGTTTCGACTTTTTATATCTACTTTCGATTTCCAATGTTCTTGACGGCTCGTTACAAAATTGTTGAAAGTTGTAAGCTGGCAATTGAAAGAAAGATGCCATTCGCATGGCGATGGCCACTTTCTAAATGTTCGGAACTTTTCCACGTGAACTCTTTCTTCGGAATATCGGATAACGGTATCGGTGGAGAAAGTAAGAGTTCGGCAAGGCTTTACGGAAAACAATTTATTACAAGTTCGCCATGCCTAAGTTCGGCCTAAAGTCTCAGTGCGCATGCGCATGCAAGTGTGAAAAGAGTTAGAAAATTTCTCGGTAACATAAAATCGGAGAAGGTAACCGCGAAACATATCGTAAGTTATCGAGAATTTATGAGAACATTCATTTTTGTATTTACATACTTGAGGTTTCTTCATTTAAGTGACATTTCTTTTTAATGCACTTCGATGTTCAAGTTAAATTGTAATAAATATTATTAAAAACTGTTAATCAGAGTTTTTTTCACTTTCGGTAACGTAATTTTACTGTAATTCATTTTGGCATTAAAATAAGCAATGATCAAGTATGTAAATTTATATGGGCATTTTTATGTGCGTGAGAAATACACCATGAATCTACTTTTCCATTTTTATTATTTATATTTACACGTGATTTCACAAATGTCTAATCACAACTCGTTCGTTTTTGTTGAGACTCTTCGATTTCGAAGATCTTCCTTTTCATATGAAGTTTTCGATTTCAAAGAACTTCCCTTTTCATATGAAGTTTTCGATTTCGAAGAACTTCCCTTTCATATGAAATTTTCGATTTCGAAGAACTTCCCTTTCATATGAAGTTTTCGATTTCGAAGAACTTCCCTTTCATATGAAATTCTTGATTTCGAATAACTTCCCTTTCGTATGAACTTTCCGATTTCGAAGAACTTCCCTTTCATATGAAATTTTCGATTTCGAAGAACTTCCCTTTCATATGAAATTTTCGATTTAGAAGAACTTCCATCTCATATGAAGTTTTTAATTTTGAAGAACTTCCCTTTCATATGAACTCTTTAATTTCGAAGAACTTCCCTTTCATATGAACACTTCAATTTCGAAGAACTTTCTTTTCATATGATGTTTTCCGATTTCGGCGCAGGTTCCATCAGGATGACTCTGGAGGCAACTTTCACGGTATCGTTCTTCGATTGATCGAGGAATTTGTCGGCGATAACGGCTTTCTGGGGGAAAAAAAAGAAGCATTTCATTATCAAGGATTTACGCGTGACAAGTAAATAGTGAAAATCAAGAGGCATGTTCTATTCGCGATGCCTTGAACCCGGAAACGGGACGCGTCGAAAAGTGAGAGGATCCGAGATGAACGCCCGGAGTATATATACATATACCCGAAGTATATATACATATATATACGGTACATTAATAAATACACCGACCTACTTGTATCACGGTCGAGTGAAATGAAAATAGAAAGACGAAACCGGGGCCACTGGATTGCTAATAAGAAACTCTGGAGAACGATACTTGCCTCTCCCAACTCGAACGATACACGCGGAAGAGCGTATCTCATCGTCGCTCAAAATCCAAATATAAAAAAAAAAATTAAACTAAGCAAAGATGTCTTTACCGCAATTACTCGAAGTAAAGGTAGTCTGATACCTCCCAGGAAAACGATATACCCAGAAGAGCGTATTTTATCGATCAAAATACAACAATTACAAAATTAAACTAATAAAAGATGTCTTTACCACAATTATTCGAAATAAAGGTAGTCTGATACCTCCCAGGAAAACGATACTCCCAGAAGAGCGTATTTTGTCGATCAAGATACAACAATTACAAAATTAAATTAACCGAAGATGTCTTTACCACAATTATTCGAAATAAAGGTAGTCTGATACTTCCCAGGACGACGACGAATGCATTATGCGGCTTATTTCGAGGCTTATTTACAGTCAAATGAATAAATAATATAAATCGATTTGATATTTTGCAGCAAAGCGTCTTCTCGAAACCGTTACATACAACGCCCGTTCGAAAATAATTTCGTTCTATTCCCGGAAAATACAAATAAAAATAATTCGATATACTCTCACTTTCCAACTAGAAAAAAAAAAAAAGGTTTCCGAAGAATTCGAATGAAAAGAGAAGTTTCTTAAATACCCTGTATTCTTTAAATATTAAAAAATCATGTGGAAAACCGTTGGATACGTTGCGCTTTCCCCGTGAAACCCGCGGAAGGTTTCACTCGATGTTAATAACGCGACGGCCAGTTAATTAAGTAGTAGAATAGTAGAAGAGTACACGCATCGGTGAGCAGCTTAGACTCGGGTAGCCTAGTTTCAGAAACGGCAGGCTACACGTACACCTTGTAAGTGTGTCAAAGAAAGAGCTGCCAGTACTGGGTGTGCTGTATCTCCCGCGCGGGGAAGCGGGAGTCGGCGGAGTGGGGGAAAGCACTAGCCCTGACATTGCGCGCGCACGTGCATCCGCCGAAGCATCGATCGCGGACGACATCGGAAACCTCCGAATTTCCCTGCACTTCCTTTACACAGTGAGTCCCTTCGTTCCCTGTAAATTTTCTTCCGTTAAAGTTCACCCTACAAGTCACATTTTTTTTCCCGCCTTTTCCGCGTTCGGTTATTTTGAAAATTCCGGCTAATCGTTGTCGCCGATGTATCGGAGGGTCACGTGACTATCCGCGCCCTCCCATTGGTCGACCGTCAGTGGTCGGGACTGGTCAGTAGCGATCCACTTGACAATCCCTCGACACCTGGCAGGGAGTTTGACAGCGGGACCCGAAACGAACGAATGTCATCGTCAGGTGAGTTTTTATTCCGATTAGATAGGATTAAGATAGTGGTTTTTGATACGTGACGAGATGTCAGGATAAATCGGTGCAAATCGGACTGTGCAAGTTTGACTAATGCGGAGATATTGAAAATGTTGGTGTAACTGTGCAGATTAAAAATCGCTATTATTTATCGTTACGACATCTTTGGAAATACTAATTTCGTGAAACGTGAGCTCAACAAAATCAGAGATCAATTTTTAATTAGTTTATAAAAAATTTAATTCCACGGGCGTCAATATTCATCCATCTTGGAGAAAAGTTTCATATTCACTCCTCAGTTGTCACTTTCATATCACCTTAAGCTCTTTCGAAATGCTAATTTAGTGAAACGTGAGCTCAACAAAATCAGAGATCAATTTTCAATTTGTTTATAAAAAAATTTAATTTCACGGGCTTCAATATTCATCCACCTCGGAGAAAAGTTTCATATTCACTCCTCAGTTGTCACTTTCATATCACCTTAAGCTCTTTCGAAATGCTAATTTAGGGAAACGTGAGCTCAACAAAATCGGGGATCAATTTTTAATTAGTTTATAAAAAATTTAATTCCACGGTCGTCAATATTCATCCACCTCGGAGAAAAGTTTTATATTCACTCTTCAGATGTCACTTTCATATCACCTTAAGCTCTTTCGAAATGCTAATTTAGGGAAACGTGAGCTGAAAAAAATCGGGGATCACGTTCTGCTCGCGTCGAACGAGGGGTCAACATGCTGAAAAGTGATTCCATTCACGTGTCGAGTGATAACGGACTACTGCGCGCGGAAGGCCATCCTTCGTTATCAGAGCTGTTGAGCAGAGAGAGCACGCGCAAGTGAAATTAGTCCGGCCAGGAAGCGATACAGTGTTCATCGTTTAATCGCCAATTGGCAGTCTTGGCACTTGTCGCGACAATTGACCTACGTCGGATAAAATTCCAGAAAGTCATAACCGAGGGAATAAAAAGCGGGCGAAAAGGGAAATTAGTGCAAGTGAAATTAGTACAGGTGAGTGATATTGTTCGTCTAGTCAATTCTTTGCACTTATAGTGACAATTGACCGTGGTTGGATAAAATTCTAAAAAGTCATTACCGAAGGATTAAAAACCGGGTGAAAAGGGAAATTAGTGCAAGTGAAATTAGTACAGGTGAGCGATATTGTTCGTCTAGTCAATACATGTTCTTTGCACTTATAGTGACAATTGACCGTGGTCGGATAAAATTCCAAAAAGGCATAAACGAGGGATAAAAAACCGGGTGAAAAGGGGAAAGACGGGAAATTAGTGCAAGTGAAATTAGTTCAGGTGAGCGATATTGTTCGTCTTGTCAATACATGTTCTTTGCACTTATAGTGATAATTGGCCGTGGTTCGATAAAATTCCAAAAAGGCATAAACGAGGGAATAAAAAGTGTGTGAAAAGGGAAAATATGGGAAATTAGTGCAAGTGAAATTAGTTCTGGTGAGCGATATTGTTCGTCTAGTCAATATATAATCTTTGCACTTATAGTGACTATTGACCGTGGTCGGATAAAATTCCGGCGTAAGTCGTAATTGAAGGAATTAAAAGCAAATGGAATTAGTTCAGTCGGGAAGCTCGTATAATGCTCTTTAGTCGTTAATTGACACTATTTGAACTTATCGTTGTGGTTGACCGCGGACGAATAAAATCCGAAGAAAAATGTTATTTAAAGAAACAGAAAGTAAATAGGGCAGGATGGAAAAATTAATTAAAAACAGTGCAAAGTACTAGCTTCAGCGGTTGACCATGAACAAAGGAGGAGAAAATAATGAAAGAATCGATTCTAGAATGGCTTCGACTTGCTGGGAGAAGATCGCCGCGGTTGAATAAAAATTGGAAGTAAATAAATATCAGGGATAAATAACATAAAAATAGTGCAAAGTCCTCATCCTAGCGGTTGACCATGAACAAAGGAGGAGAAAATAATGAAACAATCGATTCCAAAATGGCTTTGACTTGCTGGAAGAAGATCGCCGCGGTTGAATAAAAATTGGTAGTAAATAAATATCCTAGATAAATAACATAAAAATAGTGCAAAGTCCTCGTCCTAGCGGTTGACCATGGTCGAACAAAGTTTATAAGGATAAGACGAGCAAAGGGGGAGAAAATAATGAAACAAACGATTCCAGAATGGCTTTGAGTTGCTGGGAGAAGATCGCCCTGGTGGTGGTCGCCGCGGTTGGGCTGAGGATCACCATCAGGCTGAGTCTTCTGGTCTGGAAGAAGCTTGTGGCCCCGACTTTGGGTCTGGGTCTGGACCTGACCAGCCAGGGGAAATGGGCAGTGGTCACGGGGGCCACCGATGGACTCGGCAAGGCCTTCGTCAGGGCTCTGGCCGGCAAAGGACTCGACGTCGTCCTGGTCTCCAGGTCCATGGACAGGCTGAAGAGTGCCGCGGCAGAGATCAAACAGGAGTTCGGGGTGGAGACCAAAGTCGTGGAGGCTGATCTGACCGAAGGTCAGCCCGTCTACGCGAAGATCGGCAAAGCCATCGAGGATTTGGAGGTGAGTGTTTCTGGATTCATGACGAAGAATCGGGAAAGGCTGATATGGTTTTATCACGTCGCTGTGACCATAATCTTACCGTATATTTTTCTATAATTGTACTTCACTATTTTTATAACAACTGGGAAGAACATCATACATACATTTTTGTATGGTTGGCCATGGACTGTTGACTATTGCTCATCAACTGGGAATTTAGTTGGGAATGGACTGTTGGATAACGACAATTGACCATTGGCTATTGTTCAATGATTGGGGATCGTTAATATGAAAATTCAGATAATCAATGTTGCACTTTTGGGATTTTTAGATCACCGGTATAAAGAGCGATACCGGAGCAAGCTTTGATTTTGAGTATTGGTTATCAATGATTGAAAATTGATAATTGACTGTTGACCATTAATTGAGACCTGGAAATTTAGACAATGCCGCATCTTTGGGTCTCTAAGTCGCCGTTTTGGTTTGCAATGCCGGAGCCAGCAATAAAAATGTTGACTATTAATTAAATGTCGACCACTTATTATCTATTTTTTACCATTGATAATTGAAACTTCATATAAAAATGTAGACAATTAACGTCATATTTTCGGGATCTATAAGTCGCCGTTTTAATGAACAATGCCGGAGCGAGCAATAAAAATGTTGACTATTGACTAACTATTGAATGACTTTCGACCATTGATAATTGAAACTGCACATAAAAATTAACCTCATATTTAATTATTAACGTCATATTTTTGGGATGTATAGGTCGCCGTTTTAGTGAACAACGCCGGAGCCAGCTATGACCATCCGGAATTGTTCGTCGACGTCCCCGAAGAGACGTTGGCCCGAATTTTGCAACTGAACGTCGCAGGAGTGACCGGCGTGGCACGAGCCGTTCTACCAGGGATGATGGAACGAAGAAAAGGAGTCGTTATCAATATCAGCTCGGCTGCCGCTGCCATGCCAAGTCCGTATCTTTCGGTCTACGCTGCCAGTAAGGCTTACGTTGACAAGCTGAGCGCGGATTTGGCAGCGGAAGCTGCCCCAAGAGGTGTCACCGTCCAGTGTGTCCTTCCGGGGCCGGTTGCCACGAAGATGTCGAAGATCAAGTAAGAATGATGCCATTTTTATCATGTCTTCATAAAAAATCAAATGCGTCTTGATGAACATAAATAATTGGACTTTGAGTTTAAACTTTGAGGAGTAAGAAATGAAACCGCGCTCGCGGAATTGCGGAGATTGGAATTTTTATTTTATTAATGAATTAGTTATTAATGCAATGATTTTCGTTCAAAGATCAAGTGAGAAAGATGCCATTTTTATCATGTCTTCATAAAAAATCAAATGCGTTCCGATGGACATAAATAATTGGAATTAGACATTAAATTTTGAGAAATGAAAAGGGAAATTGCGGTCGCGGAATTGCGGAGATTGGAATTTTTATTAGTTATTAACGCAATGATTTTCGTTTGAAGATCACGTGAGAGAGATGTCATTTTTATCATGTCTTCATAAAAAATCAAATGCGTTCTGATGAACATTAATAATTGGAATTAGACATTAAATATTGAGAAATGAAAAGGGAAATTGCGGTCGCGGAATTGCTGAGATTGGAATTTTTATTAGTTATTAATGCAATGATTGTCGTTCGAAGATGAAGTGAGAACGATGCCATTTTTATCATGTCTTCATAAAAAATCAAATGCGTTTCGATGAACATAAATAATTGGAATTTGAAATTAAACTTTGAGAAATGAAAAGGGAAATTGCGGTCGCGGAATTGCTGAGATTGTAATTTTTATTAGTTATTAATGCAATGATTTTCGTTCGAAGATGAAGTGAGAACGGTGCCGTTTTTATGATGTCTTCATAAAAAATTAAAAAATCAAAATAAATGTAAAAAGTTATTGCAAAATTGTAATTGACAATTTTTATCCGTGTGGTTCCTTCGTGAAATATTACTGTACGTTGAAAATATAGCAACGTAGGCTCGACACAATTTTCTTATTAAAGAAATTCACCGTAAATTGTGGAAAACCTCTTCTTATGAACAAACGATTTTTCGATTAAGGTGATGTGAAAGTGGCATCGAAGAGGTTTTGTTTATAAAACTTTTCTCCCACCTCGATTTACCGAATAGTTTGAAACTTCAAAACGTGAATAGGGAGACTATAAGGAAGGTCCTGAAACTCATGAAATTTCAATTCTTTTCAAATTTGTTTATAGGTATTTTAAAAATGGTTTATAAAAAATGAAATTTCCCGAGTTTCAGGACCTACCTTAGCGTCTCTATATTCACGTTTTAAAGTATGAAACGATTTGAGACACCCAGGACGTAGAAAAGCTTTATGAACTATTGAGCTTTCCGATGCCACTTTGACATCCCCTTAAGTGGATAAAGATTTGAATCGTTTGTTAATATGATTTTTGTTTTAGGCGGCCCACGTGGATGGCACCGAGTGCGGACACATTCGTGGAGTCCTCCTTAAGGACGGTGGGAATCGAGTCCAGGACGACAGGATACCCTCCACACTGTCTGATAGTCGGCTTTGTTAATGCACTGAGATGCATTTGCGAGAAGGGTGCCCTCTGGCTGGTGTCCAGAACAATGCTGAACATTCGAGGCCGAGCCTTGAGGAAGAAGACTAAGAGCGAGGCCAATATCAAGAACATCCCCGAGCGAGAGGGCGTCTCGAGTTGATCTCAAAATTATTTTTATTTACCCCCACGGGTACTCTCTGTGTATCTACGGTTATTATTAAGTCTGTTTGTTGTTTTCCTAAGGAATAAAAAAAGGAATTGTTGTCGCGAGACGCCTCGAATTTCTTTTAGATTGGCTTCCACTTTAAGGGGACATTAAAGTGGCATATGAAGAATCAATAGTTCATGAAACTTTTCTCCATACTGGGGATGCTGAATCCTTTGAAAAGTTACAACGTCAACGTGGAGGCTGTAAGGAAAGTTCTGACACTTGTGAAATGTCATTTTTTATTACTAATTTTGCAAAATATTTATGAACAAATTTGAAATAAAATTGAAACCTTAGGTGTTTCGGGGCCTTCCTTTAGGTCTCCATATTCATAGTGTACTGTTTGAAAGAATTAGGTAAACTCTGTTTGGGGAAAAGTTTCACTAACAAAACCTCTTCGATGCCACTTTCACATCACCTTAAAGGGACGTGAAAGTGGCATCAAACGTTCATGAAACTTTTCTCCATACTGGGGGTGCTGAATCGTTTGAAAATTTACAACGTGAACGTGGATGCTATAAGGAAGATCCTGACACTCGTGAAATTACATATTTTATAACGAATTTTGAAAATACCTATGAAGAAATTCGAATAAATTGAAATTTCAGGAGTTTCAGGATCTTCCTTTATGTCTCAATATTTATATTGTTAAGTTTAAAACGATTTCGTAAATTCAATTTAGGTAAATGTTCATACTACGACTTAAAAACAAAGAATTCTTAGGTTTTTGAAAGGAAAATTTCTAGCAGGGTCGTCGAAAATTCCAGGAAATCCAAAAACATTTTTTTGGATTTCCAAAGGGCTTCAAAATTGCCCTCTCGACGTGCTTTTTTCTTTTTTAAGCGTTTTATTTGGGTAAATGTTTATGCTACGAGTGAAAAACAAAGTATTCT